GCTTTCTTTCGTATAGCACCAGGATGTGGATATCACGAATCCCATCGCAGTCTTTGACAATACGTTGGCACGTTAACGGTGCTGCTCTGGATACACTCTCATGGCAGCCTAGCGGGAATGTACGACTTTTTTTCTTGCTTAGAATTTAAATGAAGCATTGTTGAGCAAGGTTGGCACAGCCAACAAGGTCCAGGTGTATCGGTGTTTTTTCAGCGTTTACGTAAATAAAAAGGACACCATGGTATGTCATCTAGGCTGTTTTAATCCAGATTATCCCACTTTACTCAACATTCCAATACGATTCTCAAACGTGTCTTAGTTGTGTTACTTCGCAGTAATGGCTCTATCTTTAAGCCGTAGGAAGATACTTGGGCGTGTTTCAATTCACCACTCTCAGAATGTGGTGCATGGGAGGCTGCGGTGCAATTTGTGCATGATGGCATGACAATGCGTTGTTATGATTTAGGGTCAAGATTCCATTGAATAATAATGATTAGTTATTGATTATTTAATATTATAAGTTGTTGATCATTATTATCATGTTTTCAGTTGTGGTGCATCTAGAGCCTTAAATGACTGCTTCAGTTACACGAAGCTTTTGCGTGCAACAAATAGAAAGTCCAAATGATTGGTTTTCACTCACGATATGTAAAACTCAATCGTGAGCATAATACATTTGAATCTATGAATGCATGCATTGTTACATGCTTAGTAGGTACCCATATTTGGATTCGTAAGTATTAGTTTCCATTCATAAACCAATGATTTAAAGCTATCATTCAGCATTGTGTACTTTTTTCTGTGGTTATTTGTACATTATTCTATAAAAATTGTTAGATCCTGATTATTGATTACTCTGATTACTCGATTTTCTTTGATTTACATTTATACATCTGTGCAATTGTATCCTCATGTTGGTGAAGCCAAAGTAGGGTCTCCCAGCACATACTAGGGCTTGATTCCAAATGCGTGCAACTCGTTGCTTGACCTGGGCTGTCAATGTATATTCTGCATTCCTGAAGCAGAGGCCACGATCCCCATAAGATGTCCCACAAAGTGTTACAGAGTTTAGTGACCCAGAAAACGCGATGGGGGCCGAGTCGACTCTTCACCGAAATTTGAACCCGTAACTTCCTTATTGTCAGTCAAGTGCTTCCAGCTGCAGTGCCATCCAGCCGGATTATTTACACAAGCTTGCTCTTTGCAGTTGCTCTTTTTATATGAAGCCTGCGTTTATTGAGGCCAAGTGAGGCGTCCGTGGGCCTCGAGTTCACCAGAGAATATTGTTATTAATTAACAGAACATTATCCGCCCGTGCAGTAGTAATCAGGAATTATGTGTAGGTGATTAAACTTGGATTGGATCCAGGGATTGAGCACTGCTTTAAAATAATACCCACGGCTTTGTTAGAGTCAGAGGCATCGTATGATGAATGCGTATCCAGTCGTGCGTGCACCTATCTTCGCAGGCAATCAATGCGTGGGCTTTTTGGGAGATGTTCATTATCATAGTTTTATTCCAGGATGTATGGGATGTTACTATGGGTTCATAAATCAACCAATTTAGCATAGCACAATGGCCAAGGGAAATAGGTATTAAACGTGCTTGAATTATACTAGCGCATCCTGTGTGACCACTTGCAACCCTCTGCATTACTGTGCAGGATGCAAATATAGGAGGCCAAGGGCGGTCGCAGAGCAGAACGATGCATTGAGACGCTTGTGTGTATGTATGTTGAACTTCTTTCACACCGTACGTAGCCCAACCATACTAATCAGAGGTGCGAGCATTAAAGCTTCCGATCACCATCGCACAGAGGATCCCACGCCGTGATTACAATACGGACACGTCTGATTTGATTCCAAGTCGAGGGCAAGTTTTGTTTCGTTATTATCATTATTTTTCTTCTTCATTTTTGCCCCATATGATAATAATTGACTGATGTAATGTTAATTGGATTAAAGTATAAAAGATATTATGTATGGCCAGAAACGGTTGATGAGAGTAAATAGTGAGCAGAAGCAGTGCACCATTGTGACTAGCACATGATTCTTATCATTGGATATATCAGTTTGGTTATGTTTAAGCTCTGATGGTTGTCATTTACAGGTTTGAAATTAAGTTTCGTTCTTGCATCGTTTGATTGGGGGCCTGTTCAGTGGGGGTTGAACATCTGTGCTGTACAAGTTTGCAATGCCATGTATTTAACTGCAGCATTCACATGCCACTTGAAAACGCCATACGAACTAGTCTACCCTTGTTCCTCCGCCAAACAATTAACTCGCATTTAGTGCTCTCATCAGTACCGTCATCTTCCTCTCATCCCGTTTCTACCGAAAATGTCCTGACGTGTGTGGGACACTAATTTCATACTCAAGACGGATTGTCAACGACTCGGTATCACCATTGACCCTTTAATGATGATGGATGTCTTCTTTAAGTCTTAACTGCTTTTGCCATTGCATTATCATAATGAGCACGTCACTTCAATGTCACCGCGGGGAAACTTGCACATCGTATATCCAAGAATGATTGCAAGCAATGCGTTTGTAAGGATGCAGCATTTCTGTGAAGTTTTCTTGAACTTGTTATCAAGATAGAACCACACACCATTCGATGCAATGGTGCCAAATAACATAACTGAGAAGATACTTGACATAGCAGAAAGCCAAACTCCCTCTGTTCAAATTCTTTTGGGTCTTTCGGTAAAGTCACGTAGATAGGTTCAGATTAATAAAAATAAAGTTAACAAAACTACGAGGTTTCGAAGACAACACAAGCGATCGTCATCAGGAGGTAAAAACAAGCCCCACCCCACCGCCCCCCTTTGTTTTCCTGCAGTCACGAAAGCTTTAAGTCAAAAAAGTTTAATCTGTTCAAATTAAGATTTGTGTGCTTATACCTCCAAAGGCAGCACCGAGTTATTGCTGGAAATTCCATTAGTCCTTGACAGGGACCCGCCTATCCATAACGCTACCACCGACAACCTTTTACACGTGAATTCACACTTTATTGACCGTGGAGAAGTGAAAGACCGAGTTGACTCTGGGATGCTGATTAGCATGGTTGACTACGTACGGTGCAAAAGACGTTCAATATACGTACACGCATGCTCTTAAGCACAGCAGCTCCATCTGTCCGCGTGTTCACTGGAATTGCTCTCGGCTTAATGAGATGTCTCTGTGTGACGTCGGCCAAAATATGCGCTGGAAATTCAGAGGTTGTGGTGAGCTTTGGTGTTGTAGCTGCAAGGCAGAGATCAGCATATCTGTGTAATTTAATATCCCGAATCCATCGATACTCAATTTAATAAGGCTTTCCATAGAAGAGGGTAATAGAAGATCTCGTGTTGAGATGTATTAAATCAGTATCCGTAACATTCTATTGTGTGTTTTATATATTGCAATGATGTAACCCTAACATTAGGGTTTTAATATAGTTAGTGTTATTGAATAATAAATACAAGATAAGCATATTTTTCATACAGTAGAACGGAATGCAAGTGAAAGGTGGTTACTTAATGCACATTTAAAAAGCGAATGGTGTTCATGTAAGACGTTGGTTATGCTGATCTTTCTCCTCACAGCACCACGATTATTTTGTATGTTTATTCTATAGCTGCAAAGTCAGTCGTGTTGGTGCAGTGTAATATATTGCTCGACATTTCCTGAAGGCTGCTGAGAAGCCATTTCTCATTCCGTAAAATGAATAATGCATTGATGACATACGTTGTCCTGTGGCTGGGGACTGTGAACAGGAGATGAACACCATCCCATGCTCCTTGGAGCAGGAAACCACTTTGATTTGTTAATGTATGTTAATCAGAGGTCCGAGCAACTAAATGTGCGTTGCCGTGGCAACTTTATCATCGTCATCATCATCTTGCTTTAACCAAATCGTCGTGCAGATAGCTGCTGTGTTCTTTGCAAAAGGCCTGGCCTATATGGCAGTCTAAAAACAAATAAGATTTCTTTAAATATGACAAGGATTTACTACATTGCATCAGAGGGAATGGTATCTGTTTGAATTCTGAGCTGAAATAAGCACCGTCATCTCATTACAGTGTTATGCCGGAATCATAAACGCACTCCCTGGGGCTGTAAAATAAAAAGGGCCTCCGTGGAGAGCAGTGAGTAAAACAGTAATTGCGTCCGGGTATGGCTGCCGCTGCCTTGAAGCTTGACCTAATCAAATCTCGGGCGTCGTTCGGAGTTGGAACTTTTCTCTTCTGCTTTCTTTTCCATCCCAGTTATATTTCTATCGTGCCCTGCGTGTGAAGTCACGAGACTAACATTTTTTCCCGTTCCAAACTCTGGCAGCTATCAGTGCTCCATCCCGCTTTAGAAAACGACCTCGGGAGAATGTGAAAGAACTATGCCTCCTTTCCACAAATTATGGGGCGGCCTATTCTGTATGTCCTGGAAAGAGTGTTCCTTGAATATCAATGGCTCAAATGTGACTTCATAATCTTCAGAGCTGACATGTGCCAATTTAAGGGATATACCAGTTTTACTACGATACATTTGTTTGCGTGGTCATCAGCGACTGGGCTGTGACCGTCACTCACTACAGTTGAATGCTCGACATAATCCCGTGCACGTGCTCCGATTGAAACCTGGCATTGCAGTGCGGCTAGTTCGATGTGTTGACCCGGCATTTTAATCCCCTGCGTAGCCGAACCACCTGAGCGTTGGGGGGGATGGTGGGAAAGATGGCGGGTGGGATGGATGGATGGCTGGCTGGCTTGAGGATGAGGTGCAAGGATGGATGGAGAAAGACATGCAATTATAGAGGGATGGAATAATACACGGAGGATATGGGGGAATGTATGAAGGGGAGGGTTGGATGGAGGGCAGGAGGAATGAATTTGAAAAGTAATGTAGAGAAGGATGGATGGAGGGCTGACGGGATAGATGGAGGAATTTGTTGGAGGGAGGGAGAGATGGATGGAGGGAAGATAGATTTAATCGTGTGCGTGTTTGCGCACGGCCTGTGCACAGGGCGAGGTGGAGAGCATGGAGCCGACGCAGGGCATGTCGGTGGAGACGGCCGTGGGCTTCCTGCAGCGCCTTATGGCCATGGTGGACGTGCTGGTGCTCGCCTCCTCGCTGAACTTCAGCGAGATCGAGGCCGAGAAAAACATGTCCTCCGGGGGTCTCCTGCGTCAATGTCTGCGGCTCAGTGAGAGGCACCCTCCCACACCCGCGGCTTCTCTCCCCCACCGTTTGTGTGTTTGTGTGTGTGTGACGGACGCAGCCCGATTGATTGGCTCGGGCCGCCGGTGGGGCGAGGGTTGCCAATAGCAGCCGCACTGCCCCGATTCCCCTCGGCAGTCCTTCCTCTGCTGCTGCTGCTTGGCTGCGGGATGGGATGCCTTCTAGTCCACCCTGATAATTTGGGCCAAAAGCCTGGACATGGATGTGGTACAATGGCATCTGCAGAATCCCCACCTCTTGGTGGAATTCCACCGAGCGCGACACCAAATTCTACACGCGTATGGCGATACGTCTGCGTGTTCTCGTAGGTTTCGGTAATGGTGCTCTTCCTTGGCGCCAGTACTAAACATCTCAAGTTTCACTGGTGGGGGCCAGTAACTCCATAGGACCAACACCTCTATTCATTTTATTGTTCCTAAAAGGGATGATGGGCTAAGTTGAACCCCCTGTTGGGGTTTGCACTCGTAGTTTCCCGTTTGTTGAGCTGAGCACGTTTAACCAGAGGACTAACGTTTTTTTCCTTCAAATGTTGCAATTTACATAGCAACGTTAACACCTTTTCAAAAATAACTCCCTTCCTTCTCGCACAGTGGAGATGAGCAGCAGAGCCCAACGCTCGGCCGAGCGTGGACACTGGTGCTCTGTTTCCGTGGATGCAGCAGTGGCGGCTCTTTGCGTGTTACGAGTTGACCCACACCTCCAGAGTGTTGCGTTGCCCATTGCTAAGCCTTAGCGCGTGGGGACAGCCATTGACGGGTGACGGAGATGGAGGAGGTCAGGGTCGGTGTGTTGATTTACGAAGCCCACAGGGAATATTGGCAACAGCTTTCCCAGTGGAAAATCATTTTTCATCCTGTAATAAACACGTAACCTGGAAGTAGGTGTCAGCACCATATATAACGCTTGAAATCTATTAGCAATTACCTGGAAGCCACCTTCTATGGGATATAAATGTTTTAATTGGGATGCTGCTGTATTTAAATGGGGATTCTGGGTGGTGTACTTTATTTTAAAATAAATATCCACTTGCAATTTGATGGTGCAAATTCTAAAACCTGTGGACAATTACATCGCCACTGGCGAGGCAAAGGTGGCCGGTGTGGTGCTAGCCACCCACCTCGTACGCCTTGCCGGCCTTAATAGGTGCTCGGTAACAGAACTTTTTCCAACAGTCTGTTAAGGATATATGGGGGGTCTTTGTGTGTGTATGCATGTGTGGGAGCGGTATTGTCATGGTTAGCATGCTGTGCTACGAACACGGCAACTCAAGTTTGATTTCTGCTCACATCCAACACCAGTGGGGATTATCAGAACCGGTCCTGGGCCTCCCCTCGGTCGATTCAGCCTTAAATGAGTACCTGGTGTGCGCGTGCCCACCTTTATAGGTGCTTCTCGACAACAGCGCTTGTCCCAACAGTCTGTTAAGGCTACACGGGGGATCTTCGTGTCTGCGTGCGTGTCGGTATCGTCGTGCGCCCAGTCTGCTGCGTGGCCGTGCGGAACTGCCTGGACTGCCGGTCGCGGCAGCGCGGTCGTGGTGGCCTCACCCGGACCAAGTCGCAGGAGACGGTGCACAGCCTCGTGGGCACGGCCCAGAGCTCGCTCAAGGTACCGCAACGCGGCTCACGGGCCACGCCTCTGCCGGGGGCGGCAACGTGGCCGAGTTCGCCGCCCGTTCGTTGTGAGACGGGTCGCGGTTCGAGAACCCAGCGGCCGCCCCGATTAATACTGCGGGTGCATTCGTGCCGTTCGCTTCGCTGTGGGTGTTCAAGAAACTCGTGACATTCTAAAGAGAGGAGAGGACCACGTGTGCTGGCGTCACGGTCCAAGTTTGATTGGTTACTCGCAAATTAGGAGCACAGCCCCGTACTGGCAGACCAATACCCATTTGCAGGCCCGGTGCTGTGTAGATCTTGTGTTGCCACATGGGAACTGCTGCCACTGACGTTCGCCTCAACTGGACCGCAGCATGGCATTGGAACTGTTCTAAGCCTGTTAATGAATGAAGCAGTTATAACATTTCATCTTCAAACGACGCTGCATGATCGAGATCAAGAGGAATAGGTCATCGGTGCCACCATACCTCTTGCTCATTCCCTTCTCAAGGAGTCCGTATCTTTGTACTACAGTTTAGCTTCAACCTCCGTGGATAGTCTACACTGCAAGTGAAGTCGCCAAATCTGGCTGCATTAATTGGTGACCACTTAAGTGCAATTCCTGTGGCTGCCTCTGTAACGAGCCATCGTCTGTTCTCCCCATCCCAACCCTGACTTTCCGGGTTATGTCCACGAACTCAATCGCAAACTTGTATTCTGAATTCTCAAGTTGCTTACCTCTTGAACACACCAATGCTTCTTTTTGAGTTAATTTCTCAGAGTTCACTGACCTGTAAAACCAAAAAAAACAGACATTATTTAGATACTGGCATATTTACATAAAAGTGTAACCAAAGGGCTTTGTGTAGTCTGTAAATAAATTAATACATCTTCACGTTAAATCATAATTGTGTGAAGCTCTTCCCCAGTGCCTCCCGTGATGTTTTTGCCGTGTGAGATTGCATCGTGCCGCACCATTGGAGTTCATCGAATGTTTACATGATGTTGCATACCTACGCTGTGCAACAAAATGGCCGCGTGAATATCTTGTAAATACTGGGTGTGAAAAAGAGGAGGGACATTCTCTCGTGGCTACAATTCAGTGGGGAAGTATACGATGTAGAAGAAGACAGCGCCGAGATGGAACAGAGACACCAGCAGCATGCCAGGGGAGAATGACGACCCTTCCTCGAGACAAACGGAAGCAATGTGAACCTTAGAAATGCAGTGGAGGCATTGAAGGCATCCATTGAGCGCTCCCCGAGGCCGTGCTTTGGCTATCAGTCATGGACATTGACTTACGAGTTTCTACACAAAGCGAGAACAAAAAGAGGCAGACTCCCGGTGCAGTCAAGCAAATTGATTTTCCCCACGTATGAGCGCTTAATGTGCCAATTATTATGGTTTCAGCTCACCGGTAAGTTTAAGAACAATTCTCTCAACCACGTTTAACAATTGGTTAAGACGTTTCTCTTCAAACGGTCAGGTATATTCAGGAAATCCCAGGAAGTAGAATTAGCGTGTCATCTTTCCCGACTTTTTAAATTGGTGTCATGTACGTATATATATTGAATTTATTTTGCACCGTCCGTAGCCAATCTTGACCACACAATCTTGAAGCTTTTGTGACTGCAGGAATCCATACTCTTTGGTTCTTTCGGTAAAGTCACGTAGGTATAAAATAAATCACGACGTTTCGGGCGCAACATAATCGTCCGTCATCAGGTGGGAAATAACCAAAGAGTATTGACCACACAAACTCATGACCACACAAATTCTGCCAGATCGTTACTTGTGGCCTAACCAAAACAAATCCATTATGAATCATAATATTGGCTGGGAAAGATGTACGTGTTAAGAGACAGACAGTCATTTATAGGAGAAGAGGAAAGATGTAATCCTCACAGCGGCTTTTGGCGAGCCATCGAACAAATGCCGTTACTCTTTGATCGCTTTCAGATGCGCGACGATATTAGGAAGCCACTGGAGCAAGGCACTGTGAAATCTAGATTGAAAACTCGTTCTGTAGAAATGCTTGTTGTGTTTAGCTTGTTGTCCTTACCCCACACCTCCAATTACCACGGTTGGCTACGTAAGGTGCAAAAGAAGTTCAACATGCATACACGCATACGTAAGCCTGGACCTGAAAACAGGGGCAGGGAGATGGCAGGGAGTGCCGCTGGCCAAGTGACATCGGTGTGCACCGCTGTGCGCCGTGACTCGTCGTGTCGTTCTGCAGAGCCCAGTGGAGAGCAGCTGCATCTCCCCGGTGAAGGACACGGACCGATTGCTGCAGGATGTCGATATTGGCCGTCTGCGTGCCGTCGTCTTCCGTGATGTGGTAGGGCAGCGTGCGGCGGGTGGCACACACGGCAACACAGCGGGAGACACTCTCTGTTTGGCGCGTACTCGTCCGTCGCGGCACGTGGCAGCCAGCGCAAGCTGAGTGTGATTGGAAAGTATGTAGCCAGGCATTGAAATGGGCTGGCGAGGGAAGTGGAGAATGTAGTTGGACACAACAACAAAGGTAAATGTCGGTTATAAGTGTATTATTCCCAGTTCGTTTCGTCTGTGGCACGTCTTCATATGAAGAATCCGTTCGGAGCAATGCATCACCCCCCATAACAGAGAACAAACTGCAGAAGGAGATATCACAGAACTGCTTCTGAAAAATCTTCGCGTGACTCCTTATCACTCAGAGGCAGCACTTCTCACCTGCCATGTGATTGTTTGCCATGTGACCATAAAACGAATATTAATTCCAAGAGCTAGACTTTAGCTTACTGAAGTGCAAACCCAAATTTAACATAATGGTGGTGTTTGTCTGTGCAGTCAGTTGTGACCAAGCTTAGATAACCAACTTACTACACAGTTAAGAACCTGGGTTAATCATAGATGGCTGTCCAGATTTGAGGCCGGGATATGAGCATTTGTTACCTGCTTGGCGCTTTCACCTTTGAGGCACTCGGCCACCCAGCCACCGAAAATGCTTTACTTTTAGAGATTATGGAATTTTCAAAGCAGTTTATGAACTCTCTTTTATTTTACATGTACATGAATCACCGTGCATGTGCGTGTGTTGACTGTAAAATGGAGAAATCTGAAAAACTTCAGCGTTATCTGGAATTTTCCACTTTGAACAATCGCTTGTGGGGAAATCATTTTTATATCGACAATAAAGTTACTCGTGCTGTGAATAGAGTTTTAGTTTTTTTTCTTTTTCAAACAGGGACTGAAGCCTTGAAATAGAGAGATGGGGAGAGCATTTCGCTTCAAGGAGACTGGCTATAAAAGTATTAACAGTTTCATCAAGGCCAGTCGAGGCTTTCTTACTCAGGCCACAGACTTTTCGATTACTCCATCGTAGCATTACGACACCCAAGATCGGCACAGATTGTGCTTCTCAATATGCAGCCCCCGGGCTTGGCACGTTCGGCGCAGCCGAAACGCGCCACTCCGATCGGATGGGAACCAATCCCTCTTGTCCGAACGCTAATTTGCTATTTGTGGAATGTAAATAATAATGATGATGATAAAGAGGGGAAAAAATCAGGGGAAGAGTGGACTAAGATTAAGTGTCCCTCTGATCCCATTTGTATTGGGTGCCATTGTCAATGGACCGCCCTGGTTAGAATTCTGTTATGTCCTATATATATATTTAATATATAATTATCTGTAGTGTATTTACCAGTTGCTTCGTCAATATAGTTATTGGTAAGTCAATGCAAACTGGGAATCATCTTTGATTCAGAAAGGATTTATGTTATACAAATTTTGAATCAACATTCTCGCGTAATAATTCATTAAACAATAGTGTATTTGAGATCCCTTTGTGAAGAATACGTTTTAGTTTTTAACTTGAAACTCATGAGGGCTATCATAAAAAAAACACATTTTAAATGAACACGGATATACTTATGACATATACACCACCAACATGTCCTCAGCTATACGCTGCTGCTATTTACGTTAACCATAACGTTTGCCAACATAATTAGGGAACGTAATTCGATATAAAATGCATTCATTCTCACTACAACAGAGCCCCCCTCGCCAGCTGTCAGGCCTCAGTGTCTACAAGATCGCAGCCGTACTGTGAACTGGACCATGTCGCTTTACGGGTAACTGCACCACCGCGCGCTTTTAGATATGTGCTGCAACAGGATAAAATGAATCCGCGACAGAATGAATGACAAATTATGCTTAATTTTCTAGGCCCAGGGCGCTTTTGCAGCCGTCTGGAACGCGCTTCCTTCCGATGTTAGGAAGCTACTGGAAATCTATGCAATTTGAAATCATCTTGAGTGAAAACTGACTTGTTTAGAACTGTCTTTGTGTGTTTAGTTGTTGTCCTTCACCCGCAATCTCCGATTAGCACGGTTGGCTGTGTACGGTGCAAAGGAAGTTCAACATACAGTACACACTGGATACCATACTACCCATAGCATTCTAGAAATGGGGCACAATGAACGCACTGTGTTTTTTGTGCCGTTAAGTGGTGTGGGTTAAAAAAACATTTTTTAATCGTTTATCTCAATAACTAAATCTTGCAACTAAATCATTTATGGACACTAATGTTCAAAAAGCACTCGGCTTTTCCAGAGTTGAAGTTTTGACTGTTTGTGACGATTGCAGATTACTTGTTTTCGTGCAATTAGCATAAGTCATGCCAACCAGGGACCATCTCCCGTTAATTACCTCGCCAGGTATACAGGGGGCGTGGGTTCGATCCCGACCCTGACGCCTGCTGTATATTTGGAATTTGCGTATTCTCCCCTTGGTCTCGTATATTTTTCTCCGGGCCCTCCGCTTTTTCCCTTCACATTTAGAAACATGCGATGCAAGTATTTGGCTGCTGTACATTTCCACATGATAAGCCACTTCGTTGAGCTATCATTTGTGGCCAGGTCGCTTCTGAAAAAGAGCTATACAGCTCACTGGGCCTTACCTGGAAAAAAAACTAATTCAATTGTGATTTGAAGCTTTCGTGACTGCAGGAATCCAAATTAGTAATAATTTAAATTGTTTAATAGAACGGCCTCAATTCTATTTTGAGCAGGGAGGCACTTTTGAAGTTCATCACTGTATATGAGCACGTGCTTAATGGATGAGCATCAAACAACCAAACAATCCAAACACTTGAGAACACTATTAGGCACTTTTCACTTCTCAAGGAAGGCTCTCATATGTTCTTTGCTACTGTTATTAAAAAATAACAGAGGTCTGTAAGGCACATCTCCAATCTGATGACGTCAAACAGTGTTCAGCCACTTACTGCCGCCGTTATAGTTAGGACTTTCCCAATTTGGAAGTTTACCATTCGCATAAGGATGTCTGTGAGTGCCACCCCAACACTCTCCTGAGTGGGAAGACACTTTTGACTTATCGTTTTAGAGACGTAATTTTATAAACATTAATAAATAGTTATCATTCATAGCACCTGTAAATTGCATATATTGTGGGAGTAGGCCATAATATATGACGTAGATTTCTTCATGGTCTAAATACCGCTTCCACTTGTAATATGGATACAAATTATTATTAGGGCAATATGGAATTTAATTTAACTGTCATCTATAAGAAATGTCAACAGTATGGTGTAATTAAGTTTTCTTCAAAGGCTAACATCATTCCCGGAACTAGTGATAATCTCTGCATTGCTGATTGTCCTTTCTTTATAAAGCCACTCATCCTTTCAAATTTTGATTGACTTTGCATTTCCATAAATAGTGTTTAAATTCTATTCTCTTTAGATTTTATATAGCGCCTTTTAGCTGCTCAACAATGCTAAATCATTCATAGTTTATCATTCAGTTTTATGAATAGTTTTTTTGCAAACTTCACTATTACTGTCTGCAAAGTAAAACAAACGATAAAAAAATGAAATTTTATGCAATTTTGCATAAAAGTTGTCGTTAAATTTAATTTGCAGCCCTAGCAGAAGAGCGGCCTATAAAAAAGTAATGTTGACAGGCTGGCGCATTAGATTTATGGATGTGGGTAATGGGACACCGAAGCCCAAAAGGCCTTGGAACATTGGAAAGCAGTCGGTCAACTAACTCCGAGCAGATTGCCGCCGCTCGCTGCTCGCCCAAAATTCTGCACGCCGCCTTTGTGATCCAAAATGCTGTTCTGCCTGATGGACGGATGGCTGTGCTGCAATGCGATCAACTGAGCTTCAAAGTCGGTGTGAGATAGCAATGGGTTGTTTTTTTCTACGGCTATGGAGACGTGCTCAGCAGAGGGGTTGTTGCAAGGCCGTAGCCATCGAGTTAACATTGGGGGGGACCAAATCTTTCAGGGGGTCCCCCCCCCCTAGAAAAAAAATCTAAATTTGAAAAAAAAAATCCTGCCTAAAATCTTAAAAAATTCATTAACACATAGGATGGACTTTTTATATATTTTTTTACAATAATGTCTAATAGTGTATTGTATTACATTGCTCTGTTTTTTTCATTTTTTTTTACCTTTTTATGTTTCACTGTATGTAATGGCAGAGATTAGTGATTAATAAAGTACAACCATAACCACCATCATATAAACATAAATATATTTTCTAGCAATATATGGGGGGGGGGGGACATTTTGAGCATATTTGAATATTAGGGGGGAGATGTGTCCCCCCGCAATATATATTATAATTATGGCCTTGGGTTGTTGGGTTGTTGGATGTGCGGTGATGGGAGGGGAGGGGGGGTGTCATGAAGACAGGCATCGCCCTCAGTGTTTAGACCCAAATTGGACAACATGACACTCAGTATTCAGTCGAGATGTACCGTCATATTGGGTCACAAGTGGAAATTGCACGATCCCCGACACGTGTGACCTACGTGTTAAAGTGACATGTGAAATGTTGGTTCTGGTTACAATCAAAATTGATTGATCACATGACGTTGTATACATATTCTTTTGTTATGCGTTATGTACAGTATGTAATACAATAAGCTTTAGTATTGTTTTACATTTATTTATTAGATTAAGAATTTGTATTTGTGTCATTCATATTGGCTTCAGAGTGCAGCATGTCACATTCACTTAGATATATAATGTAACAAAACAAATATTGTCCTCTTTGTAAAATATGATCCGGACTATACTGGGCAGGATTGAGTGACTGGTTCTGATTGATTCCATGGAACTGTAGGTCGGATGAGTTGTGTTCAAAATCAGATTTTCTATATAATCCAGGCTATGTAGTTACGCAAAAATGGTGTGACACTCACTGCCTATGGGCATTGAGTTGCCGTGCCCACCCATTCCATCAGATGGGATGGAGTCCTGTCCCCTCGCATGCGCGGGTTTTCTGCATGTGCTCCAGTTCCCGCCCACATGTATAAAGAGTCATTAATTGGCTGAAAGCATCTTAATATGTAGAGAACCACAGATCTTAGGTAATTGTTGGTGCAGACTCACCGCCTGGCTGCCTTCCCGCTTGTTTGTGGTTTCTTGCGCCTCCAAGTTCTTCGAGAATAAGCGAATACTCTGTGAGTTAAAAGGTGATATTATTATGATTATTATGGTTAGATGTAAAAAATACGATATACTATTCAACAAACTATTTATTATTTTACCAGGTAAGGCCCACTGAGCTATATAGCTCTTTTCAGAAGCAACTTTTTCACAAATGATCGATCAACAAAATGGCTTATCATGTGGATATGTATAGCAGCATGTTTATAAATGTGGAGGGAAAAACCATAGGACTCGGAGAAAAACCCATGCAACCATGGGGAGAACATGCAAACTCCAAGTATAAACGTGTCAGGGTCAGGATCGAACCCACGACCTCCTGTATAGCAGGCGAGGTAGTTAATATCTCACCATTGCGGCAACAATCCTCAAACCTCTACTACACTATTCAACGATGTTATTGTGTCTTTCAGCAGGGAAACTCTGTATTGTGGCTGTGTTGCGCAGTGTGTGAGATGTTAAGACCACTTGGGACCAGTATTGATCACCACATGTGCATCACGAAGCCTGATTTTGTTGAACTGCAGATGGCTAGCTCCTCACGACAAGTTGTTTTTGTTAATAAAAAAAGATAAAAACTTTATTACGTGTGTAGAAATATAGCTTCATAAAAACTTTGGCAGCAGTTATAATTCCTCGTCAGGCATGATCTATCCATTGCTGGATGAAGGCCTCCCCAAACCATCAGCATCTTTCACTAACCATTCAAATGACCACTTGATTCACGAACAAATATCACTTAAAATGTAACTATTTTAATGTATCAGGTAATGCCCATTGAGCTGTATAGCTATTTTTCATAAGCGACTTGGCCACAAATACTAGCTCAACGAAGTGGCTTATCACGTGGAAATGTATAGCAGCCAAATACGCAAAATACATGTTGACTCTAAATGTGGTGGGAAAAACCAGAGGACCTGGAGAAAAATCCACTCGGCCACGCAAATTGTTGACTGGGATTGAAAATCTCAACCTTTCAATTGCAAGTTTAGCTCTGAAGCTACACAGTGCCACCCAGGTTAATTTTCAGATGCGTTGCCAGTATTCAGTGAGAGTAGCATGAGGGGAATTAATTGAAGAGTCATTCAGAAAGTGCACTCTTATGAGTCAATTATCTTTCGCATTCTTTTACTTCAGCGAAAGCCTGAAACAATTAACAATGTGAGCAGCGACTGGAGCTGCCATATAAACTTGTTTTTTTTTTGGAAGTGTAATTAAGTTGGCAATAGTATTTGTATTTAAATTAATCTGGACACTTTTTTTTTTATTCGGCAGCAGCTACAAAGCAAATCTAATTTAGTCAGTGAATGAAGGGAATAAATATCATGGGGGAATTGCATTAAATAATTTGAGTCCCCGTGCAGATTTGTTCTGGTCTACAGAGAAGCTTTGTGTGCACGCTGATGAACTGCTGTGGACTGGTATTTTTGGAGGCTGTTTGTTTACAGTGGTTGGAATATAAATGCATAAGTCTTGGTGTGAGACGTTTTCATCGTGCAAACCGAATTCAGCGTGTGGGCCCGTGTTCACTGCCCTGTGGAAGCATCGTGTAGAGTAGGAGCAGGAGTCGTTCTGAAAAGTGCCGGTGTACACATTTGGTGTTCTGCCAAGTGCATATGTTGGCCCATTTCTAGCACTGCTTGTATGGGAATTAGGGTTCTGACCTGTACAGTATTGCGGGGTTCAAGCACGAGGGAGGAGAAACTTGTTGAATTGTACAATAAAATGCCATGTCTTCTGGTAACGCGATGCTGTATGTAAACTCTGCATACGCCACGTTGAATACATGGGTTTGAGAATGTCACCTTTTGGGAGAATGAATGGCAATATACTGTATTTGTAATTTTACATGGAAAAGTCCAAAATTCCATGGAGAAGATATTCATAATATAAGTTTTTTTTTTATATAACCAATTTTTTTTTAAACATACTTTGTTAACTTCATAGCTGGAGTGGACTGACCGTTTGGGCTACGGGGCACAATCCAAGTCTCCATTGAGGATAAGAGCGAGCCCAAAAATGCTCGTGTCATAATTGTAACGCCCATCAGGTTTACAGAACTGATCATTTTTGCGTTATGCACTGGTTCATCAATACATCTATAATCGGTTTCAGAGTTCATTATCAATCCCAAAGTCACGGAATTGATAATTATCGAATCCGGTTCAATTCTATTCACGACCGGCACCAATTGTGATCGTTGAAGCCACACGGCGCATTCCAATGTGGTGAGTCACCTTTTCCAAAGAGCAAACCCAGAACATATTCCTCAGTCAGCCTAGGTCTATTATAAAAACAAAATTGTGCAGTGTGCTACACATTGAACTCATTTCTTTAGAAATGCGTTTTTTACGTGTAATATGTTGACCCCCCCATACATGCATACAACGCACACAATGTAATAAAGTTTAACACAAGACCGGTACCATATCTCGGTACAAATGAATTCCTGCCACCCGAACACTTTAGTTGCCAATTCCCAAACTCTGCAAGTCAAACCCAGACAGGTGGCAACCCTACAATGGATCATTCTGTACAACTCTTTGACCTTGAATTTATGGTCCGCAGCTGGTATACTGGTCGTGATACAAGCTTGTGCTACGTGACCGCACGCACTGCCAGTGTCAATATCTCTCTCCAGGCACTCGTTACATGCACACGCAGCATCACTGCATTTTTACAGGCGTGGCATGTTGTATTGAATGATATGTTTCATCTCATGCCTTAATGCCCCTTCCAGATCGAGAAGATATACTGTTGGACGTTTCTGTAATCATACACAACTAATGATACAAGGGGGTTGCGTCTGCAGTGACATAGACGTGTAATAAAACGTGTTATATGTTATCGAATTAAAGCGCCACCATCTGCATCTTGCAAGTTGTGAAGATGCAGATTCGTCAGTGTTGAGTGCCACCTAGTGGCGGGGCGTGGGTATGTGCGTGCTTACCTGAAGAGCTCTGATCTGAAGAGTTCTGATGCAGTACAATAGTACGGATGAGTTTGTCGGATTAAAAATACATTCTGATTTCGGATTGTTCGAAAAAAATGACATTCAGACTTTTGCATCATTTTCATTATGTTCTATATATATATATGTGTGTGTCATTGGGCTAACAAAATGGACATTACTCAATGCCATGTAACACCACTGTTGGTGGGAAAACAGAGGAATGTGACATTGTATGAGTGGCATCACTTTCCTTCGTGGAATGTTGTTCAGATTGTCCAAGATGTTGCATCTAGTGAAACTGAACCTTCCTGGGATGAGACACTCGGCCGTGGGGAGCAGCGGAACACAATGGGGTGGACGTGTTGAGTTCGAGGCAGGTCAGAATGAAAGGCCACTTGACTCGGTCTGGCTCTAGGGTGATCTCAGCCGCGCGGTCTCCGCTCAACGTGCCGCGCTCACGAGACGCGAGCTGCAAGTGGCGAACGTGCCGTCTGGTTCTTGTTGCGACGCTTGCAGGAGGACAGCAAACAGGCCCAGTTTCTGGCGCTGGCTGTTGTCTACTTCATCTCTGTGCTCATGGTGTCGAAGTACCGTGACATCCTGGAGCCGCAGCGCGAGATGGGCCGACGCGACAGCCAGCGCAGCAAGGGCACGCGACCCGACCTCAACTCCCCCTCCAGCGCAGGTACCGGCCTCCCCGCGTCCTCGTCCCACGCGCTCCATGGCTCCCCCATGTCAGCAAGTGCATCTCTTCTCGTGTGCGCACACGCACGAGGGCAACTCGCGTGAACCGAGGGCATCTCGCTCAAATGAAAGCGTCACACGCAAAGATGTTTTGCCCGGGTGAGGGCGTCTCGTTTAAACGAGCACATCCGATTAGCACGGTTGGCTACGTACGGAGCGAAAGAAGTTCAACATACGTATATACACTCGCTTAAACGAGGATATTTATTTTAGGCATTGCGGTTATGCTGCAGGGTGGTTAGTAATTTAGTAATCGTGCCAAATAGCTAGTGTGTGATTTTGATCAGTTGAATCCCCCTTTGTGGTGCATTATCAAAGTACATGTTCTGATGTGAAGTGGCCATTTAAAACTGTGATTTATTGTCCGAAATGAGTAAACGTGTCCCTCAAAGCCTTAAAAATCCAAAATTAAAACATGCCCCCGGATATGCTAGACAACATTAATATTTCAGCTGACCTAGTTGAAGCATTGGCTTCAACTAGGTCAGCTGTGCTTAACATGAGTGCCTTGTGTGGTATCATCACCATCGCAGGAGAGGCTGCTGTTAGGAGTGGTGCTGGCCACAACATCTACTATCTGTGTCGTGCTGACATGAGCATGTTGATGCCAACAGCACTTAATCCAGCTTGGTGCTATTGTAGTGAGTGCAATTTTGTGACCTTATGTATATAAGCTATAAGGGGACCCTTGTCTTAATATGAGGCTTTTTTGAAGCAGATGTTACATTGGAATGTTTGGTAATTTCTATTTAAGAAGTGTTTTGCTTTGTATGGGAGAAGACCAGAGTATCCGGAGAAAACCCACACGAAATGAGGTGATAACACTCAAGGGTCGACACAGATGGACTCATGAACACATTTGCTTCATCTGAGTTGCTGTCACACCTGGATTTGTATGTCCGCGTGACTACATGCGTCCGAGTTAAAACGCGCGTCAACGTGACTCTGCACGTCCGCGCGACTCTGCTAGATGCCGGTGCCCTGCGAGAGATCACGGGCAGCAGCAGCGGAGGCAGCAGGGACGTCACGTCCCCCGCCGCCGAGTCCCGGCCGGAGCTGTGCATTCCGCGCACAGACTCGGGCATCGGCGACGATCAACCGGGCAGCGCGCCCAGCCTGCTCACCTCCCCCGAGCAGCCGGACTCCGGCAACAACAACAACAACGGCGGCGGCGGACACGGCGGCGGAGGAAACGGCGGCAACGGCGCCGTGGCGACGAGCGGCAGCGCGGCGGCCACGTCGGCCGGCTCGGACGCCGTCAGCCAGCTGCTGTGCAGCCTCTCGGGGGAGGTGAGGCGGCCGCCCCCCGCGCCCTGCGCCGACGAGGCCACCAGCAACGGCACGGGCAGCGGGCCCGCGTACGCCCCCGGCTCCCAGCACGGCGCCCAGGGGCTCGCGCAGCAGGCCGCCGTCGCCGCGCCGCAGGTGACCGTCGGCGCGGGCGCGGCGCCGGGCGGCGGGATGCCGGCGGGCGGCCCTCCGCAGGGGAAGGGCGTCAGCGTGAAGGACATCCTGCGCAGCCTGGTGGCGGCGCCGACCGGGGAGCTGGTGGGACCCGCGGAGCCGGCGCCCAGCTGCGAGGTGGTGGAGCCGCGCTTCATGCTGCCCATGCAGTTCCACTCGTTCGACAGGTGCGCACGCGCCAACGCTGCACGCCCTGACTCCAAGCCTCATATATCCTCTTTACGATCCTAACTAGAAATTCAGGATCCCAGTCGTGAGTGTGATGACCCTAGGTTGTGCTTGTTTTTAGTTAGCCCAGATATTTTTTTTTGCACAATATGCATTCGTAGTTTGTTTAATTGTCACATAAATTAGCTTATATAATAGCAATTAAATGAAGAGCCCTCTTTGTAATGATGAATGTTACCTAACTGGGTAAGTTCATCTAAACTTGTTCCTCAAAACTAAGTACATTTTTTCGTGATACTGCATAGGCAATGGTGCACAAGCACAAACAACTAAAATCCAACAAATTCGTCAACAACGCTGTGGCCTTAAACATATCATTATGGTGACATTTTGGGTATCGGTCCTTCCATGCCCATGAAGGAAGGCCATTGCTCAAAACATTGCCTTTCACGTAATATTTTTTTCCCTTTTAAGGCCACACTGTGAAAGTGTTGAGTTCTATTCATTTACTTTGCTTTCACGCGTTTATGCACGTGCGTGTCTGCTCAGGAGTGTTGTGGTCCCAGCCAAGAAGGGCAGCTCTGGGGGGCTCGTGTCCACCACCGGGGAGCTGCTGGTGGAGGGGGCTCCGGGCAGCGCCGCTTCTGGATTCGCCAGCACCATCTCGGCGGCGTCCCAGCGTGCCATGATCAACACCACCGGTGAAACGCTGTGACCTGTCTGCCCTCTGCTGGACCCAGTGCCATCAGCAAGGCCATTTTCTGCGAGAGTTTGTAGTTCCTAAAAAAACTCGCCCTGGTGTGCTGAAATGATAGGAATTGGCACGTTAAAAACAAACGAGCATTTACGTGGCCAAATGCAACTATGGGTCAAAGTAACTTTTCATAAGCCACGGTCTAACGTTACTAGAAACCATCACGTGAACTCTGGTCAACCTCGCAGCGGCTTTTGGCTTGCCATCGAACGAAGACGGTCACCGCATTGCGAGCTTTCAGATGTGCTTCTGCGACCATCTGGAATGCCCTTCCTTGCGATATTAGGAAGCCATTGGAGCTATGCACTTTACAAATCTAAATTGAAATACATTTGTTTAGAACTGTTTTTTGTGTTTAGTTTGTTGTCCACCCCCCGCACATCCTATTTGCACGGTTGGCTACGTACGTTGTGAAAGAAGTTCAACATACATACATACAAAATCCAAACATCCAATGCCGACGATATGCTACCACATCCTGCCATGACTTTCTTGCTAATGCTGGATCACAAGGACGTTGTTGACACCCAACCTCCTAACTAGGCGATTACATGTTCCTGCTGTCCAGTTCCAGGGATTCCTTCCCCCTGATCACTGACATCTTAGTGCCGCTGCAGTGCTTGACTCTTCACCCGATGCATCATTTGAACTTGAATTATTTATCTTCATGTTAGTTCACTTACCTTTCAAGTGCTGTGTGCCCTGCCTATGGGAGGCGCGGTATAAATATTAAACGATGATCGTGACGATGAAAGGCATCGTCGTAAATTAGGTTGAGAATATTTGGTTACGGATTTTTGTTTTAGAGTCACATCATGTTCCATACATCCAAGTCGTTTACCCGACTCTGCCATGAAATTTTTACCATCCTTGTAGTGTACTTTGATGACTTGAGGGTAAATAATTAATGTTGCATAATCCTTCATTTGACATTTTAAATGTAATAATGTAAATTCGTAATCACATTCAGAAAAATTACATTATTAAATAAATACGTTGTGATTACTGTAAATATTTCCTTAAAATGGATGTTACTTTGAAAATAAGAACACTATTGTGATTGTCGGCTTTGCTGATATTTATGCATTCGTACGATCCATTTTTGTCCATATCTCCATTTAAATTGAAGGTATTGTTTTCAAGTACAACATGAGAGTGATCAAACAGTGCATTGTATATAATGATAATCTAATTGCAAGCTGAACACTAATGTACAATATTAGCGACATTCGACTTTGTTAGTCTGATTACCATAATGCATTGCTGCTTGTAACGCATTACTCCTCGACTTGGGCTTTAAGATGAAACAAACAAATTAGTGTTCTTTATTCAAGAAATCCTCACTGGGTCTCAAGAAATTTGAACTATAGAGCCCTTAACTTGGATGTTTTGCAAATGTATTTTATTTGAGTGCATGCTGGAGGAAACCAGACGAGCTGGGGGAAAAAAACCCAGACATATGAAGGGATTATACAAATCTACACACATTGTTTGAGAACCCATTTGCTGTACTCCCATCATCAATTGCCGAATAACCCAGCAGGATGGGAAATATTAACGTGTCATTAACCCACCACCATCACTCGACACAGCCAATTATATTAACGCGATCTAACCCACAAAAAAAGTAATGTTTCTGATGAGTAATTTTGGTCACGTGTTAAACAGGCATGGGAAATATCTCAATCCCGCTTCTCCAAAGCGCCAGGTTTGCACGCGTGTGCCACCACGCTCTGCGACTTTGCTCGCGAACATACCCCAGTGTTTAATCATCATCATCGTCGTCGTCGTCATCGTCGCACGTCCCGTATTGGGTATCACAAATTACTTGCACTGGACGACGTTAACATCCTAAAGAGGGAAAAGGGCCCTCAGGGCTGCACAGCGATTCATCAGCGCGGATCACGACGGTCATGTTCTGTCTCATAAGTCCGAATGTCTTCATAAATACGAGATAAAGAGACATAACATGCACATTCAGTCTCGCACACACACACACACACCACATCCCCAAGGCTGATAAATTATGAAGGGAGCCAACCTAGTTGTGGTACATTAAACATGACCCGAAATACCATGAACGTGAGAATTAATGACAAGAACCGAGCACCAAGCTGCTTATAATGTGTTGCACTAGGGAGACAAAGTTGGATATGGACGATTACCAAGTAGGCCCACAGCCTATAACACCCATTATGCACGGTGGCCGCCCATGTGAGTCGTCTTCAGGCTCAAACACGATTGATTACCTTCCGTGTCGCAACGAGACTCGGCCCATTCGATTAGCATGGTTGGCTAGGTACGGTGCGAAAGAAGTTCAACGTACAGACGTACATACTTTATGTGCGACTTGTTTACGGGGGAAATATGCTCGTTATTGCAAGCCGACCAGTCCTCGCCTAGGGCACAGCGCTGCATCGCAACGTTAGCGGGCGGTGGGGACACGATTCGAGCAATCGCGCGTTGGGTCTCTTGCAGGAGAGGTGGCCCCAGCCCCAGCTCCACCCACCTCCAGCTTTGTGAACGGAGCGACGAGTCGGAACCTGCCCGCGGTGCAGACGGTGGCGCCGCTCCCAGAGGACTCCATGGAGAACACCAGGTTGCTGTCCGTCTGCTGTCTGTCTCTCTGGCCAAGCGCAAAAGACCACGAATGTCTCAGGCGGCTTTAGAGACGTCGTCACCGGCGGTCGTTGCTGGTTTAAAGTTGCCACCCCACTTTCGATGTGGGGGGGAGGAAATAGCATTCTGCAGTTGCCCTAATCTGGACAAAACTGATTGCTGCTCCCAAGAATGGCCAACTGAACAAATCGCTCCACGGTTCTGCCCCACGCGATCTCGCTTCTCTTATTTATTATTGTGTCCCAACTCGGCCCCTGCGTTCACAATCTCTATTGTCCCTCACTATGTCCCCCCCCCCTCCCTGTGCTCAGTCACGTTTCTGCTCCTGTTCCCTCCTGGCTCCCCTCCATTGGAATAAACTCCCACTCCAAGTCGACCAGGCCACTTCACTCGCCATCTCTCCCTCTACTACTTCCCCACCTCGTGTTTAAAACCTTAACCATCCTCCCTCTTTCCTTTCGTAACCTCGCTCCTCCCTTTCCCTATCATCACCCTTCCTTGCCATCGCTTCCCATTCCCAACACTCAAACCCCATGCCTTTACCCCGATCAGCCAATGCAAATGTACCATTTATAATTATTTTAAAGCGCGTTGACAATGATAATAGGTTTTCCCCCTTTTTTCTGGCAACAAAACAGGTGTTAAAATGTTAAAACACCAAACTGAAACCTTTTACAAGGAATCGTGTCTGCATTCACCACAATGCTTGTGGTCAGAATGCAAAAACCCGATATTGTGTACTCTGTAGGCCAAACGTATTTCAAATGCGCAAACTAGTCAATAAAAGATTTTTCATTGGTGAGACAGAACTCGGCTACTGGATTCCATTGCCACCCCGTAGTTTCTCATAATACATGTCGGTAACAAGTGGCCCGTAATGAGTGCCCCAGAGTTTCCCCAGAATAATTACGGGCCTTATGATTTAAATGTTGACCCCCTCTCGCACACCTGAGAACCATTCACCGCAGAGATGACAGGTGGCTCACAAAGCCAATGCCCATATAAGAGGACTGAATCGGCTTCCTTGAAAACCTTTGTTCGAATCCTGGTATATACCACTCTTTATTAAACCAGGCAGTGAAACAGCGATCGGCAACCCAGACGAGTCGGTGGGCCGTGCGAGCAGCCCATCTTAACCTCAGCGGGCTGCAAGCTTGACATCGTGCTCTTCCACTAACCATGACCCCCACGTGTCACCCAAGATGCACTTAGACCAGGCCACCGTAAGAGGCGCTGCAGGTTGCCCACCACTGCTCCAGCACGTGACAAGATGATGGTATTCGTAAAATAGCGGTCGGATCATTATAGTCGAGTCCGAGTCATAGTGGCACTCTGGTTGGAACTTAACTCACAATGGAACATTTTCGATTTCAAATTCCAGTTGGGGATCGACACACCTCTGTGGCGCATAAAAAATGATACCGCTTTGTGGATATTCAACAGTGTTTATCCCATGAGGATACTGGCCCATTCCATAGGAATGTGGAATTTCTACTGTTGCCTCTGGACTGACATCCCTATAATGCTCATTGTGACAGGGAGACACGAATTACTCGATTGTTGTGTGTATATATACATTTGAGTGGCGCTATATACGTGGTGATTTTGGTCTGCTTTACGATCGTTTTTGTTGACAGCATCACGACCAAGCTGGAGCGTGCGCTGGAGAAGGTGGCTCCTCTGCTGCGCGAGATCTTCGTGGACTTCGCCCAATTTTTGTCGCGCACGTTACTGGGCAGCCATGGCCAGGAGCTGCTCATTGAAGGTGCAGAATCCAAGTGCCGTCTTCCTCCATTCCAGACGGGCCAAAGTTACTGCTCCACACAATGCAAACAGTCAGCCGCAGCATCACCATTGCCACAGCACCCTCGCCGCCATCCTTGTCGACACCGCTACAAGCACCGAAAAGGACAGAGTGTGGGAGCCGGGAAGGTGGCCCATGGGCTGATGATGCTTTGTGGCACTAAGCCGACGCTCGTGAGATCCTAGGTTTCATCCGTGTCTCAGCCTCCCGTAATTAAAATTAGTTCTCAAGTGCGGTGAGTTGATGGTCTCCTCTCAATGACAATTGACTCTGTAAAATATACTCATTTAGCTTTTTGCTTAATTTGGAATTTTATAGTCATGAGAATCCGAGACAATTTGTAGTTTTTGATCCTTTACGGCGGGCGCCTAAGAAGCAATTCAAGAAACCTCAGAAGTAGTTCTGTGATGATGTAATCTTCAAGAGATTGTCCTGCAACATGGGGTGATAAATTGAGCTCAAATTTAATTTGGTCTGATGACATGATACCAATAGCACGGCTAGAATATGTTCGGTGGGTAAAATCATCTATATTATAGAATAAGATAAAGCATCTCCAAATGCATCACATTTGATAGCCGTGAGCCAAGTGGTGGGAATCCGCACACTCATAGGAGGGACCAGCCTCTCCTTAAGACAACATAAATGGCATCCCACAAAGTGGTCCTTGTTTTAGCTGCCCAAGACGGATGACTGGGTCACTCCAAACTTTCTACTTACTGGCTGTGAGGCAAGTGCTCTAGCCCTAACTCGGTACATACAAACATGTATTCTGAAAGCATTTGTAAAACCAGAAATAGGCTAGCTTCCTCGTGTAATCACACTGGAGTCAGTACACAATGTATAAAGCCCGTTGTTCCAGTATTTTTTTTGCATATTTTAAGATGTTTAGGCAAAGAGTAACAGTTATATTTTGTATGCAAGCAACATATTATTGTCCTCAGTGGATGTCGAATTGCACATGAAGGATTTATTAAAGGATTCTCGGAATGTAATTGCATGGCAATATTGCCCCCGGGAGCGTCTGTACTACATCATGTCCTTTGTTCCTGCACTGACACCGTAATATATTCATTAGAATGCACGCACACACCTTATCTTGAGTGCAATCATCTCCACTGGCCTCATGGGTACTGCATGGCAATGCTGTAAACAATTGTGATGAAGTATTGCACGCTGGCCTCTGTAACAAAAGCTCCTCGTAAATTTTAACAAGTTGTCCGTGTGCAAACGTTTTGCAAAACGCTGATAATTGGCAAATTGAATCGCACGTTTCGCTTTGAGATGTCTCGATTTCGTGACGGACAACACCTTAAGAAGTAAGATAAGCAGGCCTTGTTATTTGTCGTCGGCGCCTCTACGTGTTTCTCATGACTGAAAATGCGTTCATGCATGAATAGATCTGACTTCATGAAAATGTAAATGTGGCATCCCCCCTGCTTTATATGAGCAAAGAGGCTTCTCTGTTGGCAGCCCTTGGTTCTTCGGGGAAACGTCATATGACTCTGGCAGTGATCACTATTGACTTTAAAAAGTGTCATTCATTTAATCAATCTCAGAGGAGGGATGGTTGTCTAAATGGACTCCCAAACGGGATTTCACTTCATGCCCTACTCTACCATTGTACCACCTGGACAGATAATACCACCTGGCAAGAGTGCAGACAGTGAAGTCTACAGAAAATGTCACCTATATATAATAGAGTCCCAATGGGTTTTAAGACTCTTTTAGGAGAGTTTTCTATTGCAGTTTTTGGCCATTTCCATTCAGGAGTGTTTGGCTTGTGGGAGGAAATCAGCGTACTCAGAAGAAAGCCATATATCTATGGCCATCTTGCAGTCTAAGCCTACAATACCTCCCATCTAAGGACTCAGCAGGCTCAACTCTCAGTAACTTTCCGAATCTGGATGTGGTCATAGGGAATGAATAAGTACCTCTTGGAGAGACTCCGTCCATCTCTGGCAAGCATTTGAACTTGCAGCATCCGACTGCTATTTTTATGTAATAATACGATTTACATTGTATATAAAGTGTTGCATAATCAGTGTATCTTCATGTGTTTACAAGTGTGCAAATATTGAATTACATTGCTGTTTGTAGTGTGGAAGAGTAGCCAGTGCTCAGCACTATGATACCAATATTTCAGATTAAATTTCAAGCCTACAAAAAGCAATGACTATTCGTACTTGGACCTGACCTTGGCATTCCGTAGGTTGACTCAGCCTAAAATGCATACCTCGTGTTGTATGTCTACATCAGCGATTGGGGTGAAACGGGTGCTGAACGTGGCATTGACCGTAACTTCCCACTCACTTATGGTAGCTTCAATAGGTGCTCTACTTGAGCATATTGGCACAAGACAGAGGAAAGTGGAAACACATGACGAAATGTGCAGTGGACACCGACGGGCAATCTGCCCATGGATCGTGATGATGAATAGTTGCTCACTGACAGTGGTAGCACTCGACTCACAATAGCGAGGTAGTGACTTCATAATGTAGTCTGTGGTAAAGGCAGCCCCTTACTCTTTTTGCATCAATTAACTACATAGCACTTTAGCTGAGCAAAGACTGGCCTCCACCATATGAATGTGGAGTTACCTCCGCTCGCTCACAGACTCTGGTGGAGATCAGATTCAGAATCTTTAGTTATACCTGGAGGAATACGATGAGCTAAGAAGCACTTTTTCACATAGTCCAGTAGCGGTGGGAGTCAGCCAGTTACATCAACAAACAATTACAACAACGATACGGGTGCAAAATCGAGAAAATGCGAGCAAGTAGAATCTTGACTTAAAGCTTTCGTGACTGCAGGAATTCATATTCTTTGGGTCTTTCGGTAAAGTCACGTAGATAGGTTCAAAAAAATTACAAAGAACTACGACGTTTCGATCGCAACTTCATCTCCACCTGATGGCGACCGCTTGTGCCGCGATTAAAACGTCGTAGTTTTTTGTAATATGCATGCAAGTCACTAAACAATAATAAGCACATATGTACTAATTGCATACGTAGATATTTTCCTGCCAATTTTTCAACACTAAATGCAAGCTTGGGCAAGGCAGCAAAAACAGTCGCAGACCACACCAAGACAACACGCAGTAGTCCCTCATAGAATTGCGCATGAAAATGTAACTATATCGATACACGGGTGGTAAGGATTAAAGTTACAAATCACATTTGCAATTATGGTTGTACCCAGTAGAAATCTTCTGCTTCAGGATATATTTTTGAAGGAAGATTTGCGGTGTTGAGGGTTAGGAAACAAGGTTGTTCCAAAACGATGGTTTTTACAACTGGGAGAAAGAGGATTTTTTGTCACCTACAATTATTCTTTGGTTCTTTCGGTAAAGTCACGTAGAAGTAAAATAATTTCAATAATAGAATGCGACGTTTCGATTGCAACACAAGCAATCGTCATTAGCTAGAAAACAAACCTAGTAAACTTAGAAATATAATGCAATACAACACAGAGAGTCGGCTAACTAAACAGTCAACACCCTACCTGGTTGATTACGTTCTTCCAAAGATTGCTAAATTTGAGAGAGAGAGACAAAACACAGACACGGAGGCACAGACAGATACACAGCAGAGAGAGACAACACAGAAACACACAGAGAGAGAGACACACAACATAGACACACAGAGACACAACGCCTCTGTGTCGATGCCTTAAATAGAGAGAGAGGTGGGTCTGCTGGAGCAGAGAAATTATCAGGTCAATGAGAGAGTTGTGTGGAAATCCACCCCGCAGCGGCCGGGGGAGAGAAAGAGCAAATGGACCTATTCAAGCCTGGTAAATTTTAGAGAGAGAAATAGGAAGTTTGAAAAAACAAACTTAGCAATTTTTTTGGAAATGTAATGCAATGCAACACAGAGAGTCGGTTAACACACAGTTAACACATAGCCTGGTTGATTACGTTCTTCAAAAGATAGCGAAATTAGAAGTTGTATGGAATTTGACAGAGACACACAGAGAGAGAGAAAACAAACTTAAATCATCCCTGTAGAGGTGGTTCAAACTTGAATTGAAGCTTTCGTGACTGCAGGAATTACTCTTTGGTTCTTTCGGTAAAGTCACGTAGAGAGAAAATAAATTAAATAATAGAAAGCGACGTTTCGATTGCAACACAAGAAATCGTCATCGGGTAGAAAACAAACCTAGTAAACTTAGAAATACAATGCAATACAACACAGAGAGTCGGCTACCACAACAGTCAACACCCTACCTGATGACAATTGCTTGTGTTTCAATCGAAACGTCGTATTCTATTATTTAATTTATTTATTTTCTACGTCACTTTTCTGCAGTCACGAAAGCTTCAAGTCAAGTTTTCTCCAATTATTGTTCTGGCCCATTGCTTGTTTATTTAGATAATTTTGTTGCTATAAATGTTCAATTGATGGGCCACTTTGTTGAGCTATTATTTGTAGCTTTGTCGCTTCTGAAAAGCAAGTTAATACCTCGATGGGGTTTTCCTGGTAGGATGGGGATGATATTCTTTGGGTCTTTCGGTAAAATCAAGGAGAACAACATTTTTTTTTAAACTGCTGCAGTCACGAAAGTTTTAAGTCAAGAATGGGGATGGTTTCGTGTTATTTGTTTGTGTTTGAGTGATTCTTTTACCTTTCTTGTACTTTGCACTACTATTTTGTGTTTGTATTGCTCGGTGTTGTAACGTTCTTACCCGCCCCTCGTGCACATCTGTGAAGAGCTTTATAGCTCATCAGATTCCTCCCGTATAAATACATATTCTGACTATGATTTTCACTTGACACTTAACAGCACTTCAGTTCACTCAAGACATACAAGGGGATGTGTACATTTGCGACGCCTGTGTGTCTAGCCTAGCCTGGGTGTTTACAATCACTGAACACGTTGTGCCACCAGCCATGGATTCTCTTTGCAAGCGAAGGGTTGATCGGCCTTCATGCTTCACCTTGAAATATCCATAGCGTACTTGCCTGCTGCCGCGATAGACGCTCGCATGACGCCGTGTGATCCATTTGTTGTGAAGGCGTCCACAGGCGCCGGCAATGACTCCCGTGTTGGTGTCCAACAGCAGGCGGCAGTGTTGGAACACATCCCGGAACGATTGAAAGCGATCCGTTTACAGATACCCCACCAAAATAATACGGAGATAATTACAGAGAAAACAATATTGGAATGTAAAGCCTCTTGCATGTCTCCCACCAATCCCACGACACTTATTCAATATTTTACCATTGTCCTGATAAGCTTTGTACAAAATAGCCAGTCCTTGTTGTGTGTTGCTATCAAAATATTCGGATTATTAGGAAACAACGGGGTATCTATAAATGGATCGCCCTATGATTTTTATTTTTGTTATGTTACCCCAATGGTTCATTTCACAATCCCGGCTGATATAAAGTAGTCAAATTACAACATAGCACCGCACCGTATATGTATCCACAATGCAATGTGGCATTGTAGAGTGTGCACACGAACCCTTTCACTTTGCATTATCACGAGCGATGGCGGTGGCTTGGGAAGACCTTCACCGAGCAGTGCATGGACCATACATGATGATGATGAGCGATGATGATGATGATGAATGTACCTGGGTCTCCAGACACTGCACAAAACAGGGGCGTCTGGCAATGGAGGGGGAGGAATTATTTTAGCGGTTATTATCAGAGGAGGGAGGAAGTGAGGGTAAGGGAAGCCAGGGCAGAGAGGGTCAGGAGATAAAAGGGAGTTGAATGTTGACAATTCATAAGCGCAGCAGGCGAAGGGAGGAACGTCTCGAGGCTGAACTTGATTATGGGGAGTGAGTCTGCAGGGCATATGGCCAGGAAGGTGGAGGGAGTTCCAGACTACTGTGTGCCATGAACACATCTGAGATTGAATGTTGCTTGTTACGACAATCTAAACATGTACAAAGGACCAGAGCGAGGGGCATGCCTGGAATTAAACTTTAAAACTTTTTTATTTTACCAGGTAAGGCCCACTGAGCTATACAGCTCTTTTTCAGAAGTGAACCTGGCCACAAATGATAGCTCAACGAAGTGGCTTATCACGTGCAAATGTTTCGCAGCCAAATACTCTAAACACATGTTTCTAAATGTGGAGGGGAAAACCAGAGGACGCGCAGAAAAATCCACACGATCACGGGGAAAACATACAATCTCCAATTTTCAGGCGTTATGGGGTGGGATGGATCCTACGACCTCCTGTAAACCAGGCAAGGTAGTTAACATCTGACCACCGCCACAAAATGACGAGATACTAACTATATTACCTTGACAGCAATGAATTGCATTGACGGCAAGGGGAACATGTAAATAAAAAAACATAAGCAAGTTAGAGTGGGCTTGGGCAGGACATGTCACTCGAAGGGTTTATAGCGAGTGTTCGAGACGAGCGACGGGAGTGCCAGGCAAAGAAGGAAACATCACGATCTAATCAGAGTTCAGAGTTCAAGTCCCAGTTGGGAGTCAACTCGGCCAACATCCTGCTGTGGTGAATAAAATCAGGATGTCACGAGTGGCTATACCCTACTTTGATAGACTAACCCTGCCATCACAATGTGGAATATTCTCCACTGACTTCGGACCACCAATGAAATCGAGAGCCATCCTATTGCTTGTTTTAGCAAGGAGATCCTCGATTCTGTACGGGTCCAAGACTCAGCCGTTCATGCTGCTAGCAATCATTACCTTAATAGGGGTGAAAAATGCACACCGGTGTATTTTATGCGGACGCATCAAGTTGCATACTTATATCAGCACAGTAAATGAAGCTAACACAACAGTCAACATTGTAGCGTATGCGTACGAGTAACTGTTACACCTCCTTTCAGTCCAGACATGTAATGTTTTATTCCAATATGCATCCAACTGTAAAGTTAAGCGAATTCTTTCGTGTATGAATACTCTTTAGCAGACGAGCCTTCAAATAAACAACTTGTCATTGGATATGTTTTTCCCCCGAAGCTGTTGAGATCAGCAGCAGTGTGCATTAATTGTTTAATGCAACGTGAACAGCACGATGTAAACCACACTGGAGAATGAGGACGATGATGATATCATTTAGTCGCAATGCAATACCTTGTGGACTCTCAACAGCTGCACATGCTGTGCTTCTTTTCACATCAATAATGCAGCTTCTTTGCAAGAGAAAAAAAATCAATACGTGAGTGCTTCCTAATGGGACAGAATATTGGATTGTGGGTGCGCGTGTGGAAGCCGATAGCTGATACGGATGCTTTGAAAGGATCCTGGCTCGCCCTGATGTCTGCCTCCTGCCGCCTGCGCCTCTAGTCGCCAGTGGCCTTGTATAGACCACGGCTTCATGAGGGTTGACTACTGTAGGTCATTTTGATGTCGAGAGAGAGTGCGTGTGTGTACGCTTTGTCAGTGGCACGTGTCCATTGGATAAACTGGTCCCTACCATTGGAATGGGGAATTTTCACCACTTTCTCAAGGCCGCGAGTTGAGGACAGCCCCAGTGCCCTGATTGAGCTGGTAGATCTATGAGTTTTGACTTTCAAACATCGACTTGCTTGTTGTAACAGTTGCTTTCGTATGCTTATGTTCTCATGCTTTTCAATTTAAATTAACAAAACTTATCTTTTTATAGGCTTAACGCTACATTGGCGCGACTTGTTGTGTGTGCAATTTCAAACGTTTTGCTCTCTTTTGTACACATCAAAAGCATATCAACATACATACCATGTTGGGGAAATCACTACTCGTAATCCTGACCCTGGCAGTGACTGCCCCTTCCCTCTGTGCCACAGTACAGCATCACCAAGGTCCGTGTGGGGCCTGGCTCCATCTGGCTTCGGCTAATAAAACAATGGTGTCAAATATGTGCAGTTGGTAGTTGGTGTTGGTGTTTATGCTGCCCCCTGACACGTGTGTGTGTGTGTGTTTCGATTCGCTCCAGGTCTGGTGTGCATGAAGTCCAGCACGTCTGTGGTAGAGCTCGTGATGCTGCTTTGCTCCCAGGTATACACACACACACGTGCACATACGCACACACGTGCACATACGCACACACAAAGACAAAGATCCCCCGTATAGCCTTAGCAGACTGTTGGCGAGCACCTATGAAGGCCAGAATGGCACACGAGTATTTGGGTGGCCAGCACCACGCCCGGCTGCCTTTGTCTCCCTAGTGGCAATGTTTTTACGCACCGCACCAGGTACTCATTTGAGGCTGAATCGACCTACGGCAGTCCCAGGACCGGTTCAGATAATCGCCACTGGTGTTGGTGGCGAGCGGGAATCGAACTCGGGTCGCCAGGTTCATAGCACAGCGTGCTAACCGCTACACTCCCGCACACACGTGTACATATGCACATCATGACATACGTAAACTCTCTGTGTTAAAGGGAAAGGTTTTATTTTTTACATGTTTTTGTGACTTGCTTACCTTTCCTATGCTTTGCACTCCTATCGTTTTTTGTATTGTTTGCTGTTGTAAATTGCTGACCCACCCCTACTGAACATCGGTGAAGAAGAGCTTCATAGCTCATCGGATTCCTCCAGCCTAAATCAAGATTCTGATTGTGAAGGTGCAGCCCTGTCGTAGTTGCGTGGTCACACCACTGATCACAGAAGGGCTTCCACTGGATGATTCAGAGAGCCCCTCTAGAAGGTATTTGGCCTAGTTGTCCATGCCGGCCAGATGTCTTGGAAGAGGTGGGAGAACCCACACGTTACTCCACTGCGCGCGACCAGCCAATTGAGCGACTGGTGAAACCCATTCATACTGCTGGGTTGGCAAAGGCAGGGGGATTTAAGAAACGTGACCCATTTTTTCAACTATCGCACCAGGAGATTGAACCGGTGACCCCTGCATTACAAGTTCAGCGTGCTTACCCGTACGCCATGGCAGCATCCGTACAATATACGTGTGTGTTTGCACTGAGATACAATGATCCCCTATTTATCCGTACAGACCACAGAGGCAATTGCTATCGGTGAACCTGTTCAAGGCTTGTGGTGTAGCCAGCACCACCCTGCTGCCCTTGTCTCCCCAGTGCTGACGCTGACCAATCGGCATCAGGTGTTCGTTTAAGGCTGAGTTCACATTGAGGAGGTTAAGGGCAGCGTTTATATGTCGTTATATGTCACCGGGATTTGAACCCAGGTCCATGTGATGGTAGTAGCACTGTGCAGTGACCGCTAGCCAGGGCTTAATTTTAGCCGGGTTCGCCTGGGTTGGCAAATGGGAAAATATTTCCGCGTCCGGCACACCACATCCACTATCATCATGATCATCACCACAGCCATGATCACTCCACTGCTGGATGAAGGCCTATCCTGCAAGTGTAGTAATCTGCCTCGGGGTAACTGTTGCTAGAGCTGTGGCTACCGGTCAGTTGTCTGCTCCAACCTGCCGGGGGCCTGGACAATATTCAGTGAGAAATTGAGCCCTCAACCTGCCACACGACTCCCTTTCCTTCCTTTTTTCCCCAGTGCAAAGACAAAGACAAATATCCCCATATAGCCTCAACAGACTCTTGGAGCAAGTGCTGTTAGCAAGCACCGATGAAGGCCCCAACAGTCTGTTAAAGGCTATACGGAGGATTTTTATATTGTCTTCCCGTTGCACACACACGCTGACAAATATTTGCCATGTTTTCCTTTACGGACCGACCACACAGATACCCGCCTAAACTGGACATTTGTGCAAAAGAGCTTCATAACTCATCGAATTTCTCCCAGATAAATAAAGATTCTGACTCTGACAACACAGTTTCACAGAACTTCCATCTGCGTAGTTATCTCCCACATCATTCACATCTCTGCAATAGGCAGATGTGAGGAATGGAGGACAAACGTTTGGGAGGTCTCAGTCGCCGATCTCTTTATGGCGCAGTTATCAATAACATCCCAATAGCTCCTCCTTGAGCGAGCTACCCAAGGTAAGTTAATTGTATGTTTAAGCTCTCTTTAGCTGCTATCCTTTATTTTACATTACAAACCAGGTTAGTCCCCAATTGGATAAGTGTTGCGCAATTACACCATCCCAAAGTTTAACGAAATGCTTCGAAAACCGTTTTATATTTCTTGAAGTGCAGCTGTTGCTTCAATCAATTGACTTACACCTACATCAAAAATAAAAGGACTATACCTGATTGACAATTGATTGAGTTTTGGTGCAGAGATGGAAGCTCCGCATCCCCGATTGGCACGGGTTTGGATACGTAACGGTGCAAAAGAAGTTGCATCCTGTATGGTAATAATCTCGAGGTCATATACAGCACACGCATTGATTCACATCATCACCTTTGGACGACTCCAGCCACGATGATTTGATTGAGAGCTGCGCGAGGATTAACGCACCTGGGCAATTGACCTGTGGACACCACTCGCCCCATAACTGGGAGGATTCTCGCGGCACGAGATCCCTCATCTCGGTTCTGCCTGGCGCCAGTTTCGAGAGGAAGGCATTTCCTCCTCCGCGCGGAGTCCCCGGGTAGCGCGTTGCTGATGGATGCCGAAGGTCGTGACTTTAGAGAGTGTGCATCAGCGGCGGTCTGCGATTCGGTTACGGGTGTAACTGCGGAGCAGCGCCTCCCTCCCAGATCCCGTTACGCTGAGCCCTGATCAAAGCCACAGTGAGCGGCAGGAAAGAGGCCTCTAATCGGAGCCAGACGGCAACTTTGACGCCCTCCTACTATCCCGCCAGCCCTCGCACGTGCGCCGTGAGCGGCGGTCGCGAGCTGGCCAAGCTGACTCCAACAGAAGAAATTTCAGCAACTGAATCATGCACGTTTCAGTCATAAATGTAAGACATATTTAAGGCATGTATAGCATGTTTAAAAAATAATAATTTCTTTCGTTTTTGGTAAGAGGTGACTGCGTTTTCTTTGCACTTTTCATTTAACACGGCTCCATGTGCGTTTTTCCACGAGCTAATTTCGAGCGCCGTGAGCAAAGCCATGCACAATAGTTTATAAGAGCCCACGTTGTTGCGTTGAGGCGGAGCGGTGGCGCCGCGGTTTGCGCACTGCGGTATGTGAACCCTTGCGACGCGAGTTCGATTCCCGGCCACCGCTCACGTCGCTCGTATCTGAATCGACCCCTGGCCACCCCCCCCCACCCCGCCCAGCCCACACGACCAGCATGGTGAGGTATGGCCAAACAAAATCCATGACTCGCACGTTGTGGGGAGGCTTTGCTCCAGCGGTGAATGGACATATGTGTGCACTGGTTTTATTTATTAAGCTACAAACTTACGTGTCGTGTTGAATCATGAACGTTTCATGACGGTGATCATAGTTGTTGTTGGGTTTGGTTGAGTGGTCGGTTTACGCCCAAAATCTCGTCGTTGACACTTCACCACCTGACAAGATTGTTACGTTCACAGAGATGTTCTTTATGCGAGGCCAAATGTATTGGACAAGATTTGTGGCACAAACCTACTGCGTGGCCGAACCCAAAATGAACATGTATTGTATTGGCTAAAATATAAATACTAATTTTAAATTATGCACTCAAACATGACTAAACACTCATTCCACAATTATATATTGTTTCATCACGACTGTTTATTTGTCCTCAAATGAACGATTAAACGTGACTAAGTTAAACTTTACCAATCACATTCTTCGGTGCCGTGCGTTATCGCAGAATTTGCTCGAAGCAAATAGCGTGTTCTTATTGGCACCGTCTCTGGCCAGTGGGGGCTGCGATTAGAGCGCTTGACTCACAAGTTCATATCCTGGCCAGAGGTCAGTACAGCCAATTGTTCATGCGGGGTTGTTTTTTTTATAATGAGCACCACTTTGTGTAAGGTCAACATTGATTGCATTGTGAAGACGCTGGCTCTGCCATTTGAATATGGAATGTGCTGCCAGTGAAGATTAGCACTGGCCTGTTCGCTCATTTGAACTGGGAGATGCACGAGCCGACATGTTTTACTTCCTGTGAGGCATTGATATCTTTGTCTGCTGTAAAGTGGTCATTAATGGCTGTGACAATCGTCTACATAAGCTATTGCGTCCTGATAGATTGGTCCTTATTTTCGATTTAAATGTTAACGCACATTTTTTTTTGTTTTGCTGGGGCAGGAAGGTCTTATGATAAATAATTAGGTTCCTCTAATGGCCAGACTGCTCAAAATCAGCAATGGGTGTACAGATTGAGACATTAATATCAATTATTTTACAGTCATATTACAGAATATCTTTGCGAGGTTGATGAATTAATGTATTGAATTCGGATAAAGCAATCAAGTTGGCTAGGTCTGCTGATCAGAGAAACATTTGTCAACTTAATAAAACTATGCAGAGCTCGTTGTAAAATATGGTTTTAAGCAACCACAAAACAACTTATTCATACTTGTTTGAGAGATAAATATTCATATGAAGTGGTTTCCTGATAACTATTATAATATTCTACTTGAATTATATTTGGTAAACTGAAAATATATAAAAAAAATTGACCTAAATATGAAATATTGCTAGTTATTAGACCGGAAAGGATACAACATTTAAGACGCATTGCTTTGTTGATGCAAATTCACGAAGCAGAATGACTAAAATATTCAGCCGGGGCCTTAAACAACAAAATGAGAAGTCAGAGGGGGAAAAAAGTTAAAAGAGTTAACCACCATCGTTATTAATTCCACTCACATTAATAAATTTAACCCATACTCTACCCAATATAAAAACAATTATCAGGTCAAGTTTGCGTTGCTGACAAGGATGGCCCTATCTTTCAGCTAAGCCGCTGTCTCCAGCATGGGAGACATGATGCCCCCACAAAGGCCCATCAGGCTGCCACACCCAGTTTTGAATCTCTCTGCATCAGCTTTAATAGAATCATGCTCTCTCCACGACCATCATTTGGATTGCGCTCATCCATTACGGCTCTAGAAACAGCATCTTTTATAACCATCATGCTATCACGATATCTCAAGCATTGCTATACAAGTCAACGTTTCTCCGTATTTAAACTAAGATTGCCAGTGGTGATAATTCCACATTCCTATGGCAGAGGCCAGTACATTCACAGAATGACCGCTGCTGACTTCTCACAACGTGCTTATTTTATGAGACCCTCACAGGGAGCGGTGGGTTGAGTTAACGCCCGACCGGGTTACAATCTTGCAACCTCCAAAATACGTTACAACCACACGCATACTCTTTGGTTATTTTGGCAAAGTCACGTCGGTATAAAATAAAATACATTAAATCACGACGTTTCGGGCGCAACACGAGCGTCCGTCATCAGGTGGAACAACCACAGCTAGAAACAAATGCTGTTTCTGGCTGTGGTTGTTCCACCTGATGACGGAAACGTCGTGATGTAATTTATTTTATTTTATACCCACGTGACTTTACCAAAATAACCAAAGAGTATGGATCTCTGCAGTCACGAGAACTTCAAATCTAGATTGAACCACAACACAACTTGGCCAGATCTGTGCATCACATATGAACCTAATTTGGTGTTTCAAAACTGGTAAAGCCAAGCCAAACATCTTTTCAAAATTAGAGTATAAAGAGAGCCCTTTTAGGAATGTTTTTCCTCTCAAATAAAATTGCATAGACTGGATTTTTTTTCTAAGCTGTTATGTTTCCTGCAATTTTTGAGGAATTGTGTAAGGGTGTGTGATGGAAAACACCATACATTTCCTCATTCTCAAGCAGGGCATGGCAACTCGGATATTAACTCGTGGTGCCTTCTACCAAAATAAATATCACTTGTGCCTTTGACTTTAAGGCATCTCTCGAATACATGACGTGCAAGAATTCAGGCCCACCAGTGGCGAAGCAGTCAATCACAGTCGCGGTTATTTTCACGGTGAATTGAATAAACCAGCAGAACACTGGTTCATGTAATTTCACGGGGACTGGCTTAATGTTTGCGAAAAAGAATCGCGGTGTACTCTTGCAATGCAATTACACTTAGCTTGTTTATGGTAATGAAACAACGTGCGTGCACTTGGGCTCTGTAATGCAAAAGGTGTTGCACTCACAGTTCTCACGTGGAGCCATCCATCCCTTGCCACTTGGTCCCCCCCTTCTTGAGAAACGTCCCAACTCTTGTCCGGGTTGTCCTCTCACGAAAAGCTGGTCCCGTCTCGTCACAGCAAGTAGGGTCCGCCGCACCCCCGATTTTAAATGTGCGCAATCATGCGTCTCGTTTTCATTAAATAACGCACATTGATAAATGGACTGATGAGCTGAAGGGCAAGTGGGTGATGGAAGTTAGCAGCGGGTACTTGTGCGGGCTACGCAAGTCACCGGCAGGACAAGCGTGCACGAGCCTGCATATGAGCGTGGCCTCTGCCACTCGGGGCTGTAGAGGGGTAATGATACCATCTGAGCCGGGGCTGTCTGTGGGCGAGAGGCTGCACTCTGCTCCCTCCTGAGGGCTCTTATCTGCGCGAGAACATCCCGTATCGATCATTGGAGGGGAAATGGAACGGGCTCGCTTCTCCCGCTCACATTTCAGCAAAGGGGAGGAATGGGGGGGGGGGGTAATCTAAAAAAGCACAGAGACGAAAAATAAAGTAATGTGTAGCGAGGATTATTAAATTATCCAAAGTGCCGCCATACGTTTGTGTGCGCTATTATTTGATTGTTAATTTGGTTCAGTTTTATTTCCACACTCTAGCTCCGCAGTCTGTGATGCCAGTGATAGTGTATCAGTCATGTTTAATGGTATTTTATTTATTTTTTCATAGGATGCTATTTGTATTTTATATTCTGAATTTTTGCAGGTACATTTAATCTGTCAGGTCAAGATACTTTTAGATAAAGAATTCAGGGAATTATTCTTCTACAAGCATTGACATTGCCATGTCATCTACATGACAATGGCAAATACAAGTAATGTTTTGAACGAGAGGTGTTCACATGTAACCCTTCATTGATTAAATAGTTGTTTCCTTAAGGCGTCACTGAGAAACAATAAAAGGAGCATTAACTCTTCGTAAACAGATTGTTTTGAAGAAAACTGTATTAATTATATGTTGTTCAATCGCACCCTTAAGCATAGTTCATGGTTAATCTTTGGGTCTTTCGGTGAAGTCACGTTGATAGAAAAACAATTAATTAAGTAGATAGAAAAATAACAATTATAGTTAATGGTTGTTTGCATTTTGTCGCAATAATACTGCAGTGCCGTGAAAAGGGTTTCTATTTGGTGTTTGAACATCTTAACACCCGTTTTATTGCCAGAAAGGGTAAATCATATTCTTTCCTTTTATCATTGTCCCAACTTGTTTATATGTTGCTTGCAAGCACTCCAAGTATAATGCTTTCCTCACGCACCGGCTGTTGTATAAGGGCCCGTGCAGGATAGATGGCCAGAGAGAGAGAGAGATGTGAGATTTTTGTTTGATCAACAAGGGAAGTGGCAAGAGATTTAGGCCGTCAATTCTAGATTTGAAGCTTTCGTGACTGCAAGGATTCATACTCTTTGGTTTTTTCGGTAAAGTCACGTAGGTTAAAAAAATCAAATAAGACACACTTAAGCGGTTGTGCTTTTGCTACGTTGTCCCCATCTGAAGTAGGACGCTTGTGTTGCGCCCGAAATGTCGTGATTTAATTTAGTTGTTTTCATTTTTTTTACCTACGTGGCTATACCGAAAAAAACAAAGAGTATTTTGGCCATTGTCTACTTCGCAGGCAGACGTGAGCGTCCATAATCAACGTTTTTGGGTTTAGATCGCGTTATTTATAAATGTGTCGTAACCCTCCACCAAACAGTAAAAAAGTGTCACGTTGACAAAAGACAAATAGTTCACTGCTTTAGCCCACCGGTGTGTTGAAGCCACAACATTTACAATTTGAGTACGACGTTTCGCTGGTAATTGCATCCAGCATCATCGGGTATGGTGAGGCCGTGTCGGGTGGTGGAGGGTTACGACACATTTATAAATAACGCGATCTAAACCCAAAAACGTTGATTATGAATAACATTGGTCGCGAAAGCCTACGTGTTAGACGTGAGCGTAGCGTTGCGTTGGCTGCCGTGTGGGCAGTGACCGCCGCCAGCCTCAGGCCTTGTTGATGCAGGATCCCTCGGGGGAGCTCCTTGTAACTGTGCACTGCTCTTCCTCACCACATTTGGCCACTCCACAAAACTAGCAGCTGCCCAAGAAAAGGCATTTTTCTATTTTTTTTTTACCACAGGGCATATGGCAACTTCCATTTACTCAATCTCAGATAAATTAGATCAACTACATTTTATTGTCCAGCAGACAAGGTCCGAGTTCATTGTCAGTCTTCAAGATGTTTACGATTGGATTTATCTTCGATTGATAAATTGTACGGTCCCACAGAAAGAAAAAAGACTCAGTGAGGGTCTGCTGGAGGAATGCATAAAATGACTTTTGCACGTCAAATAGACATTCGGTGACTGTAATTATTCATTGGTTAGATATATCCTAGTTGAAATTCCAAAGTGATTTGGGCCAAGCATACTAGGAATCATATTGACATACAGAAAGAGGAATACACCGATTAGATACATACAAGTGATTATCTTCAGTTTAACATGTAGGCTTTCACGACCTATATTATCCATAATAGAGTTTTTTTTTGGGCTAGATCGCGTAAATATAAATGTGTCGTTAATCCCGCCGTCACCTGACACAGCCGATTGGTAAGGTTTGTCATATAAACAAAACGTGGCAATTCGTTACTAGCACAGCACCACCGGTGTGTCGGAGAGTAAACCCACAACATTTACAATTCGAGTACAACGTTTCAAACTGGTTCTCAATAATGCACAGTGCGCTAACCGGCGTGCTGCCGTTCCTCCCTGAGTAATAATAATTACGTGCCATGCCAAGTTGAATTTGCACTAAAACTGGAGACAATGGTTAATTCACAAAATGTCAGCGTCAGTCGTTAACGTCTGTCGATGGTTGTCATCAAGTCTCGACTTTTCCATTGCCTGTGCAGGAATGGCAGAACTCCATCCAGAAAAATGCCGGCCTGGCGTTCATCGAGCTCATCAACGAGGGACGGTGAGTGCAGCTTTTTGCCATCGTGGGCTCGTACATGCCGCATGCTTTCATAACAATTTACAATGTACATTAAATCCACATTTTTCTTGCTGAAGCTAGCAGCGATATATCCTTGACGTAAACTCATATTTTTGATAGCTCTCATTCTATTTCAGTCAAGCTTAATTGTTGGTTACCTCTTCTTGTGTTTTAGACATTCAATTAGAAAAAAAAGTAACATTATATACTTTCCATTTTTAGTCTATTGATAACATACCTCTGAATGAGAAATTTTAATGAAAATATATTATAATGTTCTTATTATATTCGCTCCGACCCTCCACAATATTATTACGCTGACATTTTATGAGGTTGTTTCCGTGAAGTCAAATCTTACACTTCGTCACATGCACGTGTGTCGCACGTGCTGAAGCCAGAGTACATTCCGACACACACCACTTGTGTGTTGTGCAGAGTGTCGCTTTGTGCGATACCTCGTTCTCAGTACCACGGGTGCTGCGAGCACTATGCTGCTGCAGATTGCCGAGTGAGCTGCCTGTGGTGTGCTTCTTGCACCGCGTGCCGTTGCGTGCAGAGCGTTATTGTCTTGCCGAACACAATGTGCTGCGATCCAAGTGACGGCGCATTTCAAATGCCCGTCGTGCACGCAACTGGCAAATTGCGTGTGAACCCCCCCCCCCCCGGTCCCCCAAGGAAGACACAGCCTTAACTGCGTGCATTGCTGTCACCACGTAAATATCGGCACTGGATAGACAAACGCTCACTGGGCATGATACTGAGCAAGCCGTCCCCTTGGTATGGCACATGGCCGAGCGGTCGCGTGCTCTCCTCGCTGCTTGTTGTTGTTGTTGCAGGGGTTCGCGGTTCGTTCCCAGCGGCGGTCGCCCTGATTAATATCGCGAGTGTAATGACCATAAAATGCCCGTCACATGTATCCTCGGCATAGGTCCAAATTAGTTACATTTGAATTAAATGCTAACGCCCTCTACCTGCCAATCATTCCCGTCTGAAGCACAGCGCAATCGCGCTCGCTAGCCTCACTCCATGGGAATGGCACCAATACCGATCGTAGGAGCCGTTGCGTTGCGAGCGAGGCTAAAAGGAGCATCTGCGCGCCTCTGCGGCACGCCGTGTGCCCCGTGTGTGTCTCCCGCACGCCCGGCGCCAGGCTGCTGTGCCACGCGATGAAGGACCACATCGTGCGCGTGGCCAACGAGGCCGAGTTCATCCTCAACAGACAGCGCGCCGAGGACGTGCACAAGCACGCGGAGTTTGAGGTGCGTCCCTCCCGTGACCTCCCTCTGTGGATGAGTCACTGTGTATGGCGGTGTTCTTCATTGCAAGGCCCGTGGGCCAATGGCGGCCCCTCGTGGCCTTTAGTGCGTCCCCTGACGTGCGGTCCCCAACAATACACAACAACACGTGAAGGCACCCCTTGCAGGCGGTGTGGCGGCCCTCACGCTGATGATGTCTTACCGGCGAAAGCGGCCTCCCTCTGAAAATTAGTGACGAACACCGGTATATGGCATTGCTTTGGGTGGATGACAAAATAAGCACTCGATTTTAAATTCCCAACAGCAGTGGGGTACCCGCTCCACTAGACTGACACATGCTAGATATTTAAACCTTGTGAGGCTTATTTAATCTATTGCGTTGCGACAAAATTGTAATTTTCGTGGGTGCGCCCAGAGGTACTAATAACCTCATGGAGCACAGATCCACAAGTTTGATTTAGCTACGAATCTCATATTCGCTGGAAACATCCAACAAATCTTACTGAAATGTCAAGTGACTTGTCTAACTTTCCTTTAGTCCCATTATTAACAAAAACATACTTAAAACGCGATGCTATTTGGCAAAGTTTAAGTCAGTTTCCACAACACGGTCCCCATCTATGGGCTCTCAGATCGAAGGTTTAACTTGCACATCAAACCACACTCAATTGCACCCGGTATGCACATTTCAAAGTTTATTCTGCAGCATTAAACTTAAGTTGTGTAGCTTTCAGTTTTGATCTGGAAGTTGTTGTTTTTCTCGCTGTGAATTCCTGTAAACTTCGTGTACATGGGAAGTGCATGCACTTACAGCGTGCAAAGGGAAAATATCTATGGAGAGTATGTACATGGGGAATATTTGGAAGTGAATGGGTACAAGGGCTTAATGTTTTCATTCCCCTCTCTACCTCTGTTCACGACCTTCCACCTCCATCCCACCGCCTCCCCACAGTCGCTATGCGCCCAGTACGCAGCGGAGCGGCGGGACGAGGAGAAGATGTGCGACCACCTCATCGGTGCTGCCAAGCACCGCGACCACGTCACGGCGAACCAGCTCAAGCAGAAGATCGTCAACATCCTGACCAACAAGCACGGCGCGTGGGGCAACGCCACGGCCAGGTAAAGCTCGGGCAGCGACCACCACGGACGCGCGTGTCACCTATGGTCACTGCCTGTCCTGCCTTGCCGAGCAATCATACTTTCTTTGAGGTTGCTGCCCTTGGAAATGTGTGTGCGTGTTTCCCAGTACATTACAAGGTTTTTGTCAGTTCTGTAATTATGCATCGCTCAGGACATGGAATTTTCGTGTTGTTTCGATTTAAAGCTTTCGTGACTGCAGGGATTCATCTTCTTGGTTCTTTCGGTGGAGAGCAGGTCTGTCTACTCGACAGACCTGCTCTCCACCTGAGGACGGCTGCTTGCGTTGTGGCCAAAACGTCGTGAGAATTATTTTATTATGTTTTATTTTTATTGTTTTATTATTTCCATTCTACGTGACTTTACCGAAAGAACCAAGAAGATTTCGTATTGTTTTCCCATCCTCTGGTGTTGTGCGATATTTATGCCATCTATGATATGTCCTGGTTTTTTGTACATCAGTGGTAGCACTCCTAAAACCATGGGCATGTTGAGCATGGAAATATAAAGGAGATGGATTGGCAGAGAGCTGCCATCCTAACTTTTGGATGGTGGGGCCAAGCCTTTTGCTGTGTCACCTAAATAATTGTTTCACAGTCGTCAGGGGCTGCTACCTTGGCTACTCATCCTTTGATCCCCTTCTAACTTCAACATTGTTCCGTGCCACTGCCCCTGCACAGCACACTATTAATTTACTGGTGTTGACCCTCAAGTTTAATGTTTTGTTTATTCATGTTATGTAAGGGAGACACTATGTGATCTACTTGCACCTGATACACTTGGGATTTGATGCTATTATGCCTCTTCGTGCTCCTCTGGAGTGATTGGAGTGCAGCAGAAACCCATGCCGCTGGAATTATCTTGAGAAGCTGCTGCATGTGAACATTACGTAAATCCCAATTGCAAGTGTCATTCTGTGTAGTTTTTTTCCATAAAGTTTCCTGAATGTGAGATGCATTTCGATATACAATTCTGACCCTTCAACTCAAATTACATCAGCAAATTCATATTCACCTTTATTTGTCCGAAGCAACTTTATTTGTCTTTCATCCTGGCCATCTATCTGTCAAGTTTTTCTGGATTGAAAACTAATTTCTTTAAAGCTGCTTTTTGTGCTTAGTTTGTTGTCCTTTCCCCCGCGCCTCCGATTATCACGGTTGCCTATATAGGTGCAACAGTAGTTGAACACACAAGCCAGACCATTTACTTCGCTAATTTTTTTCATACAGTTTTCAGTTTGACGTTAGTCTGGCCAGGAGAATCCAAGGACCTACGCGATGGAATTGTAGCCGCGTGCGACATATTACTGATCGATAACAATACTGTCCGCTATTTGCAATGAGTGGTGCCTGCATTCTGCACATGCCTGGGTAAACAAGCGTGATAAAAATATAAATATATAATGCTAGCTCGGATTTGTGGCTCCACATGTTGGTGCCTGGGGCAAGGTGCCACCCCCGAGTGCTGGACTGCTGGGGCTTCCCAACCCGAAAGGGAATCGAGCCACCAGCTGTCGTAGCTTGCTTTGTTTCCAACAAATTGGCTCCCCATTCAAGTGGCGTCCTCCTTGCTTGTGCCACCTATATACAGTACTGCAGGGTAGCCTATGCTACACAGCGTAATAGTTGACTGGTGAGTGTCGGGTGAGTGTAAAGTGAGTGTGAGCATATGGTGCGTGGTGTCTGTTGAGTGTGATTGTCCAGTGAGTGTTAATCTTGCTGATGAGAGTCTGGTGAGTGGTGTACGTCATCCTGTCCTTTGGACAGGCTGCCCTCTGTTGTGATATATTTAAAAAGCATTGTTGGGTTATATTACCCACATTCTGCTGTCTAGGTGGGATTGTGGCTGATCACTTGACTAACATTCTGAAGGTTATTGTTAAAATGATCGAAGGTCAACTCAGCAACCATTCTGCATAATAAAATGAGTACCACTTTGCTTGATGTAATCAGTCATTGCCCACTGGATAGACTAATCCTGATCACACACATTTGGAATATTCACCATTGATTCAAGGTCATCAGTGAAGATAAGTATCATCCATAATTCGTTTTAACAGGGAAATACTTTGGCTGTGCTAAAACAGGATTGAAAATAAGTTGTGCATTCCTAACACGCTTCTGAAGGAAAAGCACCTCCTTGAACTATTAGTCAGGACATTCATCCAAGGCATGTTCCAGTGCTCCGACATCGAGGCTTACAATACATGTACTGTACTCCACACAGCAGCGGCAGTTGTGGTGGAAAAAAAATCCCCAATGCACGAACAGTCCTCTGATCTTGTAGACAACGAGCCCGGAGGGACGCGTGGAACGCAGACGATTGTTCTCACCGTCGTGCCCGACGCTGGGTTCTCGCTCACCCTGTTCACGTCTGCCCTAATGACTGTGACCCTCGACTTAAAAGTGAATGTCTGGTTCGTTGTTTGGCACCGAGCGTTCTGAAGCAACTTGTGATGAATGCATCCATTCAGTACAATTAGGAGTACTGTGGGAAACATCGTCCTTGCCTTTGAGTAACAGCTGACCAGAGCCCGTTTCTCAAGCCATGTCATGATCTTTGACTCCACTTACAGTTACTTGTTGTGTCTTTGGACATTCGATGGTTTTGGTAAAAGCCCTACTGCTTGTTGGGCAATGTTGACATGTTTGAGAGTATAAAGCATCCTCCACATACACCTGTACAAAATAGTAATAACAATAGAAACTCCTTTGATAATCCACTGCTGGTTGAGAGCCTTCCCATGCCATGTTAGTCATGGGAATTCTATGCCCATATTTCGCCATGCTGGTCAGTGCGGGTTGATAAAGGTGGAGGGCCCAGGACAGCTTCTGAGATCACTCACCACTGATTTTGCCCATGGCTGGGAATCGAACTCAGGGTCCAGCTCCACCCATACCAGATATCGCACTGAGACACATATTACCATGACTAGTTTAAGTCCGAATGCCCTCACTTCGCAACGCCTTATTGGTGGCCTGATACCATGGAAACCATGGGGTAAGTCATGCACAGCCGGTGGTGTTCCCGATCAATGTGTGTTCCTGAGCTTACCAGGCGAGACAGGAATGTGGTTGCTGCTGCTGTCATTTGTGGTGTGGTGCTTTAACTTGCACGTTGCCCCGACGACCGATGTGTATCTGTGTGACCACACTCATGTAACAGCGTATCTGTGTGACCAACTCATGTACGATTAAATAACCCTGATTGTTAAACCATTTATCCTCTCTGTGCCACGCCAACATTGCTCTTGATAGGCTTGCGATTGGTGATTTAAAAAAAATTAACGTTATTAATTCACGCGAATTGCATTTGTAGCAATCGGGTTGGCCAAGTGCTCTCCGATGGCCGGATTCGATGTCTCCAATGCGGGACAATTAGCAGGCGGGGGAATGTTAATAAATAAATAAATGCATTGTGGTTGTGCTAACACTGCTTTGATGTGTGCAGTCGGCAGTTTATATACAGCATGGCAGTGCGTGTCAGCAGTGCTGTTTTTTTGCTAGCTGCTTTTTGGTTTTGGGCTTTTGTGCCTGTGCTCAGCAACCATGATTTTTTTTTTTACCCATAAAAAAACATAATCCTTTTGGGTTGGATACAATTTTTACTACTATTTCGGAAGTCAGCGGTAATTTTTACCCCCATCAAGAGAGTCTGACCCATGCTATAGAAATCTCCTATTTCCACCCCAGGATTGGGTGGGTGGGGGCCAACGGCGGGGATTATTGCCGCAATAAAATTCGTTTTAGCAGGGTGGGGGGGGGGCGACACTTTACATTTTTTTATTGTTTTTTGTTTGTTACTGGATGACTGCCACGCTGCGATCAAAAGAATAAATCGGCCGCAATTTACGTTGGTGGAGAACGAAGCCCACGCAAATGGATGAAAGGCACGCACCGGTCTTTTCGACGTTTTCCGCTGCTCTTTTACACGTTAGATTGTTTTTTAACCACACGGTTGGCTAACGTTGCCGCCTTATTAGGGGCACATTACGGGCCTGGGCGCGAGCGTGGCCGTGGCCGCGTGCGCGAATGTTCTACGCCTGTGGAGCGTTCTCTCCCACGGGCACACGTGCGTAAGTGTGTGTGTGCGAAGCAATTTTAAAATCCACACGAGAACATTTTGAACGCTGTATGAGAATTCTGTCTTTCCTTGTTTCCCTCTGCAACAGTTTTCTTTAAATTTCCCCAGCCCTATGTACGATTCTGAGTGTTACCATTGCAGGAGGATTGGAACCATCGCAGTGTATGTGACCCGCTAGAAGAGCTGGGGGGGGGGGGGATATTGCCATTGTAACCATGCCCCACGGGATGCCCTGCACCAAAGTGGCTTGACCGCTGATTCCACTGCTCGCTTATTTGATTTGAATCAATGCCCAGTCTCAGATAATGATGAGCTATGCCTTAGCCGTTTGAGGTTGCAATGCCTGTGGAAGTGCATTCCCTCTAAATTATAGACAGAACATTGCATGCCGATGTGAAATAGGTTTGGAAACGTACTAAAGATACCCGACGTCAATATTCACATCGGTTAGTTAACCTGCATAAAATAAATTGACCAGAACGTGTTCCAAATGTGAGCAAGGGTCATGCTTTCAGATGCTTAATATGCCATGTCACTTCGAGATGAGGTGCATCTACTCAAATGGATGTGGGACAGTACTCGTCCATATTTGTAGCCCTAGGGTCTGTGGTAAAAAAAAGACAAACACTTTTTTACGGTGAAAGCCAGTCTCCATAGATCCACAAAGTGGTACCCATTTATTTGGTTGACACTAAACGGATGACAGGCTGATTCTACCCCCGACTGCCCTTTGCACTTGCGTCCTTCCAAATCTGAGTCACCCGATCAAACCACCGTGGCACGTCACCATTAACCTGGCCGACTTGATGCTCTCACACGGTGACAACCATCCCTCCGATTGGAGCTAACTGTCGGTCACTCCGCGTGCGCTGCACACCCGCGCGCATTGCCATCGGTCCGACCCTGCGCTGTCGCTCCCACTCAGCCGCCTGCAAGAGTTCTGGAGGCTCGACTACTGGGAGGACGACCTGCGCAGACGCCGGCGCTTCGTGAGAAACCCCTTCGGCTCGGCGCACTCCGACGCCACCCTGCGAGCGGCCATCGAGCACGGTGAGCGGCGAGTGGCAGCGCCGCGCCGACCTTGAGCCAGCGATCCCTTTGCGATTATTTCTATTCCACTGTCGGGGCCGCTCATTCGGTTGCGGTGATGTTCTCAAGTCAGAGTTGAGGAACATTCGGTGGTCGCGTCATTCGTTCGGCGCGAGGCTATCGTGAAGAGGCCGTGTTTTATGGTCACAGCCTGCAGGAGTATTATGGGGGGGGGGGGGGGGCCGATGTCGCTGTGCGTCATCCCAATTGAGTGATTAGCGTGTAATTGTTTGATGGCGACTTCCGACCATGGCCGGCCCACTTTGAACGAAGTCAGGAGATATTTAACGTGCACCGCTCTGAATCGGCCTGCACATATTTAGTGGTGGATACAAGCGCAGTAATAGCCAGGGCTGCCTGCCAGATTTTCCGCAACAAGGGACGAATGCCCTACCGTTAGCAGATCCGCTCTTGACTTATTTTGTTGACCCTGAACAAATTTGACCTCCGACTAGTATAGGAACGATTGAGTACAGCGCCGCGATGAAATATTGCAATGGCATTTATGATCGCAGTGGAATGGCCACGAGACGTTGGGCAGTTGCCACCTCCCCTGCAGGGGGCGCTGTCTCATTACACAGAGCCACAGTGCACGTGCCATCAGCCCTCGTAATCCCACGGTTATTTATGTGGTGCTCGTCTACATTGGGGGTTTGGAGCCAGTAGTGGAACACACAAACAAAACTAAACTTGCCAACCCTACCGATTTAAGCGTAGGCTGCTGATTTTTAAACCCTTTTACCGCACACCGATTTTTTAAAATTAAAGTGTAATACATTTTAAAAAAATCAGTCCTAATGTCTCTCTGCGGTTGATAAATTGTATACTCTATTTGTGGAAACAGCATTCCTTGCAGAGACTATTCCCCAGCCCAAAAATAAGAAATTGGCTCAGGGCAGTGAAGAGAGATGAACACCAACCTACTTTTCACTTTTGCATGAGTAACATTTCTCAATTTTCACACACAGTGCTCCACGCATCACCTTTATTCTTTATTTGTAATTATATTTGTTGGAAATTTTCGTATCTTATCAATACTTTTCCAACTTCCTTTTAAGCGGGAAGGTGGGTACCTCGACTCACTCTAAACTCCCCTCACCTTGAGCTCTGTGCTGTGTGGCGTTGCCTGTGCAGGAGCGGACGAGGATGTGATCAAGCAGGCCCGCAAGGCCTTCCGCGCCCAAGCCCTCGCCAACCAAAACTCAGAGAGCGAACTCCTCTTGGAGGGAGAGGACGATGCCCTCAGCCTCATGGAGGAGAAGGAACTCGACAGCATGACCGGTCAGTGGGCACGGCGGTGGGGAGTTGACGTCACGTAGCTGGTCTGACAACCGGGCAATTATTGTACGAACACGTGAGTGAGTGATTACACGTGTGGACGAGCGTCCTAAGGGGATATGTGGGTGAGTCCGTGAGTAAACGTGTCAGCAGTTGGATATCTGAATCAGAATCTTTATTTAGACCGGAGGAATCCGATGAGCTGTGAAGTTATTTTTCGCGAATGTCCAGTGTGGGTGGGTCAACAAGTAATGCGGCCTGGTAGTGGGAGTGCTGAGGTAAGCGGATGCATGAATACATTTCCTGTTTGAAGGTACAGCATCATGGTGTATTGACGAGGGGATTTGTGAGTGGGTATGGGATGAAGATTTTTCTGGTGAGCGGTTAGATGTGCTTGCGCCTGTGTGTGTTTAAGTAAGCAAAGAACAGTAATGCGAATTGAGTAGAATCCGTGGTCGTATTGGCGAGAGAGCCTGTTGATGAATGTGGATGGGTGAGCGTGTGATGAGAATCCAGCACGGTGGGAGAATGAGAGGGGAGGCAGCGGGATTGGTGGAATCATCCACAGCAACAGTAAGTGGGAACACAGCGTGTCCAAGGACCGTAGCTTCTGATTTGCAAACCAATATTTGGAGTACATAAAAACAATCGTCTAAATATGTCTTCTTTTCTGCAGTGCTGTGCACCTCGTACAAGCTCTGTCACATTTACCGTTAAATTTTACGTTTTATGGATGCTCCCTGAGCTTAGATGATGTGTTGGAAGAACGGCCATTAATTTCAGCACAGGTTCTAAGCACATATCCTGAGCGAAAAGATTCTCAGAAATCAACTGCAGAAAGGACCTGTGTAACAATGCTGCAATGTTACAGTATTTTGTAATATAATGGCTAATTGCTGCTATTTTCTGTATGTACATTAAGAAATGGTGGATACACCATTTCCATCAACACATTACTGAGTCTCTTATTCTTGAACACTATCCTTAACGTATCTGGTCTGCGGGATGGCTAAAGCTGTTTGCAGGCAGCCAGACTTTTACCGTAATGCCTTATTTGCCAGATTATAACAAGCTCCAGGAAAGTAATACGCGTCCCAAAACCTGTGCCCGCTGCCAAAAAAGTTCCACAAATCTGGTTACACTAACACCTCGACAAAGATTCCCCGTATAGCCTCTAAACGACTTGGGGCAAGTGCCATGAGCGTAACACCGATGAAGGCTGGTACCAAACACGGGGGGGTAAGTGGCCAGCACTACACCCGGCCACCTTTGTCTCCCACACCAGGTGCTCATTAAAATCTGAGTCGACCTAGGGGAGGCCCATGACCGGTTCAGATATTCATCAACGATGTTGGCCGTGAGCGGGAATCGAACTCGGGTCACCGGGTTCATAGCGCAGCGCGCTAACCGCTACACTGTCGTTCACACATACACATACACACACAGACACACATACACACACATACACACACAGACACACACATACACATACACACACAGACACACACATACACACACATACACACACAGACACACACATACACACACATACACACATACACACACAGACACACACATACACACACATGCACACACATACATACACACACATGCACGCACACCAACCGCATTACAAGATGCGCGCTCAGCTTTTGATTTAAAATGCATGAGGGGGGCAGTGCGTCATCAGCTGGAGAACACAGTGGACAGTGTTGTATTATCTTAATATCACGATATAAATCCGCTAAAGTGGTCCATGTGACATCCTTCTTGCTATTGTTTATGCTTGTTTACGTCGGTGAGCCATTGCATCACTTTTATTGTTTCTTCTCTTGTTTCAGCTTTTATGTTAAGGTTGTCGACTGCAGGCAAGTGTTGTGCTGAAGCAACTCCATCCTGCTGTTCATTTATTTGACCGGTCTCTAATGCTTTGGATAACCTTTCACTAACTACGCTTTTTTCCTTACCCGTAATCATTTGTTTTTGTTTACGTGTTTTTAACATTTGTTCATATAAAGGTTTATTTATTTTTATGTCACCGGTTGAGGATCTAAAGATACGTTGGCTCGAGTACTCAATTCACATCATGGGACCTCCTTTGCCAGTACCAATATATGAGAATAGGGTTTTCCCCTTTTTTTGGCAACAAAACAAGTGTTAAGTTGTTAAAACACCAAACTGAAACCTTTTACAAGGAATTATGTCTGCATTAACCACAATACGTGTGGTCAGAATGCAAACAAAAAACACACTGATAATATATGCATTGTCTTTGAAACTGATTGGTCCACACCAGAGACAGCTTTCTTTTGAGCCTTGTCTCAAAACGGTGTTAGACCAGAGGACGTCAAAAGGCATACGCCAAAAGTCCTTGTAAAATGTTTCAGTTTGGTGTTTTAACATCTTAACACCTGTTTTGTTGCCAGAAAAAAGGGGAAAACCTATTCTCATACTCAATTCACAATTGAAAGGTTCACAGGTTCACATACCGGATGGGAATTATCTCAGTCCATCATCTTACAGGGTTGATAAAAAAAAATGGGTACAACTTGGGTAAAAGTCAACGGTGGTCATCCTGTTCAAATACTTGCCCCGTTCAATGGAATATGGAAATCCCCCTCCCGGTTTAAGGTGTGACCATCTAAGTGTCACTCCAGCATCAATTGAACAGCGCAAGACGATGAGATTTGAGGTAGGGTCACCGATGACGGGCCTCTTGATCCAGGTGTGCACACAGGCCGAGTGGTGGCGGGTTTAACAACACATTTATATTTACGCGATCTAACCCGACAAAACCTATATTATGGATGATATTTGTCGCAAAAGCCAATGTGTTCAAGCACACAGGCAGGGCGCAGATGTTTGTAAAATGTTTGTGTTTGTGACGTTTTTCCAAAGCGTTGATTTTTGTTTCCGCCAATCGCGTCTCACTTTTTTGTACGACAAAAAAATGTCGCGTGGGTCAATGGTGTCCAACGCGTTTGGGCATATTGAGGTGTACTTCTGTACTCCTGTTGGTTATATGTTTGTAGATTTGAAGCTTTCGCGACTGCAAGGATTCATACTCTTTGGTGTTTTCGGTAAAGTCACGTAGGTAAAAAATAAAATAAATGAAAACAACTAAATTAAATCACGACGTTTCGGGCGCAACACAAGCGTCCATCATCAGGTGGGAAAGCATGGCCTGATGCTGATGCAGACTGTTTTAAAACAGATGCAGCAGTAGGCTATGCTTTCCCACCTGATGACGGACGCTTGCGTTGCGCCCGAAACGTCGTGATTTAATTTAGTTGTTTTCATTTATTTTATTTTATTTTTTACCTACGTGAAAAAAATATATGTTTGTACTTTAGTTGCACTGTTTGTTACACAGGGTTTTTAGCAATGTAATGGATAGTTCGTAAATGTGTGTTTACTGTCACATGTAACCATCTATAGCGGTAGAATGAATAGACATTGCATCTTTGCAATGTACCACTCACATTGTGTTTATCAATATATACACATTCTTTTTGAATTGCATTGATGAAACCAAAGGAGATTTGGTTATTTGAATGCAATAATGCTTTGAACAAGTGTGCTCTTTATATCCAGTTCCTAATTAATTGTATGCAACGATGTGCTACTCCAGTGACGGCGGCTCTAACGAGGAGGCATTGATAGACTTAGAGCCAAATCAGGCTATCGATTGAAACTCTTGCTCCAAGCATCCCAGACGTACATCTGTCTGTTTGACAGAGCAACCGGCCTGGCAGCTGACAGGCAACAGCTATCCTGACAGGGATCAGGACAGCTCAAACTGAAATGCTACGTGCAGCAACACGTTACTTTACATAAAGGTAAAGGTGCAGCCCTGAAATACCCTTGCTCTGGCCACTGCTCACGGAAGGGCCTCCGTTAGAGGGCATTCTATAGAGCCGCTATCGAAGGGTATATTGGCCTACTCTTCCATTCTGGCGAGACCACAAGGAGGCGGTAGGAGTACCCACACTTTCCCCCACCACACACGGCCTGCCAATTGACTAGCCGTGGTTGTGCACATTTATATTGCTGGGTGAACAGAGGTGAGGGCGATTCAATAAACTTGCAGCTTTGTTTCAAATACAGGAGACGTATTTTAGGGGTGAGACAATTGAACCCCACCTCCTTCGCCTTACGATTCCGTGATTTATTGTGATTCAGCGTTGCGATTCCATTCAAGATGCACTCTTTTTATTACAATGTGGTGAATATAGCGGCCTGAAATGAATGCGGTGGGGGGAGGGGTACATGTGAAGCCATTGCATCCGACGTTCAAGAATGAAGAACACAAGGATGTTTTCATATACGTGCACGTGCGGTTTAAGTGGATTAGATATATCACATTTTATCGTGCGGCATTTGTCAAATATTCATCTCTTGTTTTTATTTCTATAAGCAAATTGGCTTGTTTACAGTTTACTTAGTGACTAATATATAATAAGTCTGGTTTATAATACGTTTATCAGTATTACAATATGTAAGGTATTATTATTATTATTACGTGCTGAATAATGACACGATATATGTATTGACATCACGTATTGCTCACTGTGGGCAAGACAAATGAAGTAACTGTGTTGGCAGTAGTAGACAAGCACCAATCATCAAAACTCATTACTTTCAACACTGGCACTCCTCATGGCAGAAATATGTTTTCTCGGGTAACAGTTTGGCCGCTCTTCAGAGAGGCGACTGCAATGGAGTACATCGTATTGTGTCGAGGCAGCTTTAACATTAAAACGTTGCTTTTAAATGACCTCATAACAGGAGTCACACAATTCATGAGTATCATTTTGCACGCGAAGGCAAGGCAGATAGGTTGTAAAAAGTCCTGGATTCAGATTGAGCGAAAGCCTGAACAGCCGTCTCGGCGTACATTGAGGTACAATAAGGGAGAATCAACGCCCACAGTAACCAGCCGATTTATTTGAAGAGATGAAGGGGGCAGCCGTATGTCTTAGGGCCTAGGGGTATTGAAGTTATCTACCACAAAAACAGACATCATCTACGGTGCCTGGAATTCCGAGCAGGTTTCCACTGCTGCTCCGGAGTGCACCCTGAAACGACTCTTCGAGTATTGCATCAGTGCACAGGTTTGTGTTTAATGTCAGTCTTCTTAAATGTTTTATGCAATTTGAGAACCACGAGACATTGGCATCCAAGACACTTGTGAATTATTTAATTGCCGAATCTCATCTTTATTGCAAGATCAGCGGTGGTTAGTTATGGAGGGTAAATTGTATGACAGCAGACAACTGCAGCTTTTTGGAACTTGATCTGCCAAATCCATATTCATGGGAAATTGCACAGATGAAATGGATACAGAAAATCCTCAATTGCAGAGTCTTAAGGTTATATTTTCAGGTCGGACTGCATTCCATTGTTTTGGCAAGTTGTGATTTTTAAAGGGTGATTTTACATGTAGGAAAAACTTGGAGTGTTCGGAGAAAACCCCACGCATTCGCGGAGGTAACTTAGATCTTAACGCAAGCAGATTCACAACCAACTGCTGTGCTGCTATCTCATGCAACACCTCACAGTCAAGCCCTTGCCTCCAGGATGATGGGCTTCCACCGCCGTGTCCAGATTTTAGATGTCATTCATCACGTGCAGTTAGCTGTGACTGGGAATTTAACATGTGTCGATGGGTTCATTGCGCAGTGTGCCGAACACTGAATCACCGCGCCCCATTGAGAATGCATATAGCACATTATTCAGTGGTGGTCACACTGTGTACCAACACTCTCTTTTGGCATTTGAGTTTACAAAGCCATTTTTTGGCATCCTGTCTCATCCTGTTCTTCCGCAGTGGCGAGATGATAACTACCTCGCCTGGTATACAGGAGGTGGTGGGTTCGATCACGACCCTGACGGCTGTATATTTGGAGTTTGCATGTTCTCCCTGGAGTCGCGTGGATTTAAAATCAACGTGCGTTTAGAGTATTTGGCTGCTATAAATTCCCACATGATACGCCTCTTCGTTGGGCCATCATTTGCGACCAGGTCAATTCTGAAAAAGAGCTATATGGCTAAGTGGGCCTAACCTGGTAAAATAAAACAATGTGTAGTTTTAGTTTGTTCCGGGGAGGTTGTGTAGTGAAGCGTAATTTCCATGAGGAAGACTGCTTGATTGTGCAACAACTCTGCCTCGTCAATTCTGCCATTTAACAGTTATGATTGCCATCGTGGAGTCTCATCAAAGTTCGCCATTTGCTGTGAATTTGAATTTAAATATCCTGTGGCATCATTTAGAATCCATTGTATGTTGTTGAGGTCATAGCCCAAATGACGATACTTAAAATGTACCTACAATGGCTAATTTAACATTTAAATATCACATTTGCAAGCTGCACAGCATTGTAATGAAACCCAGCTTGAATAATCTTAGTGTACACGTATGCTTAATGTGTATGTCTGTGTGTGCCTATAAATGCACAAAATACCTATATGTGCGTGGCTACTTCTGTGTGTAGTGCATACTATGAGCATGCATTTGTGCATATACGTGCATGTATTAATGTGTACTTATGTGTGCGTACGGCTGCACACACGTGTGCGTGGTACATTTTGCCTCCCCGTGTGCATTGTGTGCCCGCACTCGAGAATTCCCCTGTGCCCTCCATTTGTTGTGCAAGTTGCAGTTTTTTTTAAACCAGGTGAGCGCTCAAAAGACCAGGGATAGTCTGTCATTTGCAAGGGTGTAACCTGGGTATGGGGCGATGATTTTCATGCGTAATCTCGATTGAGTGATCTGTGGTGTAATTCTCGAACATGGAAAAGTGGGACTCTGACGCCGGCGCACGATGGACCTTACTCTTGCGAACAACATCGGGGGGGATCTGTAGCGACGTCCGGCGTGAAGCAGACGGCGCGTCGTAGCTTTATTGCCGGTTATCACGCCGGCAGTAATAACCGGGGTTGCCGCTGGATTCGAACCGCGAACATCCGCGATGATTGGCAACTGCACCCCCCGCTGGGTTATTCCCCCCCACACCCCCCCCGACATCCCACCACATTGTGTTGTGTACTTAAACCTTGGCGTACGTACGGATGAACGAGTGGGTTTTGTTTGGTTCGTGCGTGCGTGCGAGCAGGACCAGTTGTGATCAGCACTCCCGCCCAGCTGGTGGCACCGGGGCTGGTTGCCAAGGGGACGCTCTCCATCACGGCCACGGAGATGTTCTTCGAGGTGGACGAGGAGGACCCGGCCTTCAAAAAGCTCAACCCCAAGGTAAGCTCCCTGCAAAACTGTAAACTCGCAAATGTGATATTTATAAATGCTAAATTACCTCCCGCACCTCCAATTAGCATGCTTGGCTATGTACGGAGCTAAAGAAGTTCCAAATACATATAAACCATTTTTTTTACTATTTAAATTTTACCAGGTAAGGCCCATATAACCCCTTTTCAGAAGCGACCTGGCCCCAAATGAAAGCTCAACGTGGAAATGTATAGCAGCCAAATATTCTCAACACGCGTTTATAAATGTGGAGGGAAAACCAAAATGTGTTTTATCCGTTTTTGTGCCGGGTTGTCTGTACGCTGTGTGCGGCCGCGTATCTGCCTCAAAGTTCAAATATCTCAAACCACGATTGGTGGCACTGAGCCAGTGGTAGATATTTCCCCGTTCCCATGGTCCGTTTATGCTGGGTATGTACTCGAATCTCGACTCAATCCATCATCCTCTAGGGGTCGATAAAATAGGGTTATACACCTGTGAAACGTTAACGGTGATTGTTCTTATGGATATGCGCTGGCCCTGAGTGGAAAGATGTGGAGGGTTATACTAATGTCTCTGGTCTGCCTATGAAGATGAGGACTGTCAAATAATTGATTATAATCAATTGAGGAATATGGGACCTTTTGGTGGCTATGTTTAATGTATCTTTGAGAAAGGCACCTACTCAGCCTGGTCAGCATCGTGCTTGATCTCCGATGCCTGCCCAGTGTTTATGTTGACCAGAGCTTGCCCAGTTACTCATTTTAGGCTGAGTTGACTTCAAAGCGACTCAGAACAGGTTCAAGCACCAACCGCTTTTGGTGTTGTGAGTGCCACGTGCGATGTGATGCACACTCACATGCTGACGTGAATTCCCAAGCCATCTTCAACTCACTGGAAGAACCTTACCAAAGTAGCTATTTAACATGGTGAGATAATTTTTTTTTATTGAGAGACACGGTAAATATTATAGATACATTACACTTCGACATTCCATCTACATAATTGTTTATAGATGTGCGTCATTTACTACATTGTTCATCGGTTAGTTTAGGTCTTGTACACAAATCAAGAAAATCACAAATATTCCTTTAAACCTTCATCAAGCGTCACACGTGTGTGCAATGTGCCACTCTCACATATACTAAACAAAAGTAAATTGAAGCTTAAATGTGAAAAATATAGCAGGAGAACTGCTCTCCTGCTATATTTTTTCACCTGAAGACGATTGCTTGTGTTGCGATCGAAACGTCGTGATATTTTTATTTTTTATTATTGTTTTTCTATCTACGTGGTTTTACCGAAAGACCCAAAGAATATGAATTCCTGCAGTCACGAAAGCTTTAAGTCATAAATTACTATGATAAGTCACTTTCTGAAAATGACACGGTCCAAATTTGTAATTTCCATTTTATGCTGTTATGATTATAGCAGCCTCTCGTGGTGGGGGAGGGATCACGTGAACACATTACGTCCAACACATACGGCTTAGAAAAGGTTGATCCTCCCACAGGAGTCTGTGTTACGTGATGCATTGATGTATCATCACACGCCTAATGAGTAGCTACCGCTGCTCACATGCAAGCTGTATGTGATGGCCGATCGCAAAGCCCGCGGGCCTCATCATAAAAAGTGGCGCCACTTTTCAATTCACAGCACAACCGTCGTTATCAGAGTCCAAAGCAATACATTGATTGTCATTTTTTGTTACAGCTAGTTCAGAGTAATCTTGCATGTTAAGGAAATGTGATCACTTTGAACGTTTCGTATACATCTGCAGAAGGGAATATCGATTCATCTGAGTGAAAATCTCTACTCACCGCACCTGGCTCCAAGTGACTTGCCAACCGTGTCGATTTGCTTGTGGGCAAAGCGATTTTACAGTGACTTTGTGCTGTGTGAATGAGTGGCTTGAGGTGAGCGATGACAAGTTCGAGCAGGCTGGCAATTCAACATCGGAGCATCGATTAACCAAGTGTATTGCACTTTAAGTGGACTAAACTAACCCATTTTTTTTATTTTACCAAGTAAGGCCCACTGAGCTATATAGCTCTTTTTCAGATGCGACAAGGCCACAAATGATTGCTCAACAAAGTGGCTTATCATGTGGACATTTATAGCAGCCAAATACTCTTTAAGCAAACTGTCTAAATGTAGAGGGAAAAACCGGATTAACCGGAGAAAAATCCACACAACCATAGAGAGAACATGCAAACTCCAAATATACACACGTCAGGGTCAGGATTGAACTCACGACCTCCTGCATACCAGGCGAGGCAGTTAACATCTCGCCACCGTGGACTCTATAAGATAAATAAAAAGAAACACCCACCGACACCAGTGCCTTCAAGGTCACTCAGCTTTCTCCCACGTCTCGACGACAGGCCACTGGCCGATAGACCGCCCCCTCGTACGCCGAACGTTACCCACGGCGCGCACAGCCGCCGTCCGAAGCCATCAGAGCGTGTCGACGCTCGCCGGGCCGGCGATGAGCAGCCTGGCCAGCCTCCACGCCTGCTCAGCCGCCCTCTCCAGCGCCGCGCCGTCCCCGCCGCGCAGCAGGTCCGTGCCGCGCACGAAGAAGTGCGGGCACCGGCGGCAGCGCAGGCACGAGACGAGCTGCAGCAGCGCGCCCAGCAGGCGCTCGCCGAGGCACGCGTCGGCCCACTCCGCGTCGCGCGGGTGCTTCTCGCACTCGTGCAGCACCAGCGTCCGCACGAGGTAGCCGCCCAGCGCGCCGGGCAGGTGCCTCTCGCGCAGCGCCGCCAGCACGGACAGGCACTTGCGCCTGCAGCCGCCCTCCAGCAGCAGCTCTTCGGCCTCCGTGAAGCGCAGCAGCCACGCGTCACCGTCCCCCGCTCCCGCTGCTCCGGGCGGCTTGGCCCTGCCCTTGCCCAGGAATGGGTCGTCCTCGGCAGACAGCAGGGTAAAGCCGGCCGCTTTTATCTCTGCCATTCGCCTTGGGCCTGGCCACTGATGCATCTTCTTCATCATCATGAATTGCTGCTGCTGCTCTTGATGATGGTGGGGGAGCTGCTGATGGTAATGCTTCAGAAGCTGCTGCTGCTGGCTGTGGCAATAGTGAATTTGCTCATAGTCACTCTTCTGCTGATAGTGACCCTGCCGATCGTGACTCTGCTGATGGTGGATGTGCTGGTGATAGCCCCGATGAAGAAGGCTTTCGTCACAGTAGCCTTGTTGTTGTTGCGGCTGCTGCTGCGGGAACCACTGCGAGGCGCACCGAGGCCACACGGTGCCCGAGCAGCGGAACGCCGGCGTGACCTTCACCACCCCGTGGTCCGGCACACCGATCAGCACCTCGCCCGCCTCGGAGGGCACGAGGCGCACGTCGTCCCGGCCGCACGGGAGGCGCCTGCCCAGCGCCTGCGCCACCAGGGCGTGCAGGCGGGAGCGCAGCTTGCGCGCCGACAGGCTCCCCGACGCCGTGATGAACTCCACCCACAGCGACATGCTCCTCTTGCGCCCGTCCGCCAGCTTGAGCAACGCCCGGCCGCCTCCCTCGTTGTCTTCGTCCACGAGGCTGAAGACTCCCGAGGAGGTCTGCAGGTTCAGGTAGAGCAGCATCTCGAACTCGGAAGAGGGCAGCGCCCCGTCCGTCACCCGCAGAAGCCCACCGCAAACGTCCACGGCCGGCCGATGAGGGCTTCGATGGGGGTGATGTTCGCCCGGCGAGATGACGAAGCGAGGCTCCCTGGCTCCGACCTCCCGCAGGACCGTGGCGACCGCTCGGGCGATGTCGCGCGCTGCCCCGCACGGCAGCTCGGGTCGCGGGGCGCAGTGCTGCCGATGGAAGGCGTCGAGTCGCACGGAGAGGCTCTGCTGCCACGGCATCATCACTCCACTGGGACGGCATAGCCTCGCTCGCTCCTCATCCTCCTCCCTCTCATCCATAGCAATGCGGCTTCTAACTTGACTCAAGACGCACACACGTGTGTGTGTGTATATATATACACACAGGCTTTTAAAGTCCTCGCCTCTTTGTTAGTAAGTGGTACCCAAATCAAGGGTACAATTTAAACTTTTAGCAGAAATGTCAACTTTTCTTGTGAACGTATATGCATACACTTGTCTCAGAATGTTATCCTGTAAACACTCAACATTGTATGTTACACTTTAATTCATTTTATTTTAAACCATAAATGTATTTTTCGTAAATTTCACCCGTGATATTTGACCATTTATCAACTTGCTACGTACTTTACATGAGACGGCGAAATAACAGTAGCCTGCTCTTGACGCACGACTTTTAAACCTACAAGCCAGGCTGCTCATTTACAGCAGCAGCAGCTGATCAACAGCGCATCATCAGCAGCAGCAGCAGTCCTGATGAGCAGCGCCACTGGTCCCGCTGCGCTGCTGGCCGCGTGGCTGGCTGTGTGAGCACCCTGGCTCCGGACACAGCCGCTTTTCATTGTGACCCCCCCCCCCCATGCTAACGAGGGCGAGGGAAGCCCCCCCCCCCCCTTGCGGATTGGGCGGGGCCTAGCAGGTAGTGGGCAGGTCTGTCGGGGTCAGTGGAGTGGGTGGGGGGGCTATGATGTGGGGGGCTATGATGTGGGGGGGCAGGGGTGTTTGATGGGCAGTTATGCGCTGACGGACATTTGTGTAAAAAAAAGCTTTGTCGCTCATCGGATTCCTCCGGTGTAAATAACGATTCTGGTTCTGTAAGCTTACTGCGTGTGCTTGCACGGTCGTGCTGCTGCTGTGGAGCTCGCCACGTGCTATGTGGTGGCATCGCGTGCATTATGGTGGAGTACAGGAGGTCGTGGGTTCGATCCCGACCCTGACGCCTGTCCAATATATTTGGAGTTTGCTTGTTCTCTCTCTCCCCATCGTAGCGTGGATTTTTGTCCGGGCCCTCCGGTTTTCCCCTCCACAGTTAGAAACATTCGTTAAGAGTATTTGGCCGCCATAAATTTCGTGTATTACGCCACTTTGTTGAGCTATCATTTATGGCCAGATCGCTTCTGAAAAAGAGCTATATAACTCAGGGGGCCTTGCCTGGTAAAATAAAAAATAGTTTAGTTTAAACGAAAATATAGTTTCATTCGGCATGGTGTCCTGGTAGCTTCTTCAAGGAGCGTGCAGGAAACTTCTTCAGAGCCTGTCCATGAGAAGCTCCCAGAATGTGAAGCTTAACATTGGGATATCATGCCTAATAGCATGCGCTATGCCTGGGAAACGCATCGGAAAGCTGTAGAGCACAACCGTGAAAACCCACACAGGTTACGATGGTGGGAGTAGATATTTTGGAATTGGGTGACAGTATCGTATGGGGCAGCTGAGTGTTGATCACCATAACATGGATAAAGGAATCCAAAATGTTACCTGCATCCATACATTTTCGGGTGTATGGCATTGACATTGTGGATCACGCTCGTTAAGATTGTTGCGCGATCTTTAATCTTCTCAGGCGGGGCAGCACAATCGGCTAAATGCCCACGTTCTAGATTTCTCCCTACCGTTGGTTGTACACAAGAAGCAGTTGGATTTGTTGGCGTCCAGTTGCCATCACGGAACAAGAGGAGGCGAATGATTGCTTCCAGCAAGTTGCGATCCCCGTTACGAAAATTTAAGACTTCTGCGACACGACAGGGCATACGAACGTCAGCTGGGAAGTGCGTCACTTGAAGTAATAGAATACGCATTCAGGCGACTGCGTGGTCGCAATAAACAAGCGCAAATCAAACAGAAACCTCTCTTCCATATTCATCGTTAATGCAGCTCAATAACAGAAACATTCACAGTGCATTGACAAGTCGGGCAACGGCCCTTGCTAGCGGAGGGCAGCCACGCAGCGCTGACATTCAGACCGCACTTTACAATGCGGTATCTTGAAAGCAGAAAAAAACGACATGAGATAAACACCATAGAACAGTTTTATTATTAAAATAATTGAATAGAAAACACGCTTTAATTTACTCTTAACTACTTAAATTGTTTGTTTGATAAAAATGTATAAATTGTTGTGCACACACACACACGCACACATTCCCGCGACTTAACAGTTATCACGTATTTACGTATGTATGTATGTTGAACTTCTTTCGCACTGTATGTAGCCAATTGTGGTAATCGGAAGTGCGGGGGGAAGGACAACAAACTTAACACAAAAAGCAGTTCTAAAGGAATGAGTTTTCAATCTAGATTTTAAAGTGTATAGCTCCAGTGGCTTCCTAATATTGGAAGGAAGAGTATTCCAGACGGCCGCAGAAGCGCATCTGATGCTATGGCGCTTTAATTCTAGGAGCATCTCTAAAATCTCTACAGGACTAACGGTTCACATGGAATAATGCAGATGAAGAAGCAGCAGATATCTTAGAAACTCTCTAAGGTGACTGAGCAAACGTCGCAGTGAAATGGAAAATTTAAATGGGGTTAAAATTGTATAAAACGTGAAAGCCAAAATGCAGCGTCTGGCCAGACATACGCAGTTGTCTTCTGCCCCAGAGCCTGCTCGTGAACACATTCTTGCGGAGGGAGCTGGTAGGAACGTTGGGTTGCTTGGTCAATGGCCAGGGTCAATGGTGGCGTGGTGTATTCCGCAAATATGGCCGACTGTGAAGGCGGACACAAGCCGGCGTGAGTAGGTTAAACGTTGAGTTTTATAAGGGCACCACGGGGTAACCAGCCCCTCCCCACCCAGCCCCTCCCCACCCTCCCCTCTCTACCCAGCCCCACCCCTCCCATTTTTGGATGCAGGACGGACGGACACAATAATCCCCTGTGGGCTGGTGTAACCAGGAGGTTCCTACCAGTAAAAACTGTTCATTTAAACCAAGGGAGGATTCACTTGATCAGCCTCAACAATGATAGCTCCCTGCTGATTGTGCATTATTCCAGCTTGATCCCTGATTGACTCTCTGGGCTGAGGAGTGGCTGAATGGGAAGGGGTGGGGGAGGAGGTGGGGGACAGAGGCTGAAAGGTGGAGTGATGGCGCGTGATGGGTGGCCACAACTATTGATTTGCGTGTGGTAAAGCGTGTGTATGGACGTGTGTGTGTGGCGCAAAGGTTAGCCCGCTGCGCTACGAACCCAGAGACGCGAGTTCGATTCCCGCTCACGGCCCACCAACACCGGTGACGATTATCTGAATGGGTCCTGGGCTTCTCCTAGGTCGACTCAGCCTCAAATGAGTACCTTGTGCGATGTGTAAAGATCGCCACTCAGGAGACAAAGGCGGCCGGGCGTGGTGCTGGCCACCTACTCCCTCGTGCGTTGTACCGGCTCCATCATAGGTGCTCGCTAACAGCACTTGCCCCAACAGTGTGTTGGGGCTACATGGAGGGTATTTGTCTTCTGCTCATGTGGAAATGTGTAACATTCACCGTAGCAGACACACAGCACTCCGAATGCGTTTGATTATTGGTCGTGGATGATGGCATCATTGGAAAGTGGTGTCGGCATCTGTTCCTCGTCTTCCTTAGGCCAAATCTGGTGTGATTGCAAAGTCTGGCAAATGAAGAGGCATAGATATCTGGGCTTGGTGCTACCCACGCCACGCCTTGAGTGTCGTGCTGGCCTTGATAGATGTGGAGCATTGCCCTGCATGACCCTGAGGTGGAAAATGCATCTTTTGCGTGTGTATCATCAAAGTGTGTGTTTAGCTGTGTGCACCGAATACAAGCAAGAATCCGTTTCGCACGTACATTCAGTATGCGTGGCTCGATCATGAGGACTCACTCAGCGTGTCACTTTCCTTGGCTGTGTGCGTGGCATATTTGCTGTAGCACGTAAATGTGACATTAGCAGACACATACATTGAGAATATATGGGAAGCCAATGTGTGTGTATTCTGTGTGTTGGAAAATTTGCATAGGCTGGGTCATAACAGTAAACAAAGGTGCAGCTTTAGCAGCAAAGTAACGCTAAGCAAAGATGTATATACGGAATGGAGATGTCGTCAATGTCATGCAATTATCAACATTCAAGAGAAATGCATACTCGGATACGTTATGCACTCACATCGTATAACACGGGCGAGAGTGATTGGGTGTTACTGGTAGGTCACCATTTGAACTGTAATTATATCACTAATTACTAAATGCGGCCAGTCGAGAGGGAAAATGAGCTCATGCCACTCGTTCGGGTTGCCCGTGTGTGTGTGTACATTAAACACATCGCAATACAAGTAATCATGACATCCGAATGCGCTCTCATCTAACTTGTATACTCAAGTCATCTTTCAGAGCCAAGGAGTAAAAGTTGTCTCGCTGCTGACGCAAGTGCTGGGGCATTGCTCCTGCAAGTGCCATTTAAACCAGTGGTAGAAATTCTTAAATCCCGTCAAAAGGGGCCATTGCCATCCGTGGGTCGATCACTGCCAAGTTCCTGTAAAGTGGTGGTAGTAGTAGTAGTGGTAATTATAGCATCACCACCAGAAAGATGATAGCCTAACTTGACTCGCGGTTGGGGGTTTAAAACTTGAACCTGCCGGTAGTGGATTGTGCACTCAATCCGCAGCGCCGTACTTAAAACGCACGTGCAGCGTAATGTAGACGTCTCCATTGTCGTCGTCAGCTACGGTCGATCCACTGCTAGGTGAAGGCCTCCCCAATCTGCCGCCACCTCTTGCCACTCTGCGATCCTATAATCTGCTCGTAGTATAATGAGTAATTATCATCATAATCGGAATTTATTGATAAGCCAACGTAGCTCTGTATTGTGGAGCCAAGAAGCTAAACCCATGCAATGCGCCTCTAATCCGGTTTAAATTTACCGACAACAAAATGAAAGCCGTTAGAAGAAGCTGCCACCTCAGTGACTCTGGCAAGCGTACGCCATTCTGCACCGGCTCTCTGGGCCACTAATGATGAGACAGATGAATGGGCAAAGCGGCTTTCTCCACTTTGGAGGTCTTTGCATGGGCACTGGAGCAGCTTGACGTCTGTTTCATTGAGTTACTCTCGCCTGAGTGGCCACAGCCAGGGCCCGGGCTAGAACCCCTCGGCACCTCTTTGAACACGGCGGTGGGTGAACCAAGACCCGAACTTCTGTTTAATGAGGGGAGGTTATTTCCTTTATTTTATTAACCCTCCTGATGGAGAAAAGCTCTTTGATGTTCTTGCATCGTCTGTGTACTTGCGAGGGAGACTTCGTGATCTCATTCGGCTCTTACATGGTTAATCATATTTAGAAAATATGTTACGATTGCACTGCAGCGCGTATGCTAAGTAGGTGCACGGTGAACAGCGGAGGTCTCCTCCGTTCAAGGTATCGATTCATCTGTCCACAGGTGCTGGCCTACACAGAAGGGCTGCACGGAAAGTGGATGTTCAGTGAGATTCGGGCATGTCTTCTCACGTCGATGCCTCTTGCAGAACTCGGCGCTAGAGATCTTCATGGCAAACAGGAGTAAGTAGATACTCAACAAAGACAAAGACCCCCCCCCCCCACGAATAGCCTGAACAGACTGTTGGGGCAAGTGCTGTGAGCGAGCAGCACCTGTGAAGGGTGGCACGGCACGCGAGAGGGTGGTTGGCCGGCACCATGCCCGGCCATCTTTGTCTCCCTAGTGGTGATGTTTACACATTGCACCAGGTACTCGCTTAAACACACACCGTCACGCATTAACACACATGCATGCACTAGGATCCTTCATAAAGACTACGCAGGCTGTTGGGGCAAGTGCCGAGAGTGGGCACATGTAAAGGTCAGGACGGCACATTTCCATGCAACAACAACAACGGGCGCCATTCGCCACTAAGTTGCGGTTTGACGTCACCATAGCACTTGTACCAGGCTAGGTGTACTTTGAGAGCACATGTATGCACTCACTCACACACATACGTGTGTGTGAGCATACACAAGCATGCGGATGCACACACACACATAAATGTATTTATTTACAAGTGTGCACACCATCACGCACGTATGTGTGCATATACGTAGAAGTGCACACGCACAGACACGCAAAGACAAATGCACACACGCACATCCATCGTTGTTAGAAGAGTGCTCATTATGAGGATCTTTAAATATTGAACAAGCTGAGTTGCTGTTCACATTATGCATTTACTAGCTGAGGTCAAATTGAGATTCAATGGAGTGTATTTGAAACTTTAAAAAACACTAAATAAAAAAGATTTTTTATCAATAAAAATCGAAATTGTGCATTGCATTGCACAACTTTTTAAAATTGTGTATTGCAAATGACAATTTTTATTTTTATTTATTTATTTTTAAAGTTTGCTTTATTTAGTGCTTCATATTGAATTACAAATCTAAATTGTATTAACGTATTGCATCGTTTCATTTCCAGCCTCGGTGATGTTCAACTTCCCAGACCACGCAACGGTCAAAAAGGTGGTGTACAGCCTGCCACGTGTTGGAGTGGGTACCAGCTATGGCCTCCCTCAAGCCAGGTAAGCCCCAGAGATATACGTTACATGATCAATAAAATATACTCACACTCACAGGATCGCACAGAGCAACGAAAATGCGCACGCATGCGATAACGACAGCAGTACCATTCACCGCTGAGTCAGGGACGATGACACGACCATGATCCTCGTGTCAGGCTAGGTGAACTTTGTGGCCACATGCAGACATCCATTGAGGCAGCAATGTGTCAAATGCGCAAACGTAAGAGACATTTGCTATGAGCGAGTTGCCTGTTAAGGCTGGGAAGATACAAAGGAGGTGGTGTAACCAGCATCATGCTCAGACACCCGTAATTATGTCTGCACACCATAATTAATTTTAGGCTGAGTTAACCAAAATCAAACTTACTTTTAAAATATTTTTTTCTAAAATATATATTTTGGTAAACAGGAGTTTGTGGGTTCCATCCTGACTCTGACTCCTGTATATTTGGTGTTTGCGTGTTCTCCCTGTTGCCGCGTGGATGTTTCTTCATCTCCTCTGGTTTTTCCCTCCACATTTAGCAACATACGTCTCGAATATTTGGCAGCGATGCATTTTCACACGATTCACCACTTCGTTGGGCTATAATTTGTGGCCAGGTCACTTTTGAAAAAGAGGTACTGAGCTTAGTGGGAATTTCCTGGTAAAGTAAAAAATTAAATAGTGACTGACACGTCGGAGCACAATCGTAGTGGTCAGGGGAAGCTCGCAAGGGGTACAATTGAGAGTTTGTGCGCAGTTATCTCTGTTGTAATTATTAGAATGTTTGTTTACCTTGGAAAGCCTCACTCAGTCTCATGACTCTTTGTTTTTAGGAGATTCCTGCCAAGCTTTCACTGCAGGGGTCGACATTGCGATGTGTAATCCCAATTGAGTGTTTTGCACGTATTTTTTTTAGTCAAATGCAGTACGGTAACCACTGTACCACAAATATTGCCTTGTCATACGAAAGTATTGGCGGTACACCGGTGCGCGGTATAATAAAAGCAAAATTTTCCCCATAATTATTTATTTTCCCACGATTCACAACCCCAGTTAGAACATCTTGCAGGGCGGTGCGTCAAAATCAGTTCCTGCGACTTCGAGGCAGTAGGAAGACGAATGTTATGAGCAGCTGAACATGAAGCTGTTGCCGTAGAGCAGCACCCAGCCTGATGACGACTGGCTGCTCCGCGTTCCAAAGGCAGATTTGACTCCTCGTGCCCAAGACTTGGTCGGACGGTTCCTTGATTCAACAGACCCAAATCAACGGTCAATAGACCTTTTTATCAAGTGTCGGTAGACTGAATAAACCTTGGAATCGTGTCAAACTGGGCGACATGGTCAATGAAAGACCGATAAACAGATTTGCTGATTCAAATTTAGATTTTACACTGTTTTATGAGGACTGGTGTGTTATGCTACACCGTCAATTTGTCCATATATTGCCACTGTTTTTGAATAAGGAGTTGCTGAATGGATAGGTGCACCGTTGCCATAGCAACGTTGAATTTTCATCACTGGCTCAGGGCTGCCATTGGAGTTGACCACCATTTTTGAGCAGGGAGATCATTTTAATGTTAATCATTTTGGAAGGAAATCGTTCTGTAATTGTGTGTTATTGCCTTGTGCAGGTGGTGTCCTGTGACGCTGATGATTGTTCTTACTCTGTCATGCCTCACTGGCAGGAGGATCTCGCTTGCTAGCCCCAGGCAGCTCTTCAAGTCGTCCAACATGACGCAGCGTTGGCAAAGGAGAGAAATCTCAAACTTTGAGTACCTCATATTTCTCAACACTATTGCTGGTGAGCATTCATCATACTAAACCTTTTCATCAGCAATACACGTCCGTCTCATGTCTGTGGTGCCACGTAATAATATAAAAGTACTTTTACACATCCCATAAGCCACGAACTGCATGCTTTTTTCTCTTCACAGGCCGTACGTACAATGACCTCAACCAATACCCAGTCTTCCCCTGGGTCATAACCAACTACGAGTCCGAGGAGCTGGACCTCACACTGCCCAGCAACTTCCGTGACCTCTCTAAGGTACATTCCACCTCGTGGTACATTCAGACCTCAAGGAGCCTTGAGTCCAGCACCTCCGCCGGCTGAGATGGGGCAGCTCGGCCTCTCTACAGGGTTTACTTGGCCCTTGCCCAACCAGAGCCATGTAGTCCTCGTAACTTATACCCATCCCTATATTTAACCCTTTCCCATTCGGAGATGCCTGCAAGTTGCAGGGTGGGTGTCCCATTCACCGCTGAATCTTGGAACGCGCAAGCGGTTAGCGTTAATTTTATTTAGAGAGGCAAAGCGCCGTTGTTTTTAAAGACATTGTACTCACCGCACATAGCTGTAGTGACAAAACTGCATTAGTATGACAGCTGGCGCCAAACTTTGCCACACGCCCTCCCGCATGTCCTTGTGGGAGCCTCGATACGTCTTCAGGTCGGATATTTTATTTTCCGAAGACTGAATCTGAATAAAAACTCATCACGTACATTTACGTCACCGGAATGAAAAGTGGTTAAGTTTGGAAGCACTGTCTTTAGATGTTGCTTTTTCATTGACAATAATCACAGCCAAATTTCCAAACATCTATGTTCCTAGATGGGATTTATTTTTTTCATTCAACGGTTTTACTTAACTTGGCTCCTATGTCGTGGTCAAATCCTGCAACCTAAATTTAGTCTACTTCCTGTTGTGCAATCAATTCCAAATTTTGCACACGTACTCAGATCTGGTGACATTGCATGCCCGTATCAAAATCGGCATCAATTAATCAATTCATTCGCTACTTTAAAGCAATTAACATTTTGTAATGGACGCCTTATTATTTACATATATATTTGTGTAGGTCAAAAACGCCGCCCAAGAAGCAGGCGCCACGTGTCTCAGGCGCTAGTTGTGAATAAAACCGTTAAAAAAATTTTTGAAGGAGTTTATTAAGTTCAGACCTTCAGTCATCAGTGTATTACTACAGTGCTTAGAAAGTAATCTGGAAGCAGATATAATTCTGCTGCTTGTCAGACAGTTGTTGAATTTTCTTACCCCTGGCACAAACTGATATTTTTCTAAGCAGTTGGTGTGATTAATTTATTTCTCAAATAAAATGCTGCTAAGTCAGATGTGGCCAAATCAACTCCTGTACAGCACAACTTTGACATCGTAGTGTTTCTGCACTGACAGAAACATATCCATGAGGGACCCTTTTGAAAATAATCTTAAGACTCGGGATTGCTTTTCTACACAATAAAGGACATCATTTTTAAACATGGGCTGTTAATCCGCGGCTTGAATCCGTAATCTCAAAAGTGTTTGCTTAGTAGTCCTCTTATGAAGGCAGCAGACCCCTCAACTCCGCACATGTCTACTCCGCTTGTACGTTTAGAACAGATAACAAAATGATGAATGGGGCATGTGCCAATTTTCCCCATGTTCCACCGTGGAATGTTGAGCCCAGTTGAAAAGTTAAGTCTTGTGTGTATACACGTATTATCCATGCAGGGCCCTTTAGATTTTCTAATTCACTTGTATGTAGAACATAGGAGTACCTCACAGCACTAAGAATAGATTGTGTCATCGTGTACAAGAAATGTGAGGCAGATTAATAATTGAGTGTGAGTTACGGCGCATATCCACAAGTGAAGCGCAGAGAAGCAGCGCTGCTCCCAGGCGCCGTGTTCTATAAACCCGGGTGACATTTTATTCAGGAAAGTGAGCGCTTGAATATTGACCATGTAACCATCGTAGCATGGTAGTTTGCAGCTATGGTCATGTAGTCAGGACGTGAGTGACCCAGGCTACTCATTTCTTACTCTCTGGTTCTTTCGGTAAAGTCCCGTAGATAGAAAAAATTATATAAGAACACGACGTTTCGGTCGCAACACAGAAATAATGATCTGCTATTGTGGCTTTATATAGGCACGGGAGGGGGGGGGGGAGGTTTGTAGAGTCGTGGTTGCAGGAGTTCACGAGGGGGGGGAGGGTTTGTTGTGTGCAGGGATGGGTGGGGGCTGGGGAAATGAGCATGTCCATGAGCTTGAGTCTCATTTCTTCACAATACATCTGTTTTGATGTGGCAGAGAATGAGCCTTCTCAGAGAGTGGCAGTCTCACACTTGCTGCATCCAAGGTTTAGCACAGGTTGTGAGTGTTTGAGATTGGACCTCAAAATTAGTAACGGCCTCAAAAGAGGAAAGAAAATAAATTAATGTGCAGACTACTATAATGTAATGTTTCACGGGACATTTTGTTTGCCAGTATCAAAGTATAAAAAAAAGTGTCCATAAAGAAGGCTGTGTCTGGTTTAGGCCAATCAGTGTCACAGGCAATGCATACACTATAAGAGCATGTTTGTTTGCATGTTCACCAGAAGTACGCGTGGATAATGTAGACTTGCTAAAGGGATCTATTTGGTGTTTTATTGCCAGGAAGGGTAAAAGCTATTTTTTATAATGTAATGCATTGCACTTTCACATCACAGAGGCAGGTCCCGCTGTGCTCAACGTACTGAGTACAGGTCCTGAGGACTCCTCTGAGCTATCTCCATCCATGCTGGCAGCGTGTAGCCTCCGGCTGCCCCCACAATGCGTGCCCAGAGGATTCATGGACGGCTCGCAGTGGGGGAGGTTGCAAATAAAAAATCTCGATCACAAGTCAACTCAGCCCACCGTTCTTCTGAGTTCATTAACATTAGCACCGCTCTTGTGGGAAGTCGAGAGTTGTTTTTATCGAAACGTGCTTCCACCATGGGTATGTCAAATAAGACATGCTCTTCTAGGGTCACCAGTGGAGAAGTGCACCATCCAAATATTTGTTCGAGCTTGGAGACACCCCTTTTCTTTGACTTGATATGACGACAGGCGGCATCATTTTATGAGTGATCGTGGCAAACGCTGAACACGTGGTATCTTCAGTGAGGTGAAGCCATGCTTGTGGACGGTTATTTACTTATTTTATTCTATCTTATATGAGGGCCAGCTTGTCCCCCTTGTGATCTCACGGTGAAGGCACCAGTGCTCCAACCTGCCCGTTGCTGCTCTCTCCTTCTCTCTTCGGTTGCAGCCGGTGGGAGCCCTGAACCCAAAGCGTGCCGCTTTTTTTGTGGAGCGCTACGAGAGCTGGGAGGACGAGCAGGTGCCGCCCTTCCACTATGGCTCGCACTACTCCACGGCCGGCTTCACGCTCACCTGGCTGCTAAGGATCGTACGTTCTCTCCGCGTGCGCCTCCCCCCTTTCACGAAGCACCCCCGCCGCTCTCTCACGCCCCCCTTGAGCGTTTGTCGCCGGCCGGCCTATTCGCCATACGCAACGGTGACACGGGTGCAGGCATCGAGAAACCTCTGTGTCTGTCTCTCCCCGGCTGCCTGTGTCTGCGTCTCCCTGCATGTTTCTCTTCGTGTCTCTCTAAGTTTCTGTCCGCGTATTTCTGTCTCTCGCTTATCTTTGTCTTGGTGTCTTGTTTCTCTCTGTGGCTCCTCTCTGCCCGTCTGTGTGTCATTCTCCCTCCATGTATTCCACTGTGTCTGTCTCGTATCCCTCTGCCCCTTTTTGTATTCCCCCCCATCCCCTAGTGCTGAACTAACCCTGACTAGGCAGTGCAGTATGTTGCTAAGTCAGAGTGCAGAGCTAGCATCTCTAACGTTTGTGGTTTTAATCCAGCCGCACTTCCGATTAGCACGGTTGGCTACATACGGTGTTCAACATACATACAGCCTTCTCAAGTTTAGTGAGTTGATGACCTCAGCATGCTCACCAAATGACTGCGCAAAAAAAGCATCGCGTAAAATTTAGTTGCGCACTTAATGTGGACAAAATCCATCTCTGATAATGAAAAAGGTGGGTTTGATGAACAGTACTCTTGGTGGCAGAGGAGGTGTCAAAGTGCTGCCTGCTACTCTGAAAATCAGGGGTCATTGTAATGCATCTCTGGAGGTAGTTCTGTAGTGTCTGCTTCCACTGCCCGAACGGAATGATTCGTCTCGTGACGCGACGGCGATAGCACAGACGGCAAGACAATGGGGAATGAAATCCTTAAATAACGACCACGTTTTGCATGCAATGTATGGTATTGAACAAATGTTTAACTTATTATTTGGGTCTTTCGGTAAAGTCACGTAGATAGGTTCAAAGAAAATAACAAAGTAGTCGATCGCAACACAAGCGTTCGTCATCAGCGACATGACGACCGCTTGTGTTGCGATGGAAGCGTCGTTTTTTTTTCTTTTTCTTTGAACCTATCTACGTGGCTTTACCGAAAGGCCCAAAGAATATGAATTCCTGCAGTCATGAAAGCTTTATCTGATTGTACTTGAACTAGTCCAGTTGAAGTTTAAGGTGTATTTGTTTAACCAGGGTGAGAACTCAAGCGACCAGGATAGGAGTCTCATTCCTAAGAGTGACCTGGATTACCAAAAGTGACACACACAAAAAAAGTGATACAATTGTACCAATCTTTGGCCCATCTTAATAGCAGTAGCAACAACAACAACAACAACGAAGTGAGCAAACTGCAGCAGCAGCAGCTGTGGGGATGTTGACCTGGTGCCAGTGCTCATGGCGCAGTGCTCAGCCTCCACTGTGACCTGTCCTACAGGAGCCCTTCACCACCTTCTTTCTCAACATGCAAGGAGGAAAGTTCGACCACTCCGACCGCACGTTCTCCTCCATCATCCGTGCCTGGCAGAACTGCCAGAGAGACACCTCCGACGTCAAGGTACGAGCCGACTGCACGAGCGAAAGAATTTCGTCGTTCAGAGCAAGGCAATGGGCCTGGTGAGATGCGTGACGGAACTTGCCGTGGAGGCGGTGCAACTGCACTGGGGTCCATGGGCCTTCCAGGGCCTAGGTGCCAGGCCTCAGATGGGGGACACATTTAGCAGGTGTCTCTCATTTCAATCCTTGCACCAGGGCCCATGCCAACCACGCTACGTCACTGATGGGAGACCTTTACGTAATAACACCTCATGATTAAACCTATTGCACCTCCGATTAGCACTGTTGGGTACGTACGTTGCGAAAGACGTTCAACATGCATACATAAAGACCAAATGGAAGGTTGTTGTCATACAACGCTGAATTTTTCAAGGAAGGTTTTTGGTTTGTAACTGCCTCAACGTAGAAACGCTGCGTTGCGATATTGAAAACACTCTGAGGCTTAGAAGTCACGGGTTTAAAATGAATATGATCATACCCACCAGTATGATCGGGAAATATAGTTCAAATATATTTTAAAGGTTTTTTGGCCAAACAATACACTTTATGTAGAAATATTTGTAAATATGTGTTGTGTTATTTGTTTACGCATGTTAAAGATCTCATGACGGTTTTTTTGTACAAGTAGGTTATTGTGTTCTTCAATGTGTATAGTTGTCCACAACTACACACAGAGATGCGTTGTGCTGTGAGGAAGGGCGATTGCCCAGAACGTCACCTATTCTTTTTTAAAATCTAGAATGAAAACACATTTTTTTATAACTGCTTTTTGTGTTTAGTTTGCTGTCCTTCCACTGTACCTCCGATCAGCATGGTTGTCTACGTACGACGCAAAATAAGTTCAACATACATACATCTACTTTTTAAAGGCACAATGTTATTGACAAATAGGTTGGCTTTTCTCGTTACATTGTTGTGAAATGTATGGTGCAGAGATCATTTTAAAAACGTATCCTCTAACAGTGGTGCAGCAGCAGCAGCAACAATATCTGCTGAGTGTAGATTCCCCACTAGAGGGTAGTAAATAACATCTTTACCAAACTATGTAGCGTGGGTGAGGCTTAATCGAATCGTGAGACTAAATTAAATCATAATCTTCACGGTGTTCTTATAAGAAGACGATTGCTTGTGTTGCGATAGAAACGTCGTGATATTTTTATTAGTTTTCTATCTACGTGGCTTTACCGAAAGACCCATAGAATATTTCTTGTAAGAAGTTACTGAAAATTGTTAATAAATAATAGTCCTCTCTCAGTCCTCACCAAGCTAAGTGGGTTTTCTGACTATGTCAGAGCATCAAGCAGGCGAGATGTTAACTCCCTCACCTGGTATGCAGGAGCTCGTGGGTTCGATCACGACCCTGGCGCCTGCTGCTGTATATTTGGAGTTTGCCTGGTCTATCTCCTCGTGGTCGTGTGGATTTTTCTCCGGGTCTTCCGGTTTTTCCCTCCACATTTAGAATCGACGTGCGTTTAGAGTATTTAGCTGCTATAAATGTCCACGCGACAAGCCACTTCGTTGAGCTATCATGTGTGGCAAGGTCGCTTCTTAAAAAGAGATAAATAGCTCAGTGGGCCTTACCTGGCAAAATATATATATATTTTGTAATAGTTGTAATATGTCACGTAGCTCAGTGCGGTTTGGGATAGAGGGCGTGGGGCAGAACTGGTTCATACATGTCACTCGCCAGTCGCCACTGATGTAGGCCGTAGCCAAGAATCTAAACTCGGGATACCAGGTTCACACCCCACTCTCACCCTCGCAGATTGTCGAGATCCTGCGTTCAGTTCAACAACAGAGCTACTCTCTGTAAACAACTCATTGTGTTTCTTGTGGTGGATTCTGGGTATTACGTGAACATATCAGCACATTGTCTGTGTCACTACATAAACGTTAAATAGCATTTTAGTCCATCAGCCTATGGGCCCTATGACATTACTACTCTGTGCATAGTTGTTCAATAAAGCCTTCACACCAATGATGTGCAATGCAGCATTTACCCACATGCGTTGTTACAATTAACTGCATGGGATCTAGAACTTATACAGAGTAGAGACATACTTTTCATTGTTAATACACGTATATGCACTGGGCAGGACATGTCACTAGACGGCTGGCAGTAGCAAATAATGATGGAGCGACAGCCAAATGACGAAAAACCGCCTGGCAGGAGGCGCCCCATCACGAAAACGGAGCGATGAAATCAACTCGCGTACAGGTGATAGGTGGATTGTTAGATCGCAGGACCATCAGAGATGGCTACAGCCTGGGGAGAACTTAATCCAGCAGTGGATCGAACATGGCTAATGATTTTGCCGCGTGTGAAAATAGGTGAACGTAATGACCGTGGTCCAAGTTCCCTGCTGCTGCTGCTGCGTGCGTGTGTGGGCCGTGTCCCCAAGTGCTCGCCAACAGCACTTGCCCCAACAGTCTGTTAAAGGCGACATGGGGGGTACCTTTGTGTTTGGTGTCCCAGGAGCTGATCCCCGAGTTCTACTACCTGCCCGAGATGTTTGTGAACAGCAATGGCTACACCCTGGGCGTGCTGTCGGACGGCACGCCGGTGTGCGACGTGCTGCTCCCACCCTGGGCCAAGACGCCAGAGGACTTCGTCCGCATCAACCGCATGGTGAGTGTCCTTGACCTCCGGGCCTTCGCGGCCTTCTGTCTTCCATTAGTCCTCCACCAAAACTTTCTTTCCTCTCCTCTGATGAACACGCTTGGCGACGTACGGTGCGAAAGAAGTTCAACATAATACCTCTTTTCTGTTACCCATTCGCTTCGTCTTCCCTCCCCCCGCCCTCCACTCCTTCCTGTCCCTCCCCCGACCCTTTCGTGACCCCAAAGTACCCATCAACCCCTGGCACTCCTTCCTCAATCATTGTACACCCCTGCTATCTAAATAATTCTGTTATTCTGTCACCGTCCTGTAAGTTACGTCAAGCGGCTTGAAAGAAGGTGCTCTACGGATCTAGATTTGATTAGGTGAACTAAAGTATGTTTTTATTTACCAGGTAAAGCCCACTGAGCTCTATCGCTCTCTTTCAGAGGTGACCTGGACACGCATGGTAGCTCATCGGAGTGGCGTATTTCATCATCATCATCACGTGTGGCAATTCATAGCAGCCAAATAAACCAAATGCACGTTTCTAAAAGCGGAAGGCAAAACCGGAGGCCCCTGGAGAGAAATCCACGTGAGCACGGGGGAGAGCGGGGCACCGTTCGTGTTGGGGTCGTACCCACGAGGGAGATAACATCTCGCCAATGGGGCACCAACTCCTCGGTGTAAAAGTTAAATTTATTTCAAATCGCCAACGAGGACGGCTCTCATCTCCGTGTGCGGCTTCGAGTCGTTTGTCGAAGTGTTATGTTCCTGTGGCAGGGGTCAGTGTAGAGCAGTGGTTCTTCACGTTTACTGCAGCCTTGCACACATTGAGTTCTCAATCGTGAAAAATGTGTAATGTTAATAACTACATAGGTTTGATGACACGTGATTGTACTTGCGTGCACGTGCTTCATTCGTGTTTAGATGATTTACCTTCCGAAAAAGTCTGGCCATGTCTCGCACCCCCAAAAAGGGAATATCGCACCCCTAGTAGTCATCCTGTACACCATTGGTGTACAGGATGACTGCTGTTGAATTTCCTAAAAAAATTATTTTCTTGACCCCAAAGTCGTTGTGGGAAGAGTTGTCCTCAGAACAAAGTTTGAATGAGCAACCTTGACAATGTAAAATACGCACTTTGACCACCAGCCACCAAGCATGATGTGCATAACCAACTCGTTAATTGAGAATGACCATAGTCGTGTTTAAACATCGTATTAATAAGAACTACAGCATGGGGTCTAAGTTAATTTGCCTCGTAACTGACTCATTTTGTTTCAATAAAACAACAATCAAATTGAATATACTTTTTTAAGATACAAATGTAATTCATAATCCCTTGCCATCAGGCCTTGTTATGCGTCTACCACACTTGCCTACTTTATCCAAATGCGCCATACGAGGGCATTAGTCACCACGTGGTGCCTCTCCTGATTGCTGGTTGACTCAGCCCTACATACCTTGACGGTCAATAAAATACGTGCTGCTCGATGGAAGTCAACAGGACCTGCCCTATTGAGTAACTAGCTTCTCTCCATATTGTCTGACGGTCAAAAGTCGCCCTTGAATGGGAGTTTTATAGTTCGATGGGCTGTACTCGAGCCATAAACGTCTGAATCAACGTCCCAAGAAATGTTGAATATCCGCCACATCCTCCGAGCTGCCATTGAGTTGAGTCTTGAATTATTGCGCATCTCGGTTGGCAGATACCTGGACTTGAAAGGTAAATGCATAGTAGATCAATGAAAACATTCTGCCTTGTCCATCGTTGATCTCATGTTGTGAGTCCCTTTCCTGTGTCTGAGTTCTCTGCGTCCATTTTATTGCCAGGCTCAGTGGGCCTTACCAGGTAAGGCCCAGAAATGAAAGCTCAACGAAGTAGCTCATTTTGTGGAAATTGATAGCAGCCAAATACTCTAAACGCATGATTCTAAATGTGGAGGGGAAAAACCGGAGGACCCGGAGAAAAATCCACGCGGCCACGGGGAGAACATGCAAACTCCAAATATACAGCAGGCGTCGGGATCGAACCCATGACTTCCCGTATACCAGGTGAGGTAGTTAACATCTCGCCACCTTGACCCCGCGTGGCCCTGCTTTTGCCCGCAGGCGCTAGAGAGCGAGTTCGTGTCGTGCCAGCTGCACCAGTGGATCGACCTGGTGTTCGGCTACAAGCAGCGCGGACCCGAGGCCGTGCGAGCCCTCAACGTCTTCTACTACCTGACGTACGAGGGCGCCGTGAGCCTCGACGCCATCACCGACTCGCTAAACCGCGAGGTACCGCCACAACACGCGCACACACGAGTACGCCGGGCATTGTCTCGCAGCCGTTGGTGCCCGAGGGGGATATTCTTGTAACCCGAGCTCAGTCCAGGGATGTCCAGACCTGGCAATGGTCACGGGGGTGGGGGCGGGGAGGGGGACAGATTCGTGTGGCTGTTTTTGCCGTCATTCTGCTACTTTTTGGCAGACTGGAGACCGTTTTCATGCAACCTTGGAAACATTCCACATTTTACGAATGGCGAATGTAAAAATGTGGTCACCATATCTGTCTGAGATGAACCCAACCCTTTAATGTAAAGCAATTCCTTGCTGTATGGCCTCTGCGGGTGAGCTTAATTAAAGCATGATTAGCTTAGATTGAAATTATTCAACACTCACACAGGTACAAGGCTGATGTAGCTGCACCAGTGTCCTATATGTACCTTGATTAGAACAGCAAAGAAATATAATGTAGGGCTAAAAACTCACAATTGCCTTCTAACAGAAAAGAATGTACCGTTTAATGGGCTAATATTTCAGGAATTAGTACTTCTGCAGATTATAAGAAGTCATTGCCAAAAATGTTGGTCTGTGATATGTTTTCGTTTGTGGTCGGGCAACATTAATCAGGAATGTGGTGGACTTCTCTTTGATTAGTTCTTGTATTTAAACAATAGTCTCAAGGGAAGTAAGGCATTCCAAACCCCTGTCGTCCAAGTATCCCCTTCTTCACTGCCGACTGGGCTTGAAATATTTGCTCCCCATACACGTGGGATCAAGGACCAAAAGCAATCACCTTAATGAAAGCTAATGGGAAGAGGTGATACGGTTCAGTTGGTGAGGAACAGCATGCACTGACACTGCATTCTGTTCAATATATACCAAAAAAAAAAATACTATTTGCTCACGAATAATCTATATTTAAAATTTTGGCCAAGAGGAAATGCCAGCTGACTGTAGGAGCCCCTAATTGTATGGTCAAGTACAACAGGGAAGAGACTGTTCAGGAATCTTTAATGAATATTTAATTTCCACATTCATTTTGACAGAGGGTAACTGGGGACAAGATTTTTTTTTTAATGTTTAGCTGTGACAGGTGCCTCCGAATTCTTTCACAGAATTCTGCGGTTGGTGGGGAGAATCTGTGAGTAGAGCACAGCACATGCCGAGGCTTTCTGCCTTTCAGAGCTGACCCGAGCTGATTAAACCAATCAGGCTTCCCCCATGGTACAGGTTAGCAGCAGGCGGCAGGTGCAGCTGTGGGCAAGCCCAGAATCTCAAACTTCTTCGCATATGATGGACAGAGCAAAGGAATTGCGGTCACGGCTAAACCGCGCTCCCTTCCAGCTGCTAATCACGTGTGCGGTCATGCGCAGCGGTGGCGCGATGTTAAACAGAGATCTCAAAAGAGGGAGCTTCACAGAGTGTGCCTTACTGTGCGGATTAAAGTTAGACGCCGCAATGGATGAAAGACGGGGGGAGGGGGTGGGGGAAATAAAGGGTAAAATAAATAAACAAGGAGTTGCGTTGTACGGGCAGGTAGTGGCGGGGAAGTGAACGCTGAGCGTGCAGACACGCAGACAGTTTCCCGAAATGAAGTGACCGCATTTTGTGTTGTTCGTGACCACATAGCCCGTAGTGAAGGCATAGCGGTTTGGTGTGACTTCACCAAAAGGAATTTGGTCAACTAAATAGCCTGAATTTGCGATGGGATACACGTGTGTTTAAAAAAACACCTGAGATAGAGACCTCGGTGTACTGGCTGTTGTCAAAGGGCTGCCAACTGTCATTAGAGTGTTTCAATGTCTGCATTAAAGACCAGAATTTTGCATCTTTGCAAAATAGGCAAAACACATTTCCTCGGTTACTTGACACCTAATTGTTTCAATTGAACCAAATTTTCATCTCTTGTTTTGCCCCAAAACATCTCCCTGTAAATGTAATCAACTCCGTTAATAATTAATGGCATCATTAATTAAAAAAATTGAAGTAGTGCACCCGCTAATTACCCTGTAGACAAGTGTTTAAAATTGGCTATCGGCAGAGGCGCTGTAATATGTGGAACAGGTTGCGGACAGGTCTTGTGCGCGCGTTTGTGTTTAATGTCACCACTGTTTCTTCTCTCCCCAAGATCCCCGACGCGTATTTTGTTAGAGATTCTTACACGTTCCTCCCCACTGCTGAGTTTTGTGAGGTACACACCCTGTGAGGTGCACACTCTGCCTGTGCCAGTGTGACCTAGTCGACTGCAGGAGAAGCCCAGCTATGATCCACCTAACACGGCTACTGGATTCTTAGCGGTTGCACTCCATCCGCAGTGAGCGTAATCGGAAACCAAGGACTTTGCAAGTGCTCCCATGCCAGTGGCATTAATACGCTCTCTCTCTCTTTGTGTATGTATATATAAAGTTATATTTGAGTGCCCAAGAGAAATGATTAAAGTTAAACGAGAAACTATTTTATGTTTTACCAGGTAAGGCCCCACTGAGCTATATAGCTCGTTTTCAGAAGCGACCTGGCCACAAATGATAGCTCAACGAAGTGGCTTATCACGTGGAAATTTATAGCAGCCAAATACTCTAAACGCATGATTGTAAATGTGGAGGGAAAGACCGGAGGACCTGCAGAAAATTGACGCGGTCACGGGGAGAGAGACATGCAAACTCCAAATATACAGCAGGCGTCAGGGTCGGCATCGAACCCACGGCCTCCTGTATACCAGGCGAGGTAGTTAACATCTTGCCACCTTGGCGCCCTTAAATTAGTCTTTGTTTATATTGGAACACACTGATATCCCATCGTATCTATGCTTTACATGTATCAAAGAGATTAAGCCCACTTGATGCTCGTTGGAACAGAGAGACACTGACCTCTTTCCCTCAAATTAATTACCATTTGTGGAAATCAGTGTTTTCTCTTAATGAACACTGCACAAGTAATTGTTTTCTTATTATATTCTTTATAACTGTGGAGCTTAGTACATTCTTTTAGGTGAGATCCATTTCATGAACGATTATTAAAATGTTTAAAAATGTTTATCCAGAGGGACTTGATTGAGTCCTGGACACTGTGACTGGAACCTGCTGCGCAATAACTCGACTGGTTGACCGTTTCACTCTATTTATCGAAAACACAGCAAGAGGTTCAGAAGACGTGATGCTGCCAGGCTTCGTGTCACTTTCTTAGTAGCAGTGACAATTCCCGTCTTGGTTGAGCTTCGTGAGCTGCCTAGTGCCCATAAAATAGACACGTGTTTAGTGAATGACACTACCAATAATTAATTCGAAAAATTGATAAATGTCCACAAAAAATCACTTGAAAGCAAATTTCATGAGTTTCCGAATGCGCCCGCCGTGGTATTAACCTGCTAACCCTCATGATGCTGGTGTGTGCACTCTGGACTTCGGCATGCGTGTCTCCTTCCTGCGTGCTGCCCTGGGGGTGGCTGATTTTTGCACGTGACCTTAATAACGCACTGCTCATCTCTCCCATCTTTGCCAGTAACACGCGGGTCCGATACACACAATGACGCGACCCGCCAAATAACAATAACCTGTGCGCCGTATTTGTATGCTTTCAAGCGTGTACATTCGAAAGCATTCTTACGCAGTCTTGCATATGGCGATGCTGTAAATTGATAACAAACTTGCTCTCAACCACAAGCAATAGCTGGTGGGCAATTTCTGAGCGGTGGTGAGCAACGCGGAGTGATTCACATCGTTTTCTCTGCTCCCTTTTAGGCCATAGAGTCTCAGATCCGGAACTTCGGGCAGACGCCATCACAGCTGCTCATCGAGCCTCATTCGCCTCGCAGCTCTGCCATGCATCTGGTGGGAACATCCCCGAGTGTCCCCTCTCCAACACATACACAAGCACAGCCAGCCACTTGCATCCGCACATGCATGCTGTTCGGTCGTGCACAGTCAAGGAGAAGCCGGGGGCATCTACGTACAACCATGGGCATCCACCCGTAACCATATGCACTTGGTCCAGCCCTTTGGAAGCTGAATTGGTGGATTACACAGAGAGCATCGTGTGTTGTGAAATTCCCATCCTCTTGGACTTTAAAGAAGACAGTTTATGGCAGTGCATTGATTCGGTTGCTGAACTATCTGTTACCGATTGTTAACTGTTGTTTTCTGGATGCTCCCAGTTGCTTTATTCCACACGTTTGTAAAAAAAACCTTTTTTGCACAATTGGCCAAACATCCGAATGTATGGCCGTTATTAAACTGGGTCTTGAAATTCAGTGGGGTTTTTACCTGGATATATCAAGGTTAAATTGTAATACAATTAAATAGGATTTTACATGTAAAAAAAATATTCTGGTTATTGTCGCGATAATCATATAAATGGTCTCATTTATGACACGTTCCAGCTTTATGTTTAATCACATTAAATGTGCCCTTATCAGGTTACTTCTTCTATGCTGTAATATCGATACTGTGTAATTCACCATATCAATTGCACCTTTTCCACCGTTCCTTCTCATTCCTGAGAATCCAGTAAAAAAAAAATATCTGACCTCATCACTTTTGTTCTCAACTGGCTCCGTTGTTTCGTTTCGCGACCACAAACTAACGCCCGTGCGCCTTCTTTGTCTCTCCCGCTGTCTTTTCCTTTTTTTTACCTTTTTGCCTTTTATTTTTTGATTTGAAAGTGTTTCCTCCCGCAGAGCCCGCTGATGTTTAAGGACCAGATGCAGCAGGACGTCATCATGGTGCTCAAATTCCCCTCCAACTCGCCCGTCACTCACGTCGCCGCCAACACGCTCTCGCACCTCGCGCTGCCCGCCGTCGTCACAGTCACCTGCAGCCGGGTCTTCGCCATCAACCGCTGGCACAACACGCTCGGTAAAGGCCTGGCAGGAGGGGCGTGAAACGCAGTAGGGAAGAGACGGCGGGTGGGTAGGTTGGTGGGGGGTGGTGCGGCGGAGAGACAGCCGCTGGAAGGGAGCAGCGTCGTGGCCGAGGGCCAGCGGTATCTTCCGCTTGGCGCGTGTGTACGTACGCGTACGTCATCGCAACGGTACTGAAAAGGAATTTAAGCTTAAATAACTTTACAGGTACCGAGCCTCCCACAAGGCCATGGGGGAGGGCATGTGGCACAGTTCCGCGCCAGCTATCATAGAGTACGGTCGTGTCGCTACGGTTCTCTGCAGTGAGTACAGTGTCTTTGCAAACAACGGCGCTACGCCCCTCTAAATAAAATAAATGCTGAACCGCTTGCGTGTTCCGAGATTCGACGGTGAATTGGACACCCACCAGCCTGCAACCTGCAGATGTCTCTGAGCGGAGAAAGGGTTAATACTGCAGGAGCCTCGTTAACCATCAACGCTGCACAGTCTGCTTCACGGGAAATGTTCGAGATCCCGTGAGGAGGCCGTGTGTGCCGTCGTCACGCTCCCAATCTGCCGTGTTGTGGAGAATTGCCCAAAAATTATTCAATTTGGGAAAACACAATAATAATCGCCCCCCCCACAGTGAAATTACTGCAGACGAGTGAAACATAGCACCTTCGAGATAGCCTTGCGCCGTGAGGATACCGAGCTTGCGGATGATTTGAAGGTTTGGTTTTACGGAAAGTGAAGGAAATGGAACGAAGAGGCAGCATTGCAAAGATTGGGGCAGCCAGGGGATAGTGAAAGAAAGAGAAAGTAAGAGTAACTGGTTTGTTGTTGTTGTTGTTTGAAGTCAAATTGTTTCCCTGCTCCCGAGTTCATGGGACAGTGCTCATTTCCATTGGCAGCATTAAGCCAGCAGTGTATATTTCACATTACAGTGGCAAGGTCTCATATCTCGATGTGACAATGGCTGTTGATTTACCACGAAATTGGACTCACTGACCCTAGAAGGATGATGGGGCCAAACCATACATGAACAAGATTTGAAATTGCATCCTTCTGCTGGTGAGTTTGAGTGAAATGCAGCTGTGCCAACTGGCTGGATTTGGACAATCTTTTTAACGTTTATTTTTTTTCCCCTTGCCATGTTATCTCTACTCTTACTTGAGCGTTACAAATTAACCGTGAGTGTTCTACGGTGAGTCTGGCCCCTTCCATACTAATGTAGTATTTAAACTACTGAAATAAGCAGTGTTGTCTGATGCAGTTGCATAAATGACACTCTCTATAAAAACTCGATAATATTATTATGACTGGACCAGGGTTGCCAATAAAGATGAGTAGTGCGGTATTCTCCTTGAAGCAAGGAGACAATTGCATTTTTAACACAGATTATAATTTTTGTTGTTGCTTAATAGTGATTAATAAGTATTTATTTGGTTATAATTTAGGTAAAGCACGTGGGATTCAGCATCGTATGTACGTACTGCATGTTGAGCTTCTTTCGCACCGTACGTCGCCAGCCGTGCTAATTCGGAGGTGTGGAACCATTGGGTAGAGAGGCACTTAGTGAGTGGAGATCGATGCTGAGCCTGAAATGTGAGACACAAGTGGGCCGATGCGGTGCCGGGCATAGGACGAGGGGTGTGCGGCGCAACACGGAGGAGGAGGGCAGCTGTCTAACGGTGGTGAGCAAGCAGCAGAGAGGAAGACATTTTGGAACAGAAATAGACATTTGAATTGGGGGGAATCTACACGGTGGGGGTGGTGGAGGGGGTGGGGGAGAAAAGGACACGGAGATTTCTGGGAGATGCAGAAGGCAGGGGAAGAGTCTAATGAGTGACAGGCAGAGAGGCATTAGTTCAAACTGTAGGGTAGATGTTTTCAGACTTTTAAAACCCAAGAGATCTATTAATGCAGTCAAAATACTCATGACCGCAGCGGCCTTGACTTGTGGGGTGACGTCTGAGCACAAGTAATTCTGACAATTGATGGGCTTCAATGTTGTTCGTAAAATTAACGAGTTTTTATTTTACCAGGTAAGGCCCACTAAGCTATTATTCAGAAGCGACCTGGTCACACATGATAGCTCAGCGAAGTGGCTTATCACTTGGAAATTGATGTCAGCCAAATTAAAGCGCATGTTTCTAAATGTGGAGGGGAAAACCGGAGGACCCAGAGAAATATCCACACAACTACAGGGAGAGAGACACGCAAACTCCAAATATACATTCTAGATTTGAAGATTTCGCGACTGCAAGGATTCATACTCTTAGTTCTTTCGGTAAAGTCACGTAGGTAAAAAAATGAAATAAAAATTTATAAAAATAAAACAATAAAAATCACGTGTCTCACTTGATGCAGCAAATCTGGCTGTGACGGTCCCACCTGATGACGGAGACTTGTGTTGCCTCCGAAACGTCGTGATTTTTATTGTTTTATTTTTATAAATTTTAATTTCATTTATTACCTACGTGACTTTACCGAAAGAACTGAGAGTAAGAATCCAAATATACAGCAGGCAATCAGGGTCGGGATCGAACCCACGACCTCCTGCATACCAGGCAAGGTAGTTCACATCTCGTCACGAGGGGCGCCCTGTTATTTTTTGGTGAATCTTGAACCCCTCCACCCCCGCTCCTTGGTGACAATGGGACCCCCCCCCCCCCCAGGGGGGCGGTGGGTCCACAGGTCACAACCTACATTGTGAGAAATGCTGCTGTAAGTAAGAGGAGAATGCTAAATGTGGGTAATTGTCAAGGTTGTATGTATGTATGTGAAACTTCTTTGCACCGTACGTAGCCAGCCGTGCTAATCAGAGGGTTCGGGGGAAGCACAACAAACTAAACCTAAAAAGCATTTCTCAAGAAATTAGTTTTCAATCTTGATTTAAAAGTACATAGTTCCAATGGCCTCCTTAATATTGGAAGGAAGAGCATTCCAGACGGCCGCAGAAGCACATCCGAAAGCGCGCGATGCGGTGACCTCCGAACGAAGGCCGGAAAATGGTTCAGAACACAGGCAAGCGAAGTGTGAGCATGGTAACGACATTGAGCCTTCCAGCTGTTTATCGTCACCTGCCATGAAACCTGCTCTTACTTGCCGTGCTTGTCATGTTGTAACTGACTCGTGCCCTTTGATTGTCAGGTCTGCGCGGAGCCCCAGGCTACTCCATCGAGCAGTCCCACCATCTCCCCATAGAAATGGACCCTTTGATCGGTTTGTACCCGGATTCTTTTAAATTATGGGTTCACAAAACTAGCTCAAGCTGCCTGTACCTTGTCAAAGTGTTTTATATCGGACATTTCCTGCTTTCACACACCTCGTGATTGATAGGACTTGGGGTTAAGGTAAATTCGTCTCCAATGCTTGGATTTTGCCTGTCTTAATGATGCTTTTAAGATTCAAATGTCGACATACCCACGAATACTAACGTCATCACCTCAGTGCCAATTAGTGCTCAGAGGCGATTTGACCACAGTGTAACCGTTTTAGCTCGGCACAGAGATCCAGCTATTGACTAGGCTTTCCAGTAAGCATGCAACATTGAATCAATCAATTGATTATATCGATTCTTATACTCACCGTAAATAGAAATACAAGCATGCAACACGGCATTATTTACGATTTGTGCAAATAATATTCTTGCGTTACATTTAGGCTCATAGAGTGAAGAAATCTGCACAACGCAGACAGGTGAGAAGAAATACTAACGAGGTGGTTAAACAAAAAAAATTGTAATTACTTAATTGAATCTTGTCACCATAATGTGAAATTGTAATAAATCTTCAAAATCATTACAGCGGATGAATCATTACAGTTGCAATGATGGTCGGAGCTGTACTCAACCAATGATCTCTCCGTGTAGAAGGAAATTTAGTGCCGCTTTTGTGTGAAGTCAGCCGTTGTGGATCGCCTGGTACCGGCTGCATGAACGTGGCATTTACATCACTTGCTCAAGATTGACAGAACAGAGATCAGCACTGGCCGATGCTCGTTTGCGCAGGGGAGAGCATTGACTTCTCTGAGCTGTCAACTTGGAGCTCCATCATCATCATCCATGGTCAATCTACTGCTAGATGAAGGCCTACCCAAGCAATCCATCATGATTATGCGATACAAAGGTCCACCTAGCTCCTGCATTTACCACCGACACTGCAACACAAAGTGACTTGGGTGACGCAGGGCCAGCTGGAGTTGATGTGTGGCCGTTGGCTTCCCATCAACGCAGTGGTGTCATTTGTGCAGCTCTAGATCAACTGTTAACAACAACAAATTAGGATTTATCCTTTCTGGCAATAAATCAGGTGTTAGGATGTTCAAACGTCAAATAGATACCTATTGCGAGGCATCTAGTCTGCATTAATCACACACACTTGTGGCGAAGCATGCAAACAAAGATGCTCTGATAATAACATATGCTTCGTCTTTGACACTGATTGGCCTTGTGTCGCCAGCGGTGTTAGACCGGAGAACAATCCCAAAAGGCGAAAGGTACAAAGGCAATACGAGCTTCGAAAGTATTAAGAGCTCAACCCGAGCTGACAAAAAAAGTTCCCGTAGATATGAACTGTTAAGCGTTGATCGTCACCTGGTGTGTCCACGTCGTTTTTTTTGTCTGCAGCGGCGAACACGGGCTTACATCGGCGGCAGATCACTGACCTGGTGGACCAGAGCATCCAGATCAACGCCCACTGCTTCGTGGTGACGGCCGACAACCGCTACATCCTCGCCTGTGGCTTCTGGGACAAGAGCTTCCGGGTCTACTCCACGGACTCGGGTACTATACCTAAGCTTCCCGAAATTAAGCTTGGCATGCGCACACACAAGCACGCACGCACGCATGCGACGTAGCAGTTATCACGTATATGTACGTATGTATGTTGAACTTATTTCGCACTTTACGTTGCTAACTGTGTTCATTGGAGGTATGGGGAAGGAGAGAAAATGAAACACCAAAAGCAGTTCTAAATAAATCAGTTTTCAATCAAGATTTTAAAGTGCACAGCTCCAGACTTCGACAGAAGCGCATCTGAAAGCGCCCAATGCAGTGACCATCTTTGTTTGATGGCTCGCCAAAAACCACTGCTGTGAGGATGGGTTGTCGCCTTGTCGTTGTAGTGAAGCTTGTGTGCCGCCATGACCCAGAGAGAAAAGCCGGCAGGAGCCTTAGGTTCCCAGCAGTTCCAACCATGCCGGACTGGTCAAAGGGTAGAGGACAGACGAAATGGACAACCCCTGGTTGTTATGGAAACTGCAACAAGAAAACATTTTCAAAACCAACTAAAGAGCATGGGCCTGTCTTGGGGTGAAGCAGAGAATAGCTGCAAAAAACCGTCGCGGCATGGCGTGGGCTTGTTGCGGCCTTATGCTCCACAGGGAGCGAAGAGGAGTAAGTAAGTAAGTGAGAATGACCGGAGTTCGCGTGATGGTTTATGCTCCTTGACGAGATCAGCTAAGGTATTGTGGTTCATTCGTGGCAAACACCTTGTGTGTACGGTGCGAAAGAAGTTCAACACACATACGTGTCGATGCATGTTCTGCAGAGTATCAACGTTGACGAAGCAAGTAAGCAAAGCAGCACGTCAGCATGTGAGCATGTGGCGTCTGCATGCAGGCAAGCTGACGCAGGTGGTGTTCGGGCACTGGGACGTGGTGACGTGCCTGGCGCGCTCTGAGTCCTACATTGGCGGCGACTGCTACATCGTGTCGGGCTCACGGGACGCCACGCTGCTGCTGTGGTATTGGAGCGGCCGCCACCACATCATCGGGGACAACCCCAATAACAGTACGTCGGGATGGGGGGGCAAGGGTGGCACCTTCTCGTTTGTCTGACTCCGGCGGTGGCCCATCATCAAAACAATATACCGTAGTTCTCTTTGACAGGCAACCTGTTTCGCTAAACAAGGGACAGTTGTGGAGGGGGCGGCGGAGGGTTGCAAATGTGTTGCTCGTATATGTAAATTACAAATTTGGACCGTGTCATTTTGACAAAGCCACTTATTATAGTAATTGATGACTTCAAGCTTTCGTGACTGCAGGAATTCATACTCTTTGGGTCTTTCGGTAAAGTCACGTAGATAGAAAAATAATTTAAAAAATAACGACTTTTTCGATCGCAACACAAGCAATCATCTTCAGGTGAAAAAAATACAGCAGGCGAACTGCTGAGGCAGGAGAAATATTATTATTATAACTTTACCGAAAGACCCAAAGAGTATAGTAATTAATGTCCCACTGCCGCTCGCCGCAGTTTTACAGCTATGTCGACAAAAGTGGTTTGAAAGGAAACCCCCAAAATGCTGTTACCAAACGAGCCATGTTGTACTGCGTACGCAGGACATGCCACTTCACTGCCGTCATCAAATTGCTTTCCCTGGAAGTTGTTCTTTAACGGCGGCAACACGTGTGAAGCGCTGGGAGGCCAGGCGTGGTGTGGGTTTACTCCAGATTTATCTGCATTAAGTTTTTTTTTGTTACATGATGGATGATGTCGTTTCGTCAGTTGCCCGGCTATTTTACAAGGGAGGTCTGGGGTGCGTGCGTGCAGCAACTAAACAAAGACAAAAAGCATTAACGTTGCAGAGAATGAGTACAGGGTCCTCAAGGAATATTGCACAAGGAGCAAACCAGGTATTTTACGGTCATAAACTCCTTGTCAAGATTATTTTCCACAATTATACATTTTCCAGGTAACATACAAATTACATGATTTCAAACACCTGTGAAAAACGTAATACAGCAGTTAATCTCTGTAATTGTATAATTTATTCCAAATACGTACATTCGACGTGGCTTGGCCCCCTTGGGCGCCGCCGCCGGCGTCGCGGCTTGGATCAGAAAAGTTCAAGACGGTTGCTTGACACTGCCCCCTGCTGTAGCCGCCGTTTGTTCACAAAGTAGCGGTCACTGCTACTGCTCAGTGGGCAGGTGCACGTGAGAGCGAGATGGGCGCCGTGGTAGTGAAATGTTATATCCCTCGCCTGGCGTACAGGAGGTCGTGGGTTCTATCCCGACCCTGACAATTGCATATTTGGAGTTTGCATGTCTCTCTCCCCGTTTGTCCCCTCCGCATTTAGAATCAACATCCGTTTAGAGTATTTGGCTGCTATAAATTTCCAGATGATTAAGCTTCTTTGAGCTATCATTCGTGGATTCTCGAAGCAGTCCTTACAGAGCTTTGAGGGTCATTCTTTGGTCTGCGCGAGTTATTTCTCCAGATAAGTCCGGTTCCTCCCACAAGGCAAACACTCAAAAGTGGAATTGGTCAAACATCACGGGACCCTCCAAAACAATGAGTCTTGAGACTCGGTGGGTAAATGAAGAACATTATTAGAGTCGTGCCACGCATCGCTCGGCATGACGTTTGGCACGACGTCCGACGTTTCGCTCCACGTGCTGGGAGCTTCTTCAGGAACTGGAGCAACACAGCGGTGCAGCACAACCACGAAGCGCTACGGGGTGGAAGAGCGTTATTCTTCTCCTTGCCGCAAGAGCGTGTCACACTTACTTACTAGCGGTGCTTGAGAGAGTCGCCTGCATGCAACAACAATGGGAAGGACTTGGCATTAATTCAGCAAAAATAGACGGGAGTGCATGGTGTTCTGGGTGTGGGCTTGGCAACCACGTGACATTGTCGAGGTGTGGCTGTGTCTGCTGCAGGGTGGCTGTCTGTGGTTTGACATCGCACATGCCTTGGCTACCCATGACCACATGATTTGAAGGCTTCAAAACAAGCAATTATTACATGCCAGCTCACGTACATACACGTAGGCCACAATGCAAAAATAAATAAATAAAATGTTTGGTTGTTTCAACTAAAAATGCACTGTTTATGTTCTTGAGTGGATTTTGAAACATTTATTTAATATCCACATAATTTATTTAAAATCGTGCATGTGCGGGGCCTAATGCTTAGGAGGAGATTACACGGTGCTGGCGTTTATCATTTTACTGCCACTTTCTTACAGACAAAAAGGTGGTCAGCACAATTTATGGTAGCACCGCACTCAAATGAGACGCGTGTGTGATCGGCGACGTTGTGGACAGTGGCCCTGTCCACTGCGTAGCCGGGAGATGGTCTGAGCGACGCTGCTCAGTTTGTGCAGCGCCCGCCAATGCAGTATCTCAAAAAATCAGTGCGAGTCTCCAGATTGTCCTGTTCCCAAAGGAGAAGGGTTCTCGAATGCTGGAGTTAAAGGGTGTACCCAGATAAAGCTCGCACAGTGAGGGGATAAGACTCAAAGGTTCGTGGGCCACATCAGTGCAGAATATGGGTTTGTAATTCAGTTCACTGCCGTTTATAAATAGTTATGCAGTACTGTAAAGACCTCTGCTATTGCGAAAGCGTGATTTATAGCCTTCTTTAGGCCCTGCAGTAGAGCCAGATGACTCGGATTATGTAGGCATTGGGTTTGCAGTGTTTTAAAAAACGTGTTTGTGTGTGCATGTGCATACACAAAGAGGCGGAGTTAGCGCACTGCTTTACTGTTTCTCGCAATATGGATTTAATTCCCACCCATGTACAACATGTGTGTGAAGTAGCATCTGAATCTATTCTGCAGCAATATGAAGACACGCTGAGTTGGTGTGATGCTGGCCTCACCACCCTCCTGTGTGCAATTCCGAATGAAGCAGGTGCTTCAACTGTGTGTACGTGCGTGTGAGAGCGGGTAGTGTAGCGGTTAGCGCGCTGCGCTACGAAACCCAGCAAACCCGAGTTCGATTCCCGCTCACGCCAGTGACGATCATGTGAACCGGTCCTGGGCCTCCCCTGTGTCAACTCAGCCTCAAATGAGTACCTGGTGCGGTGTGTAAACATAGCCACTGGTGAGACATAGAGGCGGTCGGGCGTGGTGCTGGCAGCCCCCCCCCCCCACCCTCGTATGCATGTACCGTCCTTCATAAGTGCCCTCTAACATCACTTACACCTACAGTCTGTTCATGCTAATTGGTTGATCTTTGTCTTCGTGTGTGTGTGATGTCCCTGCAGGCGATTACCCCACACCGCGAGCCATCCTCACGGGCCACGACTGCGAGGTGACGTGCGTTGCCGTTTGTGCCGAGCTCGGCCTGGTCATCAGCGGCGCTAAAGGTGCAGCACGCCTGCACAATGGGCCAAATCTCTTTCAAAGAGGACTCCGTGGCCAATGTGCCCCCGTGGCCAATGTGCCCCCGCATACCACCCACATCTTGCCGTCATTCACTTCCTTCCACGAGAGCTCCCAGCTTAATTTTTGCGCTCAGGGTTTGCCCACCATCTGGCTCCTGTCGCCCACATGTGCCCATTCCACTGCAACCACTGAAACGCCATCGCTTGCGATGATTTCTTGCGGCACGTTTACACTGCTGGGTATGCGATTGCTCGGATCATTCGCACGGAGCACTAATCGGGAGACCACGAATCCCTCTTCTCGTTGCTAAATCAATTGACAGCTCTGTGACGTGCCCACGCATTGCTCGGGCCGAACAAACAGGTCTGTGCGCACTAACATTAACCTGCGTGACCCGACCAAAGTGGTTTAATTTGCGTGTTAAGAACTGTTGATGCAATGCATCGTGACCTCCTTTTCACAAAAATGCAGTTGTATGCACATTACTGCTTAGTTACACAAAAACCTCACTTCAGACAGACACGGGATTCACCGTTTGTTGCTGTTGCCTTTCGAAAATTCAGTCTGAGGGTGTTAAAGTGTCAGTCCATGGGGATGTGGATGCGGCTGTGGTGTAGAGGCGAGCACACCGGACTTCGAATCCAGGTAGTTGCCGTTTCAACCTCCCGGCGCGTTCCTTCATTCCTCACACCTCTGTCCAGTATATATGTCCACCCGGCAGTCAGTATACACAGGGCACACCACTCTTCCAAAGAACACCCTTAGAAGCGCTCCTTAGAGCTCCTTCTAGTGGAGGCCCTTCCACGAGTAGTGGTGTTAACAAGCAACTGCAGAGCCTGTACGTTTACCTTGTACACAGCGATAGAGTAGAGCCCCTCGTAACGACGGCAATTGGTTCCATGAAACTGGTTGTTAGTTGATTTGGTCGTTAAGCAAGTATCGGAAGTATTCTTTGGTTCTTTCGGTAAAATCACGTAGAAAGAAAATAAATTAAATAATAGAATACGACGTTTCGATTGCAACACAAGAAACCATCATCAGGTAAGAATGAATAAGAAAACAAACATAGTAAACTTAGAAATATAATGCAATACAACACAGAGAGTCGGCTAACACAACAGTCAACACCCTACTTGGTTTATTACGTTCTTCCAAAGATTGCTACATTTAAAAGAGAGACAAAACACAGATATGGAGACACATAGACAGACACACAAGCAGAGACAGACGCACACAGAGACACACAGAGAGAGACACATACAGAGACACAGAGACACAACGCCTCTGTGTCGAGGCCTTAAGTAGAGAGAGAGGGGGGGGCAGAGAGAGAAGGGGGGGAATTGGGGTAGAGAACAATGAGAGAGTTGCGTGGAATTCCTGCCCATAGCGGCCGGAGGAGAGACGATGGACTTATAAACAAGCAAGCACGGCAAAAATTTAGAGAGAGAAATAGGAAGTTTGAGAAAAAAATTTTAGTTAAATTAGGAAGTGCAATGCAACACACCTGATGATGGTTGCTTGTGTTGCAATCGAAACGTCGTATTCTATTATTATTTAATTTATTTTCTTTCTACGTGGCTTTACCGAAAGAACCAAAGAGTAATTCCGGCAGTCACGAAAGCTTCGAATATAGTTTTATAGGAATTATATTTTAAAGGCTTAATTCGTTCCGATAGCATAGAAAGGTACAATTTTCACCCAAAAAAAGTACTTTATTATATTTAAACAATGAATATGAATACATAAAGATACTAACAAAATTATGAACATGTAATATTACAAGCAAACATGCGAAAAAATGCATTCAGAAATTTTTACTGTACCTACAACAGCCCGTCGTTAACAGGGGAATGGTCGGTAAGCAAACACATTGGGCTCTTCTTCTTGGTTCTTTCGGTAAAGTCACGTAGAATGGAAATAATAAAATAATAAAAATAAAACATAAGAAAATAAATCTCACGACGTTTCGGCCACAGAGTCTACTCGACAGACCTGCTACTCGACAGACCTGCTCTCCACCTGAGGACGGCTGCTTGCGTTGTGGCCGAAACGTCGTGAGAATTATTTTCTTATGTTTTATTTTTATTATTTTATCATTTCCATTCTACGTGACTTTACCGAAAGAACCAAGAAGATGAATCCCTGCAGTCACGAAAGCTTTAAATCGAAACATTGGGCTCTATGGAGGCCCGTCAAGCGATTAGTCGTTAACAGCGTTAGTCGTTAAGAGGGGTAACGTGATACACGCGGCATCGCTCGCGCTCACCAGAGCCACGCTCAACCCCGCCTCGTGTTTTCCGCGCACGCAGAGGGCCCCTGCCTGGTGCACACCATCACGGGGGACCTGCTGCGGGCCTTGGAGGGCCCGGAGGCTTGCCGCTTCCCACGCCTCATCTCCGTCTCGAGCGAGGGCCACTGCGTCATCTACTACGAGCGAGGCCGCTTCTGCAACTTCAGCATCAACGGCAAGGAGCTGGGACACATGGACATCAGCGACGCCACCAAGGTGGGTGGCGGACGCGTGTGGACTTGAGCGACGCGATTCCACTCGCCGAGTCGTTGCCGCCCTTCCAATGCAAGACCGTTCGGACCGTTGCGGCGGAAGAGAAGAGCGAAACGAGAACGTGGTTTTATCTCACTGGGCTGTGTGGACAGGGAAGGGACTACAGGAATGGCGATGGGGAGTGATCGGGAATTGAGGAGGAGCCGGACTTGATGAGATTGTGGAAGAGGAGCAGATTATATTAGAAGATGCTAGGCCATATCGTTTACTCTGGGCGATCGCTGCCTTCCGAGGTCAAAGTTTTACCAATGTGTGGCACTGTGCAATGAGACTCTGTGTCGTAGGCAGTGTCATTTTCAGCACTAGATATCAAAACAGCTTTCATCTGCTGCATTAGCATTACATATCCTATGACGCTGCTGTATAAGCGTGAGATTTTTAACACTGGTGTTTTATGGATAATTTGATGTGTATGAACAGTAGGAAATTGACAGTATTTTTCAAAGCAGATGCACTTGTTGATGTGCGGTGTTGGTGGTGATGTCTGCGTGCATTCGGTGAGCGAGAGCGTAGTGGATTGTGCACTGAACTACGACCATGATGACCTGCGTTTGGTTTCCGAAACACGCGCATGAGTGTCAAGTGGGCTCTGAACCTATCTTGAGCGACACCTAGGTCACCTCGGCCTTAAATGAGCACCTGATGCTGGTGTCATCATTGGGGGATACACTGCCAGGCGTGTGGTGCTGTCCCCACCGACCCAGTCAGCTGTTCCGCCAGCCTTGACCCTTTCCCTGTTCCGAGATGTCTGCAAGTTGCAGGGTGGCGTCCCGTTCACCGCCGAATCTCGGAACGCGCAAGCGGTTAGCATTAATTTTATATATAGAGACATTGCACTCACCGCAGAGAACTGTAGAGACATAACCACTCTATAGCTGGCGCAAAACTGTGCCATGCCCTCCCGCATGGCCTTGTGGGAGCCTCGGGACCGATAAAGTTATTTTATTTCACTTTTTATTCCGGTTCCGTTCCCATGACGCAAATATACATCATCGGAATGGAACGGTAAGAAAAACTGACGAGGTGTATGTACGTCATCGGAATGGGAAAAGGTTAATAGGTGCTCGCAAACAGCACTTGCCCCAACAGCCTCAGCGGTGGGTCTCTGTCTGCGTGGCGCAGGCAATGCTGATGAGCAGCGACGGGCAGTACTTGGTGATGGGCGGCGAGAGCGGCGTGGTGGAGGTGTGGCGCGCGTGCGACCTCAAGCAGCTCTACATCTACCCCGGCTGCGACGCAGGCATCCGGGCTCTCGACATCTCTCACGACCAAAGGTGCGCGCCACCCACCTTGCCTGCGTGTATGCGAGCGTGCGTGCAACTCAGCCTGTGGACAAGCCATTGAGCTTTGTGGCTCTTCAGTGGGCCAGTACGCGATACTCTGCTCTTGGGACGTGTTGCTAATATTTTGGGTTAATCCACGAACCTCTGCGAAACTTCACCAATAGCCTCCCTCCACACACACACACATCTCTCTCTCTCTGGCTCCGCACCTCCGATTAGAAGGGTTGGCTATGTACGATGCGAAAGAAGTTCCACATAGTACATACATGGGGCAGTGTTTGATGATGGTGTTGAAGTCTTTAAGTTTTGACCTTTGTAACACGAGTAATGATGAACTCTACACACGCACGGAACATTTAGCCCAGGGAAGGCGCAGTGCAGGTTTGGATATCATCGATCGAAGTGTGCTCGCCGCGATCACAGTGCAGTGCGCTACCCACCACGGCGCCACTCCCCATCACGTACGGACGTCTGCTGATGAGAGTGAACCTGATCTCATTGTTTTCTTCTCTTCCTTGCCCGTCTGCACAGGACTCTGATAACAGGCATGGCTTCTGGCAGCATAGTGGCATTCAACATTGACTTTAACCGGTGGCACCTGGAATACCAAAACCGGTACTGAACGGAGCACATGGCTAATTCCCACCCACCCACCCACCTGCTCGCGAGCTCCCCGGCCAGCCCTCTTCCATGTGCAAAACTAGCGACAATGAGGATGCCTCTGTGAGATTAGCCTGTGAGGCACCGCTGTGCATTGCCCTCCCTCAGAGGAGTATAAATACCTGAGCAATAGCAATGGTTGATGTGAGAACGTTAACTTAAGACTGTTGTTGAGCCAAGTATTCCTGATCACGCTGTACATGAAAAACAAAAACGAGTAAAAAAAAGGTCATAGTTTATCGTGAAGCACTGCAAGATACATGTCAATTAATTAGGGACACTAGCTTATATTTAAAACAGTTGCAACAATTGCATTAATGAAATATAGTATTTAAAGACAAAACTAAAAATTCCACAATTGTATGATCAATGTTTTTGACGTTAAAATTTATAAATAAATTAAATGATCACGGATGGAACACGATTTCTGATTTACTCAGTTGTTTAAAAATCACGAATTAAGATTGTAAACTTATGAACTATAAAAAGCGATGAATTTTTTGTCTGTTCTCTCGATGATTTGCCACTCCAGAATTCAATGTTATCACAAAACCATGATGCTGCATGTCGCAGCCAAACACTAATGCCCTTCCCTGGACTTCTGCGAGTTCAAGGGCCCATTTAATTTAGAATGGGCATTGAGACCCATCCTTGTGTACTGCCACTACTCTTATGAAACATGTACCCTGGCATACTACGGTAAAGCATAATATATTTTACAGAGATACTTTAATGTTAGTGGTTCTATGGTTTAAACCGTGGTGTTCTATGGTTTAAAAATACATGGTAAACCATAGTATTAGCATAGTTAATTTTAGCAATTGCACAATAGTACCATGGTGTACAATGACCAAAACGCCACTGTAAAATGTTTATGGTTACTGTAGTAAACCTGCTTTTATTTTTATAAGGGCAGGAAAATTATGGGTTAACTTATTTTTGTCCTGCAGCATTTCATATGGTTAGCCCCTTGTGTTGTTTCATTCATCTTGTAGACGTCTGTATTTTAAGGAGCATGGATCATTTAATATAATATCCTGTTTGTTGTGATCATTGAGAAGGTGGCTCTTAAGTGTTGGCTGTATATTTCAGTATGATGCAGGAGGGTCTTCTGAAACATATCATGTGTATTTCTTTTTGTTTGTAGATTGTCAAAATCGAATAAAGTCATATAAAGAAAATGACCCGATGTTACTTCTTTGTACCCGCGGGTTGCTGTAAACTTCAAAGGGTGACAGACTGTGTAATAGCTGCCTTGTGGAAGGCGGAGAGCCGAAGCCCGATTTATAGAACACTTGTTGCGTTCCCCCAAGTCAATGACACCGGGGGGGACGATCTGCAGTGCCTGGTATGTAGGAGATCGTGGGTTCGATCGCGACCCTGGGGATTACACGTTCTCTCCCCGTGGTCGCGCGGATTTTTAAATCCTTTATATTAAGTTCACTTGCTTGCGTGCTTGCTTGCTTAGGATCGTGCAAATCTTTCAGTCGTTTTTTAACCAACTTCCCGTGATCCAATCGAGCTTACATTTTGCACACAGACTCGTTGTGCGTGACAATAAATTTTTGAGAATTTTTTTTTTCCAAATTTTACACTCTTTAGGGAATTTTTTTTAATATTTAATTACCAATTGCTTAATGGTGACAGACAATCATCTGACCCATAGGTGGCAGCCATCTCAAGCCAGGACTCTAGCCGCCCCGATGCCATGCATATAAAGGATTTATAGTGAAAAACTTTGTTTTTACGGGTAAATTTTTTCTCGAGTATACTCCGGTTTTTACCCTCCACATTTAGAAACGTGTTCAGGTGATTTTGCTGCTACTTTTAAATCCCACATGTATAAGGTGATAAGCCACTGAGATGGGCAATTATGTGGCCAGTTGGTCACCTTCTGAAAAAGAGCTAATAGCCTCAGCGGGATTTTCCTGCCAATAAAGTTCCGGTTTACATCTTTTAATAGACAGGGAGATGCCAAGGAGAATTGTGGTCCATGAAGGTTGATGTCAGTGTGCTCGTCCAACCAGGAGGCAGAGCCAACCAAACAGACTGTTGGGGCAAGTCCCCTTCGCGAGCGCCTCTTAGGGCCAGCAGTGATGCATCCATTTGCGCGCAGTGCTCAGACCCAAGTTCGAATCCTACTCACGGCCACCAACACCAGTGACGATTGTCTGAACTGGTCCTGGGCCTCCCCTAGGTGTGTGTACACAACGCCACGAGGAAAACAAAGTCGGCCCGGGTGCGGTGCTCGCTAACATCCCTTAGGGGCCATCAATTTAGTACGTACGCATGGAGGGGGATTTAACCCAAACGCGTTCGCTTGGGTATGGGGGGGGGGGTCGACTGACATTGTACTAATTTGTTGACATTGACCTTCAAATGAGCCACAGTTCAGTTTATTCAGCTGTCAGACTACCGGGAGAAGTGGGACTGTGGGAGAGGTGTCACTTGTGTGACTGCTCGCTATCACACAGCTCGGCAAAATAAGTGGCCAAGGTACGCAACTTAATTCTTCAATGCAGCCGGCTGTGGACTATCTTTTTGCTTAAACACGTTCATATTCATATTCTTGTGTTTTTTCGGTAAAGTCACATAGGTAAAAAAAAATTTAATAAAAGTAAAATAAAAAATAAAATAAAAATCACGACGTTTCGGAGGCAACACAAGCTTCCGTCTTCAGGTGGAACCGTCACAGCACGATTGCTGTATCAAGTAAGTGAAAGTCCAAGAAAACCGTCCTTGTATATATACTGGTTGACGGTGGGAGGAGCCAAGGCAGGCTCCTGGATCGGAGTTTTGTATTATTATTAGTGCGAGGTTTAGCAGCGGCTTAAGCCGCTGCTAGGAATGAGCCTTTGTTGTGTAGACTGGTTGAACTGGGAGGTTCCAAGAGTTAAGGTGCGGCTGCTGTAAAGGTGCGGCTGCTGTAAATGGGACTGAGTCTTTGTTATGTAGATGAAACAGCCCTTTGCTACGTTGCTGGGATTAATTATAGATTTGCCAAATATGTGTGGTGAAACTTAAAGCAGGAAACCAGTTCTAGATTTGAAGCTTTCGTGACTGCAAGGATTCATACTCTTAGGTTTTTTCGGTAAAGTCACGTAGGTAAAAAATTTTAATTAATAAAAGTAAAATAAAACAAATTAAAAAATTCACGACGTTTCGGAAGACGGAGGCTTGTGTTGCTTCCGGAACGTCATGAATTTTTTAATTAGTTTTATTTTACTTTTATTAATTTAAAATTTTTACCTACGTGACTTTACCGAAAAAAACCTAAGAGCAGGAAACCAGTGTGTGAAAAAAGAAGAAACTGTACGGTAACTGAAGAATAGTGCCTGTCAAATAAGATGGTCCAAATATGTGTAGTTAAATCTTTTTTGCATGGTTAATAACATCTTTCCAATGATTACTTAGTTTGTACCCATCATCACGGTTGAACGTTAATATTATTAATCCTTGATCGTTTCTGCGTGGATTAAATATTGGCCGTTCTATAGGATTCGGGGGGGGGGGTGTATAAAGTACGCGTGCGTACAGGGGGGGGAGGGGTCAAGTTGACAGATTTTTGCGTACCTACTAAATCAGGGGTGGGGAACGTCCGGCCCGCGAAATAATTTGGTCTGGCCCTACCAAGGCAACCGCAGGCAGGACTCGAAATTCAATAAATCTAGGAGAAACCCTGGAAAAGCAGTTGCGAGTAGCAACATCATCAATACCACCTAACATCACACGCCTCACCAAAGAGCAGTTCCAGCCATCACATTACGAGTGAGTTAAACACATTCCTGCGGAGGGAGCTGGTAGGAACGTTGGGTTGCTCGGTCAGTGGCCAGGGTCAACGGCGGCGTGGTGTATTCCGCAAATATGCCCGACTGAGGGCGGGCACAAGCCGGCGTGAGTAGGTGAAACGTTGAGTTTTATAAGGCCACCACGGGTTGACCAGCAACTCCCCACCCAGCCTTTCCTCACCCAGCCCCACCCCTCCCACCCTCCACCCAGCCCCGACCCTCCCAAACCCCCACAAAGCCCCACCACCCTCCCCTCCCCACCCTCCCCACCAGCCCCTCCTCACCCAGCCCCTCCCTGCACGACGGACGGACACAATAATCCCGTGTGGGCTGGTGTAACCAGGAAGTTCCTACCAGTATTAAATGTTTGACCAAATATAACAGGCTAATTTTTAAGTTGATCATTTAGCATGGCCCGCGAATTATGTTATAAATATCCAAATGGCCCTTGGCAGAAAAAGGTTCCCCACCCCTGTACTAAATGGATGGCCCCTTATTCCAAAAGTCTGTAAAGGCTGTACAGGGGATCTTCTTACAGGTAAGAACAGTTCCACACGGCCCACCAGGGATTGTCTGTCTGTCGTGCATGGCCCCGTCCCACCAGAGCCCTCCCATTGGCTCGGGGGCGCCGACCAATGAGAGCGGTGGGTTGTGGTTGGTAGAGGGGGGGGGTTCGTGGTGGGGGGGGGGGGGCACCGCCGCGACTCGGGCCAATGAGGAGACGGAAGATGTTTCATTCACAAAATTGAACTGGGGGAGTGGTGACTCCATTCATAAAATGGACCGACTCGCACATTAATATATTCTCATTCACACCGAAGAAGTTGAAACTCAATGAATGAAACGAAGCCAGGAATTGAAGGCAAAGACTTACATTAATACAACTTGGCTTGGCAGTTTCAAACAATATGTACACAGATTTACAGAACAAAATAAACGAGTGAGGGGGAAAAACACATCTGAGCAAGCCGGTGGGTGCAGCAATCGCCGTGCTATGGAGAGAGGCGGGTTGCAACGTTGCAGTTGCACAACAGATTTCGCCGGAAACTATGAAAATGCAAAATGGTGATAAACCAAACACCACGAACGCAACAACAAGTTTGTGGTACGATATTCAGAAAGCGCAGGGCCGGGCATGACTGTTTTCACGACGCGGCAGCAATCTCGTGAAAGGTAATATCACTTTGTCAGGGAATTACACGTTTCAACAATTGGTGGTTTAAGACAATTACACGTCGTCGTCACCGTTCACCTGAACGTCAACGAAGAAGTAACTTTGAAACAAAAAAAACCGTAAAATGCCCACAGCATTATTTGAAGCAGGACTAACAAGATTTTTTTTTGTTACTTATTCTCAACATTAAATCAAAGTGTTGCAGCTTTACTCTGCTTGTTACTCAAGAGTGCACTTTTATATATATAACCTTCCAATCTTTGCACGGTCAGCATCACACGCAGAACTTTGTAGGGGCAGGGGAACATCGGGCTCACTCTGCGTGGCGCAAATGTTTACATCTACGAACATTTACACTCCTTACTCAGTCCCCCGTCACAGTGAAGTGTGCAAATATGAGGGCTTAATGTCAAAAGCTTTTCGTTGCCAGAAACTGAGCATTTTTTTTATCAATCAACAAAACACGAGTGATTCTTTTTTTTTACATTCCTTGCCTGCTACTTCAGAAACGGTACTCATATCAACTTTGGTGAATGCTCAATTATACCGAACAATTTCCATACACCGCACACCTCCGCCAAGTGATGTTATCAAACTGGAATATTTATTAAGCGCACGTTAACTTTCTGGATTTTTTTGGAAAAGTAGAAATATTTTTCGAAGAATTTTTTTTTCTGTTACGCACGAACAACATTCGACGTTTCATCGGAGCTCACGGTGCCAGCAACAAAAACCAGACCATTCAGTGGCGCTTGAGAAAAAGCTCGTGGCAGTGACTGGTGACCAAATCACACGCATACATGGCCATGTGCTGAACAAATAAATACAGCCACGTGTAATGAAATGCTCTTCGGGGGGGGGGGGGGGGATCACGCGGACAGACCCATGTTTGCATATAAATTATTCACACCGTGCTGTACACCTAAGTCAAATGATACCAGAGTGCAGTAGAGCTCCATTTTAATAACACGACATTGAGAGCCTTTGGTTGTAAGAGGTACACCGAGCCAGAGACGCGCATAATTTGAAGGGCTTGGCGGTACCCAGGTGGGCTCGACATTAACATGCAGTGCGCGCAAGGATGCCGCCAACTTGTTCCTACATTAACCCATACGCATGGCGATGTTCACCATAAGAGACAACCAAAATAGCCATCGTCAAGTGCGGGGGGGGGGGGGGGGTAGCGATTACTCAAGCCCGCCCCCCCTCGCAATTCCAGTCATTATAATGAGTTCTACTGCATTGCAATAGTATTACGTTGCCGAGCAAATTCATCTTCGATTGAGTCAACAAAGCAATCTCGGTTGTGTTTGATTACTCCTATGCTTATTTTAAAATGAAACCTTCCCATCATAGCCCATCCGGCTCTCAAATCGCAAATTACTTTCACCTTGCGAGTGTCCAACTCTGGTAAACATCGACAACGAAACACGACACATTTCGTGAGTTAGAAATCCAGATCCATCCATTACTATGGAACCAAAAAATATCAATGACCTTCCTATGACATCCAAATCAAACTACTCAAAAGGAGGCACACCATAGCACGTTACATTCCCAAGTAATGAACATCATAATGCCTCTAACAGTGCCTTGATACTCACATTGGCACTCACGAAAGTGAAAGAATGTGACTATAGAGGATGCAGCAGTGGGATGAAAGTTTTCTAGTTATATGCATTTAGATCTTTAATACGGACTAAGAGATAAACATAGCATCCTGTGTTCAAAACACAGGGCGTCACCAATAATAATCCCACGCGTGGACTGTATATTCATTTACGAAGTTTGTGTAATGAGGAAAAGGCATTTAAATTAAATCTATTTAAATTATTGACCAAACATATACCTTTATGTATATTTATATGTTGACGACTCCTTGTTGTCTCTTATTTTGTGTATTTTTAAAAAACAAAACAGCATATTCCCATCTAACTGCTGTGACAATACCTTGCGCTGCTGCGTTGGCCACCCTATTAGGGGATGCAGTGTTGTCTGTACCCTGTTACACCGCCTGCAAATGGCTGGGTCCATGACGTGCGATTTCATCTTCACAACCACAAGTGGCTACCACTTGATGTGAGAAGGCAATAAAACACGATCATCAGACGGCACTGCCTCCATAATATTGCCTCAAACACTTTCCCACCTAGTACTCGCAAAGTAAAATAAATCCTTTATGCAACTCCAAAAAGCACAGAAATTTCCACACACCCACACCTGTATTTAAACTGAACATAATTTTGGTTCCTAACACCACAGCCTTGGGTTAACGGCCAGAAAGATAATAACACATCATGAACTCTAACATTAAAACGCATGCTGTCAACGGAATTATCGAGTTATTGATAAATGGGATACTTATATCGATGTCATCTATCGTGCTAATGCTATGCACAGCCACAAGCCTACATGGCACGCTTGCGGAAAATGAAATCAAATAAAAGAGTGAATTAAGTAAAAGTTTCAGTACAGAAGCCACGTATAACAGCTATAAATATGCATGTGCAACAGTTGAAGGCACTACAGTATAATTATACAATTCGATCTCTCATTTTTTTATATTTTTTTAATCGTTTGCTAATGTAGTTCTACGACATCACGTTTATTGCCATGGTACAATTCTCATCCTTTCCCTTCCGCGAGTCCTTTTTTGCCAGGCAGCGCTCCTCCCAACGGCTGGCACGCCACACGAACCCGCGACACCACCGCCGTGGCACCACAGCGACACAACGGGCACGGTGTGGCCGGCCAAGTGTTCCTACAAGCGCACCACGCACCGTGCCGCTGCCACCTCCATTGCCACCGCCGCTGCCGCGCAGAGAATGTACCTTCGTTTTGTACACAAAGTTTTACTTTAACACTTTCATAAAAGTGGCAAATTTCGTTGCATAATTAACTTTACATCTGCCAAGCACCCACGGGCACCTTCAGTTTGCACGAGAACATCTCCGGGTAACTTTCCTCGTACGAATCCACTTTTGCAGTTTGTTTTGTTGCTTCTGGTTTTTTTTTCGTCAGGAAAATTCCTTTGTCCGCTTCCAAAGTTTAGCGTGGAAGTCTTTTTTCACGTCAATGGTTGGTGCTCATGCTTTGCAAGGATGCGCCGCGCAGATGTTCTCCGCTCATTTGGTGCGCGCTTCAAGAGAAGATTTTGCGATGGCTAATCGGAGAGACCACTTCCTCCGTCCACACCCTTTTTACAAGCAGAGCAGGCCTCGAGCGATAAAACGAAATTTGCAGCCAATATTAAGTGGGTTGAACAATTCGAGCATTTTCTACACCGCGAGCACATGTGTTTCAAAGCATTCTTTTTATCGTTTACATTATCTTATTTTTTTTAACACGCAATATCCCTGCGCTGGAATGCCAGAGCGCAGCGGTGACTTATTCTAGAAGCATCCCCCCCCCATCCTTGGCACATATGCCCAGACCATCTTGAGGCCAAAATATTGTGGGTTGTAATCACCGATAGACGGTGCACATCCACATTGCAGGAGAGCAAAAACACACACAAAGATTATGCTCTCGATAATGTTCAGTCAACCGGACCAGATGGAATTTCCACCAGGGGCTCGGGGCTGCCAATGACCATCCGCACAGCGCCACCGCTTATTCGTATTTCGCAGAGTGCATTCAAAACTTGTATAAGCACCGACTGAGGCTGTAACTCGAGGCCCAGGAGTTTTCACAAACGCATTACGTGGAAAGCGATGTCACAAAGTGTATGTTTTATGCATATAAAAAAATTAATCCTGTAAAATAATGCTTTGTAATACAATAAAAACGATAATGGTAAAATGTGAATGGACAATTCTAATCAAAGTGGTTTGTTTGTAACTTAAAATAATAAATTAAAACTGCTAACAAGAATAATGCTATATAAATACATTTCAAAGAAACAAAAATGGGCCACGAAGAAAGTGAGGAAGTCCATCAACTCCTGGCTCAACGAGCGCAGGGTGGCGGCGCTCGCTCGATCCGACCTATCAGAGCGAGCGGTGGAAATACCGCTTCCTTCCGGTGGAGGCCAGGCTTCCCACGTCAACCACCGTTGAATTCCCCCCACAGAGTGGGTATAACCAATGAGAAAAAAATAAAAATGTGAAGAGTGCGTGTAAAACAATAAAATTCATCTTGGGTGGCTCTGCGGTCATAGCACGCGCTTGATTCGCCATCAACTGGGCCAGATTCCTAACCCAGCCGGGGGCTCATCATCTCTCAGGATGGTCTGTAACATTAAAAGCCTCCACATTGTGGGAAGTCAACCGTAGCTGTACCGCAGACAAAGTGGACCTCCAAGATGGGAAGGTGTAAACTCCAGCGCCGGCTCGGTGACCGGCAATGGAGCCGAGCACCACCGCCACCCCCCCATTATTCCCTCGAGCACTTTGAAGACTCTGAGCAATCAAACAACGCAAAGGAGGAACCCACACTCTAACGGACGGTGGGTGGGGGGGGTGTGTGAGCCCCTCGCCCGGTGGCTACTGGGCGCTGGTTCCCGTCTCAGTTGGCATCTCAGTCCGTGGCGGCACGGCACTCGGACGGCATGCTCTCCCGCAGGCAGCGGAGCTGCTCCTCGCCCAGCTTGATTTTGTCGTCGAGCTCTCGCCGCTCGATGATCAGCGCCGACTTCATCTTGACAAAGTGGCGGTAGTCCTGCAGCTGCTCGGCGCTCAGGTGCTGCGCGAGGATCACGTCCACCGCGCGCTCCCGCCGGTCCAAGTTCTCCTTGAGCTCGCGCGCGTCCTCGTGCTGGCTACAAAGCAGCTTGCGTTTCTGCACCAGCGATTGCTGACGAGGGGTGGGTGGGTGGGACGGGGGGGAATAGAGGGACACGTAGAGGAGGGATTTCATTCGATGTCACGCCCACCACCCCCCCCGCCGCCCCACTATCTCTCCACCAAAAACATTGATTGTGTGTGGTTCAACTCCACCCATTGAAGCGCACAGATAATAAGTAATTTTTAAAAATACTTTTTTTTTTAAACAAGCTTTTATTAAATGTACCCTACTAGTAATGGCAGAACTCCACAACTCCAGGAAGTGGCCCCGAAGCTTGCCATAACGTAAGCGGCCGTGGACATTTACAGCCAACGTCAGTGGAAACATAACATATAAAAAATAATGTTTTAAAATATATATTAAATTTTTTTATGATAGAATATAGTATTGTCATCAGTATGGCATAAGTATACCAAGTTTGCAGTTGATACCACATTGGGAAGTGGGTTAAAATTGAGTTACACGATTTGAGCATACAACAACAACAGACAGTGAGTTAATAAGAAGCGTGTAAACAAAAGGGAAACAACTCATCTTCTAGCTACACACCTAGTCTGCATGTTCTACGCTGTCCACACATTTTGTAAATCTTTCATGAAAAAACGGACTTATGATCGGGAACACCATCATAGCACTCTAGATTGTAGTATTCTATGATCTTGAAGAATCTAAAACCTCCAAAGCCCTTCTGCACAAGTCATGTAAACAACGGGCACACCCCAAAGTGTTATCTCACGGCACGATGTTCATTGCAAATGCAGACGGAAACGTCGATTTGTGGAAACCTCCTCTGCAATCTGCAAGCTGTCTCAACGCAAGGTCCCAAGTAGAGCAAGGCGGCTATGGGCAGATGATGTCAAGCGAATGGACGGAGGCGGGCAGATCGACAATGCGGCGAGACCAGTGGAGGACAGAGACCAGCGGAGGGAGGCGCTGAAACGCCACCATCTAGAGCAGTGTTCTTCACTCATTTGCAGAGGGGGTTCCACTTTCACTGATAAGACACGAGTGTGAGGGCCACCACACGTTTGAAACTATTGGGGTTTGACAGCACTGATGATAGGGGGGGTGTTTTCACACGTTGTGTATTGTCGGTGGCTGCACGTCAGGGGCCGCACTAAAGGCCACCAGTGGCCCGCGGGCCTTGCAATGAAGAACACCGCTCTAAAGGCGGCCCGCGGCCACCGCTTACGACGACGACGAGAGCCACGCTTACCCTTTCCTCGGCGGTGGCGTCGGCGCCCAGGCTGTTGATGGCGTTGTCGACGCGCGCCAGCCTGCCTGCCAGCGACAGCAGCAGGCTCACCACCTTGTCGAGGTCGCCGACGAACATGCGGAACTTGTCGAGCTCGTTGGGCTTGCACGAGGCCTCGGCGGAACCCTCCACCTCGCGGCCCAGCTCCTCGTTGTCGCGCACGTCCTCCAGCAGGAGCTCGCGGGCCTCGCGCAGCGTGCGCAGCTTCCGCCCGATGCTGGCGATCAGCTCCGCCTGCCCGCACGCGGAGGTGGCAGCGGCCCGCGCTTGTGAGTGCGCGTGTAAGTGCGAGCGTGCGCGCGTGTAAGTGTGTGTGCGCGCGCACCGAGAATCGGTGGCACCTCGACGCCAATTCCACTGGCCCATCTGAGCCGAGTCGGCACCAGGGTCCTCAGCAGCTATTTGCCACACAGGGCCAGAAACAAACTGCGATATGCTGCTGAGTTCTGAAGACATCTGAATTGAATCTGGAACGTTAGTGGCACGGCTCGGCTGCAGTGGAAAAAATAAACCGGGTGCCTCCCAAGCCACGGCAAAACTTCATAAAGGTGAGCCCACAATGTGTTCTGTTATAAGAAAATGACGAAGGTGATAACGTTTTTAATGGTCTCACTTTATCCCTTACATCCATATCAAACATTGCCTTCATCTGAACATAATACAAGCTAAATTTGCCAAAGTGAGAACAATGTTTTACCTTTTTATCGCCCGATCTGAAAAATATTAACTCATAATAACTTGTTTTGGATAAACAACATTTCTGTGATGGACACTGTTAATGTGTCACAACGAGAATAATCATTTACGTATCTAGGAAAGCTAAATCAGCTATATCTCCATATAGTCCTGTAATTTTCCACTTGAGCAATTCCACTTTGACTCATGATCTGAATAAACTACGAAAAAAAAAATTCACCCACTGAGCTATGTAGCTCTTTTTCAGAAGCGACCTGGCCATAAATGATAGCTCAACGAAGTGGCTTATCACGTGGAAATTTATCGCAGTCAAATACTCTAAATGTGGGAGGATACTCTGAATGTGGGAGGAAACGGCAGTACCCAAAAAAAACCCATCGCAGGCCATAACACACAAACGCACCCACTGCATTGCCATCTCCTGTCCACCTTTCATTCCGGAAAGTTAGAGGAATCTCGGTACTAAATCCACGCGATTTACCAACCACGGGATGAGAGGTGTACACGCTCCACCCCCTCCCCACACCACGGGCTCTGCCTCCTGAGCGAGTGTCGTACCTTCTTCTCTGTGAGGTCCGGGTCGATTTCCTCGTCCGCGTCGTCGTCCACCGAGGGTACCAGGTCCTTCATCTTCATGAGCAGCTCGGCTTTGGGTGCGGACACACTATAGTAGGCCGGGCACGGTGGCAGCGCCGTGGGGGAGACCGCTTCTTCTCTCCTGCTCGTGCAACAGTTGAAATAAGATGCCACGGTTACATTTATAGAGGCTGATGTCCCGAACCAAATGTGTACCAACGAGCAACGATACAAATGAGATTGACAATGATATCTTCTCGTTTGTGAGCACCTATTAATTCACGGACGCATTTGATGGGGAGTATAATAGTGGGCATAAAAAAACATCAAGCCTCATCTACTGTGCACCTAAGTTCATTGACCGGCTCGAGATCGGACGCCAATTCCCGCTGCCTTTACAGATCAGGGAACACGACAGTTTTTCTGGGATCCCAGCACAGCACAAAAACAAACATTTCAAAGTATCCACAATCTCTCACACGCACACAGACAAACACCCACCCAGGTATCATAAAAATAAACCTTGCAGTTCACGTTTTCCAGAATTTCCTCCAAAAGGCTCTCCCCTTTTCAGGCGCAGGAAGTCAAATGAGCAATCATTTCAACACCGACTTGATCGGTTCCTGCACATATTATTACTTGACTAATTGTCTTGCACATTGTTCCAACTGTGCGTCAACATACAATGCTATTCCCAGTGCTTCTGATCTCACCATGGAAACTGTGTTTTCTTGCCGCATAGCGGCACAGTCCCCCATTTGCCTTCTTCATTCCATTTCGTTAAACTCGCTCATTATCCTCCTCTTGTCTTTCACACCTCAACACAACTTGGTCGTTTAGGCTTACACTTGCCACTTTCAGATCTGCATCGCCAACTTTAAATAACGCTCACAACAGACGCAGACTACGAATCCTCATATTCCAAGAAGTAAACAAATCAGTTTAGGAGCCAAATCGGCGACGCAGCGCGACGCAGCGCGACGCAGCGCGACGCAGCGCGACGTCGCGGACGCCCACCTCTCTGCCCCGTCGCCGGCGGCCTTTGCGGCACCCGCCCCCCGCGGCTGGGACTTGCGGCGAGCCTGCAGGGCCTCCCCAAGCGCCGGGTCGCTGTGCGGGAAGATGCCCTCCATGAGCTCGCGCGCCGTCCGAACGCCGGGCGCCAGCACGTCGGCGAGCGAGCGGTCTTTGCCGACGATCTCCTTGGCGAGCTGCTCAGTCTTGCGGTCCTCGTCCTCCTGTTGCCTCTGTTCCTCCTCCTTGTCCACCACCTGCTGCTGCTGCTGCTGTTGACTCCTGGACGGCTGGAAACTCACAAACGCCGACACCGAGCTCTCGCCTATCTTCTCCGGTTTGCCGAGCTCCTCCTCTGCCTCTTGGTTTGCCGTGGAAGCGCGCTCCGGGTTGGTCTCCGCGGCGCTCCTCTCTACGTTGGCACTGTTCTGCGCGGACGTCAGGTGCAGCTCCACGACAGAGGGCTCCGGCTTCGTGGTGGACACGAGGCTGTCGGGGGCAGCAGCTGATTGGTGGCTCCTGCCATCTTTTGATTCGGATCTGATGATCATCACTGGGACCATCTTCACAGCCTTGTTGTTGTCCATGAAGCTTTCAATCCTAAGAGAACAGCGGAAAAGCATCTGATGAATACGTAATACACAATTAGTAAATACTTACACGAGCAAATATTTTTACATTCTATAATAATATGTAGCTTGATCCAGCCAAGCTGTATCCCGTCACGAATGAAAGGGTGCAAACGCTAAAATTGCCTTGGCCCCAGATCACTCCTAGGTAAAAATAGCATACTTCTAAACGTATTAACAAGAATGTATTTAACACCAGAGGAGCAATGGTATCACCTAAGAGCTTAAAAGTAAAAACCTGAAGCATTTGTTCAATCGCACGAAAGCTTTATCTGCCCCCCCCACCTTCTCCCACACTTGCAAGTTTTATGAAAGGGGTCACTTGTCCGCAAACGATGACAGTAAAAAATACATTTCTGGGAGGCTCAGCCAGGACACATGATGATCCGGTAGCCTCCTCAGTGCATCAAACTCGCCAACTTTTACACAGCCAATCACCTGCCACACACAGTGAGTGGCCTTGCACCTTTGTACATTGGCCCTTGCTCTTGGTCAGAAGCACAGCCTAATCCCTCTGCCAACCCCGCCGACTACTTACTCTCAGTCACCGTTGCCCATCAGCATTATCGTGAGTTAAAAAACATTAAACCGGGGGGGGGGGGGGGGGGGGGACCATCCTGATTTTTACCGACATTTCAGAAAAACCAGGACGAGCCTTCAGCATCCCGGCTAAACCAGGGAATTTTCTGTATCCCTTAACAAGGGCAACGGACTGCAATGCCCTTTCGTACGCACCTGGGAGTAGCGGACGTGTCCATGGCTGTGGGGGGCCTGTCCGTCAGCTGCTGGGGGGGCAGCAGCAGGGACGGCGAGGGAGCCGGAGGGGGAGACGAGGAGATGGCGGGCGCCAGGGATGGGCGCGGTGGTAGGGACGGAGACGAAGGGGGGAGAGGGAAGTTGCCCGGTATCACCTCCAGCGTGGCGGGTGGCGGTGCCACGGGCTCGCCGCTGCTCACGCCGAGCTGGGCAGATTAAACAATCGAATGTCACGACGTGAATCACCTACGGTTGACTTCTGTTTTTTTGTTGCTTAATAGCCACAAATAAATACCTAACAGATAGCGTTTACACACTTGGCCAATTACCGCCGTAGCTTTAAAGGAACTCGCAAATCGAAAGGGTCGTGAGATGCAATCTCAGTTGGGGGTTGACGATCTATATTGCTGAATCTGCTGAACTACAAAATGTGATTGTCCAAACATGCGAAAGGAAAGGGCCTTGTGACTCAGTGAGGCTTTTCTAGAGAAATAAAATTGTTTAGAATTATCTTGGTAGGTACTGCCACGCCCCTTCCCGACCACTTCCAACAACCCACACTGACCAAAGTAGGGAAGTAAGTCCGACAGCTCCCGATAGAAACGTGGTGTGGATGAGGCCTTCATCCAGCAGCGGATTCATAAAGTGGCTTAAATTTTATAACGATTATTACCGTGACGAGGACTGCTTGCGTTTTCATAAAGTGGCACTAACTTTATCAACCTCAGAACGGTGGATGCCCACGGAGACAAGCAACCAAGAGCCAGAATAAGAACCTCCGCCCAAGTGATGGGTTAGACACACAAGTGAGCAACAGCAGCGAACATTACACTTTCTATTTGCTTCACCAATTCCCACTGTACCAAGCGAAGGAGGAGGATAACCTCATCGTTCATGCACGCGCGATGTTTTGGACTTTGCCAGCACAGATAGAGGGAGAGTGGTCCAACGCGCACACAATGAAACACACGGGGCTACATTTGCAAATATTGACACACGGACGAACTGATTAAAAGTGCTGGCTGCGTATTCCTATGCTTCGTTATTTTTCTTAACTGTACCATTGAGAGCATGGTCACCGTGAGCTGCTCTGCACAACGGGGTGACGTCAACCGTCGTTTGTGTCAGCCGTTGTTGTAGCAGTAGCAATAACAACGGCCTTTTATTTACCTAACAAAGCCTCATTGAAACTTCTTTTTTCAGAAGGGGTTTTTTTGCATTGAGGAAATTCAGCCATTCCCTTCAGGAACGGGAGGAAAACAATACCTGGAGAAAAACCCAGATTCGACGAGGGGGCAAAACATTCAAAGCTCGGCACAGATAGATTAAATATTCTACCGTTCCGCTAAAACCGTTTACTGGACATTGTACAGGCTAAGTCGACAACATTTGGTATTCTCAGGCAGTCTCCCATCCAATACCTTGGATCTACCTGGCTTAGCTGAAGACAAAATCAAGCACATTCGATTGGGCCATATGTGATGGCAAAACATTATCAAACTATAACTGTGATGACAGTCACCCCTCAAGAGAACAAGTAGAATTTAATTTCAATCAAACTATAAAACCAATCGATGTTACTGGTTTTTTTTTATGTTGCGAAGTATTGATTTCATCAATTCATTAAATTTTGGAAGTTTGTGCATTTCTATTGTTTGCATTGCGTACGATTTCATTTCGCCTGTAATTTCCCATGCACTTCGCCAAGATTGGCAATGCAATGGAGATGCGTGCCCCTCAATGGCCTCCCGTGTCTTTAAAGGCCATCTGCCCACACATCTGGGCAAGCGGTGCTCTAGCAGAGCACCCGACTTGCAATCAAAAGGCCCCCCCGAGTAAAAATCTGAGTTGGTGGGGGCGGTGGGGGGTAACAGGCACACAACGCAGCCCTTCGTGTCCCTGAGGACAATAAACTGAGCGCCACTGTCTGTGTGGAATGTCAAAACGGCTGCCCTAAGGAGAGCACGGCTCCCACAATGAGGTTGTAGAAATCCACCCTCCCCCCCGCCCCCCTCAGTGGAGCTCAAGAGGTGCCAATAGAGATGAGAGTCGCCACCAACGCTTAAAATAGCAGGCAGACATTTAGACTTTAGATCCTTCCCTTTATCTCTCTTAACCTTAGCGCAAGACCTAACGGCCAAGCTGCCGCCAACAGGTCCGGGCTGTTTACCATCACGTCACCCGTAACCCGAGTGCATCAACTCCTCCTCCTACTTTGCACGGACTGGCGTCGGTGTAGAGCAACGACCAGAATTGTACAATTATTGCAGTTGCTGCCTGGGCCAATCGCAGCGCTGAACCTTAAGCAGGCTTCATCCTTACCCGCCTAACAGACGCACCATTGTAATTCCCAGGTCCAATTATTCTATCCCAGGTACACCGTTCCCCTCCTCCCCCACCACTCCCCGAGGGCCCACAGTGCAGCTGGAGGAGCAGGTCAAGGCCGTACCTCCGCAGACGCGTCCACGGGGACCCCTCGGCGACGCTCGCCGTGCTCCGTGGCTCTGGCCTCGGGACTCCGCTTGCCCGCGCCGTCTCCTGCCGAGGTGGCGGCCGTGGCGTAGGGCTCGGAGCCGTCGCGCTTCGCCAGGAACTTGGGAGGGGGCGGCCTCTGCGGGGGCGCCCCTTTCTTGGTCGCTGCTGCCGGGGGGCAACAGACGCACGCGGGGCGGAGGGGTCAGGTCGGTGGCACGGCCCGTCGCGCGACGACCCGTCATCTTGAGAATTTAATTGGTTGGCTCACAGTGTGAAATGTAATTATCCCCTGCGGTAAGCCGTTCCCTTAATTGGAAAGGAAGAGCGCGCCAGGCGTTTTGCTCGCGAGGTAACAGCCAAGCACGTCGCTTTATAGTTTTCAACGCATCAACATTCGTTAATCTCATAATCTCGCTTTTTTCGCCGTTCAGCAAAGGCACTCGCATTATTTGTTACAACACAAAAGCCTTTCTTATTTAAGTCCTTGTTAGTATTCGTGCCCCAAATTCTTTGAAGTTTCATGTCGAGCTCTCGTGTACAATTCACAAACTTTATTGCATCGATGTCGGGAAAAAGGTTAGAAGAACAACTACAGACCGATTATATAAAAGCCTTTGAAGTACGTTTCTGAAAGACGGCAGGTTTCAATACAACGCAAACTCATTAAAAAAAAAAAAATCACACTTCCGGATCAGCATGCATCGGTCGCTGTGGCAACATTACGCAATATGCACTCGCAGCACCGTCGGGATCAATGGAAAATAGGGAAAAAAGATCCGACAATAACAGATATTGCGAATACCTAAGGGCCTCTGCGTAGAATCTTGGAGACGTGACGCTGCCGTGTGCGCGTCTGACCACGCCCCGGAGCTCACGCCGACCCCAGGCAGGTCCAGAAGCCCGGCAGAAGCAGCCCGCTCGCGCCGCAAACGCACAGAGCCCTCCGACTCCTGTAGAACAACGTCAGCCATTGTCGTGCCGTCAGACAGTCTAAATATTCCAAGTGCCCTCCTCCGCTCGAATGAGTAACGCGGCGGCGCTCTTTGCCAGCGAGATCCCTAAGACAAGGGTGGAAATTTTACTTTTGCGATGGCGGGGGGCCACAGCCTCTGAGGAGCGAATGAATGGGAAGAACTATTCGGTACAGAACCTCTCTGGAGTTAATCGAATTATGTAGAGTCTTGCGGAACATCAATTGCGGCTGTCCTATGCAGAGACTTACACTTGGCCCCTTGCAACAGGAGGAATTTCAGCCACTGGCATTGTACCGCAAATGCAAAGGAACACCGCCAAAAGACATTCTAGCGACTATATACAATATACCCCATCCATCAGGAGATAACCGCTCGCACAAAACTATATTAAACAATGACTGGAGCCTCCTACACTCGTAATGCAATGATGTAACCATTGTGTTATGTATTACTATTATCAGTGCAGTGTACAGAATGGAGATGTGTGGCATTGCTCAAGAAGCAAATGCAGATGCTCATATGAAGATCGCTGTTGACGGGCTTACCTCAAGGTTGGCACGCTCAGGCTTGCCACTGGAGTGGGTACCCCGGCCCCACCGGGCACCTCCAGCCGGAGCAGCGCAGCCGTCTCTGCTGGGTCCGTCTGGCTCCCTCACTCTATCCAGGCGCCCGACCTTCGACCAACTAGAAATTAACAAGACGAGAGATAGGGGGAGAGAGAGATGACATGTAAAACTATTTTATTTTACCAGGTAAAGCTCACTGAGCTATTAGCTCGCTTTCAAAAGCAACCTGGCCACAAATGATAGATCAACAAAATGGCGTATCATGTGAATATGTATAGCAGCCAAATAATCTAAACACACGTTGACTCTAAACGTAAAGGGTAAAAACTGGAGGACCCGGAGAAAAATTCCACGCGTTCATAGGGAGAACATGCCATTTCCAATATACAGGCGGAAGGGTAGGGATCGAACCCACGACCTCCTGCATAACAGGTGAGAGATATAACATCTTGCCACCGCGGTGCCCCAAAGACAGTCACCCAAACGCGTATCATTATCCAAGCTCTGTATACAAAGCTGACTCATCACAATTATATATGTTTTATACTGAAAAGGTTAGGTGCGTCCCGATCGGTATTTTGGTTGTGGGCGGAAAATCTCAAAAAGTGCACGTCTGGAGAAACTCGCCGCGCGGCTCTGAGGATCAGCGCCACATCCCTCAAAAAAAAACTCAACATGGTTGTAATTAAACTCGCACAGCTGCAAAGCTAATCTCATGGAAATCATCAAAACAATATTGTAGTTTCTCTGGCACCAAAGTCCTCTGGCCATTTTGACTAAGTGGAAATGTCGTAGTGTGAGCGATGTAATAGAGCAGCAGTTAAAATAAGTTACGGAGTTCGTATCGAACTATGCTGCATTGAAAGGCGCTACTGGATAGTGTTTACATCCAAAATATGAACCTCAAAACAAGTTGAAGGTATTTACACGAGTGCACGCCTTCCACGAGACACATTCAGCAGGTAGAGTTTTATCTTCAAAACATTATTTATATTCTTACTTTTTTTTGTACTCGTGAGGACTACTGATCCAGAAGATTATATTCGTTTCAGCGCACCACCTCTGCCCCAGGCTATATTCAAAGCTTGACAACAACAAAAAACACTGCAACCCTGTCTTACGCTCGAAGTCCTAGGTCTCAATACATAATACACTGTTCCAATGGAGCGATTATATTTTCTCAGATTGCCCAGAATTAAGAGTTGTATTTTCCTTCAATAGTTCATCTGGCATTTCAAAATGCCAGATCAATGATCATTTGTAACCAAAGCCTGCCACATTTGAAATGACTTATTTGTCAATAAATATAAAGAAAATGATCAAACAATGTGCCTCTTCATTCGAGCATCTGAACTTTACTGCTTCACATAAATGTACCACTTGTTCACTCCGAATTATTATATTTTTTTGAACAGTCTTTCCATTGAACTGCAACAATTATTTTACAGTGGAAGCATTCCATGTGCCATCTACTGAATATTTTTAGTAACTGCAGAAAAAAGCTAAATTTGGAGCAAAGTACCATCCTGTACTTAACACACAAAGGGGCAACTGTGAAGTGTAAGTGTCTCAAGTTCAATCAAATGTAAAGCTGTGTTCATCTCCATTGGCCCTGTGCCACTGGTGGAAATTTCTGATTCCAGGAGTTGAGACCAGTCTCTCCACAAGATGACCGACTACTGTTGGCTTCCCATAAAGTGCTACTTACTCACTTTTGTAATTCACAAGAGCCGATGGGTTAAGTTGACCACAGACCACAATTTTAAAGGAGGACCTCCCCTACTGTGCGACCCTGACAGAAGTGGACTCCACAAATTATCATGAGCGTGCAAATTTCACTCAATTTCGCTGCTATTGAACATCAGGAAAGGAAAGAGCAGTGCTTGAACTCATCATGTTCAACTTAGATGCAAGTGCAACAGATTACCATTGCCTGTTTTCTATCACAACATCACGACTACTTTAAAACACTGTGGCTTTTGTTACTGCATCATTGCTGCAAAAAAACATCTACAGTGGTGTGAAACTACATAGGGCAAATAGTATGCAGTGAAAATAGAAATTGTGTGCACGTACAATTGTGCTCGTGCTTAAAGTTTAGTTTAAGAAGTTAATGAATCGCCGGTGCGAGTCTGAGCAGGATTGAAAATAAAACATCGGATTCCCTGGCTGTGATCGCTGGGACAGTAGCGGTGGCATCAAACCCGCCCAGGCAAGGCCCAACGCCTCCGGCCAAAGAGCACAGAAATTAAATTCTATTGGATTTTTTTTTAATGAAAAATATATTAATATTAACGTCTTTGCATGGAATTTACTTGGGTGAGGGGGTTGGGGGGGGGGCGACATCATGCCATTGTTAGATATAAAAGTGTCACTTGTATAAATCTACAGTGTTGAGATCCAGTCCTACCTGCCACATTCGGATTAGAAGACCCGCATTTTTTTCCTGCATCTTGAATCAAAAGTTTGGGGTGTGTCTTTAACATCTGGTAGGTATACAAATGTGCGCGAGCACATTACAGAGACATTTGTGGTTCGTGTTAGTTTCCCGAGTGCCTTATAAAAACCAGAGGATATGGGCAGTTGGCATTTCACGCTGTACGCAAGTTCTGCACCAGCTCTGCTGTTGTTGTGAATTCCAAAAATGCTCAGAAGCTGCTTTGACACAAGGATACGATGTGCATTCAAATTGCTTTAATCAAAGCGCTGCGTCTGCCAGTGACTAATGAGATTGTTGCCTTTGTGCAAAGCTGTTGCAGACCTCTACAAACTCGACTGCTGCTGCTGCTGCACAGTTGCCTCGTTAAACCATCAGCATGCCCAACGATTGACGCGAGGCAGTTTGGCCAAAGGGGTTATCTGCACCCAACGACTCTACAGTTTCACCGCAGAGGCGTCTTAATATGTCAAGAGCTACAAAATATATATCCACTGACACACACGGAACAACATCGCATATCCAAATGTCACAAATCCACATTGGCCAATTATCCACCGCACCCAGTGCGGTGTGTGGGTGGTGCACTGGGTGTGCGGGTGTGCATCGCGTAACTGTCATCATTCTATCGACATTCACAAATACGACCTTTTCACACACGGTCGTTTTCTTAATCTGGCACACATTACATTTTGACTGGCACAATTTCGCTTACTTACTCTTTGGTTCTTTCGGTAAAGTCACATATCGTCGATTGCTTGTGTCGCGATCGAAACGTCGTGATCTATTTATCTTTTCTACCTACGTGACTTCACCAAAAGAACCAAAGAGTATGGATTCCTGCAGTCACGAAAGCTTCAAATCAAGATTCGCTTACTTCTCAAGCACAGCGCAACATGTGCCCATGTTTAGAGCAGTTTCGTGCTTTATTATTGTGGAATGACCTTTCAGTTTCTTGAGATGTATCAGGCGTTCTTTAGATGACCCTTTCCACAAATCCTCTCGACACCTCAGTCCCCTGCGAGTTGCATACAGGACTTGGCACTGGGCGGTGGTATATAAATAATGAGCTGTATTATAATGGCCTCGGCCATGGGGCACAGCAGCAGAACGTGCAGCTTGCAATCAGAATACTGAGTTCAAATCCCATTCGGGTGTTGACTCAGCCAATTCATCACTTCAGGCTAGATACAACAAGCATCACTTTGAAGGGAAGGTGACGGTGGCAATTTTGTCAGATGGTGGAGGGTTTTGACAAGCGTTGGTTAAACAAAAACTACACGGCCTAGATATGGATTATATTGGATACGAACACCTACATTGTAGATTAAGGCGACAGGGTGTCGACATGCAAAGACTCACCCGCACACCATAGGAATATGGAAAAGGCAGTTATTGGATTATATAATTAGCAGAGAAACTGGGTTGACAGTATAAGTATGACATTGGGTTGCTGTGGCATTTTGACTGCCGTTTATACCGAGGATATATATAGAGCGTATCATTTCCACTTCCCTGCTTTTTTCACTCACATATTTTTGTTTACACACTCGAAACTATAACACGCTAAGGCATGGATGGTCCCAGCAAGTATTTGAAATGCATTTAGGTATGTTGAACTTCTTTCGCGCCGTACGTAGCCAACCACTGATATATATTTTACATGGCACACCATACAGAGCAGAGTGGTTAAAATGAAGAAAAATGTTTAATGGTATCCGTGGTAACAGAGCAACTATTAAGGCAGCTCATAGTATTTATTGCCGATAAAGGATGCCATCAATGTAATGCACACTGTGAGGAAATGGAAGAGTTGATGTTTTATTTGTGCAAATAATGCAACCAAAGGAGCGCATGTTTTCTCACGTAAACACTGGAACCATCTTCCGTTTTATGATGGCATTTTTACAGTGCTTTCTAACTATGCCATAAAGCTTGTCAATAAACATCATGAGGGATTTATGCTTTTATTTTTTTCTGCTATCCTTACATTTTATGCCTTCTTCAAAACTGTTATTTGCAAGTTAATGGTTACAAACGTGGCAAAAACTGCAAATATGCCTTTCCGCCTCCATCTAAAAAACATTGGAAAACTATTGCTTACGACGTCTGTCAAAACTTTACTCATGACTACATCTTCTGGAAGAAAATGCCTGCACGAAAAAATAAAACATTTCGGGAATTAACCTCGTTCAACGTTCTAACGGGCAACAATGTGCAAAATGAAATAGGACTCAATACATTTGTTCGTACTATGATTGGAGCGCTTGATTTTCAATAAACTTTTTTTCACGGTCGATAAGCCGGTAGCACTTGGTGGAAAATCAAGAGTGGTTGTTCCGCTTGGAATGGGCCCCGCAATAGAAATATGGAATATTTCCACCACGGACTCAAGACCATGAAATGTTCAGAAGCGTCACAACGGTGCTTGCTTAAGCAGAGAGACTCTTTGCGTTTGCCAATTACATGTAGTCCGTGGAAAGACGAATGTTCAGAATAAGTGGAAGGGTAAGGAAAATAATAAATAAGGAAAATAACAGGGGTCACAAGACACATCATGAGAACAACTGACAAGAGGTGAGAGACAAAAATAACTCCGGAGGAGAGAACCAGAGGAAGACAGTGGAGAAGACAGCAACAACAAGACGACATTACACAATTCGGAAATCCCAAAGGTTGCTCCTG